TTGCCTCGTGTTCATTGAGGAAACCGGTGTTCATAACCATGGCTATATGATTCGTCTGGGGTTTTGGTGTGCGGTGTTCCTCATGTTTTCTTTTGCGATTTCCGGTAACTACTCGCCACCAATTAGGACCATAATCGCAAAAGCCGAAATTAATATCATTTTATCATTTTGCTTGCCTCGTATTATGATCTGTCCTCATTGGTCGGTATATAAACTGGCTCTAGCAGAGTTGATATCGGGCCTTTTAGCCCGGTTTTTTTATCGCGGGCTCGCTACCCGGTCATGACACCAAGCTTGGGTTAACAACCTATTAGAAAGTAGGCAGGCCGGCCTTCTGGACAACGTCGAGGAGTCCCATCGGCAAGACGATGGATATTTGACTGGAGAGAGTAGACAGCGAGTAATGACCTCAGATTCCATCTTACATGACTTCAATTCCTCCTCTGAGGACCCTGCACACAATGATCTGGAGGTCGACAAAGAGCCCAACACTCTTAATGTGAACTCTGCCCTGACAGGTGGTGTAGGACCAAGTGAACCACTGAATACAGCTCAAGATTCGGATAACTCAACATCCGATGACTCCATATTTTTCAAGCTCCCCCGAGAGAGAGACGACGATGCATGGTCACGATCCTCAGTACACGAGCGTTTCTCGAATACTGAAGACCCCTCGGTGGTCCCGGACACGATGGAAACCTGGACACCAGCCCATTTTGGAGATCCAGCTGGTTATCGACCGTACATGACATGGTCAGAGCCGGTTGGGGTTCGGGAGTTCCACGAACTCACCGCACGATACCCTAAAGGAGGGTATGACTCCAATTCGGAAAACGGCCTGAGGCAGGAGTTGACGGATGGTACGTAAGGAGACCGAGCCTCAGAGACTCTCTCATCTATTCTATTCCTCCTGGAGAACGAAGCTATATATATAAATGATGGTAGTGAACATCACCATACTTCTTGACAGTATGATGTTGTAAGGTCTTCTCTGACTCAAAAGTTTTACTGTCAGAAGCATCATGTCTCTCCTACTAGCTTGTATGAAGATGATTCTGCGTCGTCTATCACAACCAGTACTTATAGCAAGAGCAGCTATCACTAGTTGAGTTGTTATTGGGCCTTTTAAGGCGGTTTATGATTGTGAGCCCGCTACCCAGTTGGAACACTGCTGCTGTCGTACCGGATCTTGCAATGATTATTATGTTGACATACGTCTTCCTGCCCGACTCGAGCAAAGGAACATCACATCATTGTTCTGATCCTAGCAACTGGTTTTGATAGGCCTTTAAGTCTCACATACCAGCCTTGGACACGACACTACGTAAACGTGGTCTCGACCTGAATGGGTTGACGGTGAAAATACCGGAGTTGAAGACGCACGGATTTTCCAACCTCGGACGGATCATCCCGCGTTCGAGACAATGACGCATACGTAACCATCTCACGCTTGGCTATCAAGGGAGCAGCCAAAGAAAGGTCCATATGGGGTGAGGGAAGAATGACTGAGGAAGGTGAGAACAGGCCAAGAAGAGGTGTGGGGGAGGGCCCCTGAAAATACTTATTTGTGTCTGGTAGAAGGTGATTTGCCACTTCATCCTGACCATGTCTACCAAGAAGGACTTTGTCACGAACCATGTCGTGACATCCCTGACAACTACCATCACCGACCCTCCTTTCACTATCACCGAACCACTATCCACCACCATCCCGAACCACTGAGACCAACTACGACGAAGTTACGAGAACCTAGGGATTATTAGTCACAACAACCCCGACCAACGGAGAACTACGGCGAAGTTAGGGGAAGGAAACCGAGGGAGAGTGCAGTAGGGGAAGTTAGGCGAGGTTAGTCGGAGCAGGATACCGGGGATATGGCGAGGTACGGCGAAGTTGAACGAAGGGGACTGAGCGCGAGGCTGTACAGGGGTTGAGGGACGTTCTATGAGAAGAGAGGGGAAGTATAGATAGTTTACAGACCGCTGAGCTTCTTCAGCGATCCTTGATTGTTGTCAGTAGCTACAACCTTTGAGTTAAGGAGAGCTACCACCAAGCAGTTCAACGTACTACGGCGAAGTTAGCCGCAGTTCATCGACGATCATCTTATCATTTACCACTCGACGTATCACTACGGCGAAGTTAGCCGTAGTTCCTCGACGAGTACCCTGTCTTAGTGAGACATCGACGCCCCACTACGACGTAGTTAGCCGAGGTTTGTCGACCGTCGGTCAGTAGAGAAGAAGAAACGACGATTGTGACAGTATCCAGGATTGCTCTTACCGACGACCCGTGCAAACCTCGGAGAAGTTCGAGATTGTATGCAGCCAGAGAGGAGAGTTACAAGAAGTATGAGTAGACCAGGAGAAACAGTAGAGGAGACGGAGAGGAGGATGTTGGAGGAATTAAGACAAAGCTTGGGACCATTGCCTGGTGCAATTGATACCCCCGAAGGATCAACTCAAGGCGATGATTTCTATCCACCCCTGCCTTTTGAACCACCTCCCCAACAAACCGGACTACCAGAACCACCAGCGGTGAGGACAGGTTCCGAAGATTCGGGACAGACCCCACGACCAAGGGAAGGGAACACAGGAGGTAGGCTAAGTTCGGCCGGGAGCGAAGTAGTAGGAGGAAATGAGGAGGAGGCCACAACACAGAAGATGATGCTGGCAATAATGAACATGATGATGGAGATGAATAAGGATATGATAGCAGAGAGGAAACGTCAAGAGGAGCAGGAGAAGAAGAAGGAACAGGAGACGGTTGGGGGAATAGTCGAGGGGATCTCGGAGGGGGTACGGCTCGCCATTGGAAGGCAAGCTTCGGCGACCCCAGGAGTTGCTGAGATGAGTGGAGGAATAAAGCTTCCCCTCCCAGACCTGTGGAGGGGCGAGAGGTCAAAGCTCACAGCATTCATCTCAGAATGTGAAGTCCATTTCGAAATCAACGCCCGCAAGTTCCCCACCGACCGAGTAAAAATCTTTTTCATGATCTCCCATCTACGTGAAACTCCTCTTCTTGCCGTCCAACCGGACTTACCTAAGGACGATCCCCCCGAACACCTTCTAGACTATAAGAAGTTCATCCAATATCTCAAAACCAATTTTGGAGACCCTGACGAAGAAGGAACCGCCGCAAGGGGAATAAACGAGCTTCGGCAGAATGGGTCGGCTTCGGCGTACTTCGCCGCCTTTCAGCGATATGTAGCGGTGTTAGGATGGAGCGATGATGGAAACCTCGTGGACCGGGCGAAGAACGGACTGAAAAGCCACTTGCTGGATGAAATCGCCCGCCATGGAAAAGTTTTCAAGACCGTCCGAGAATTAATCGAGTTCGTGGTCCCCATGGACGATCGCTTGCATCAACGAAAAGGAGAATGAGAAGAAGAGGAAGGAGGTGAAGGAACAGGGGGAGAGGAGAGAGGAAGTAAATCGAGGAGGGGAACGGGGGAGCCAGGAGAAATGGCAATCTACGGCGAAGATCGAGGGCGTGCAGCCTAAGGGCACGAACGGGGGGAGGGCGATACCAACGGATGTAGACGAACTAAATCGTCGTTGGCCGAGACCCAGTGCTGATGAGGTTTTAAAGCGTCGAGAGGAAGGGAAGTGTACTGGATGTGGAGAGAGAGGGCATTATAACCGGGATTGTCCTGTAATAGCGGCGAAGGTCAAAGCAGGGATCATCCCCTTGCGATCTTTTGGACAAAATGCTGGAGGAGAAGGGAGATTTAGCACGGGGGGGAACGCCGTCCCTCTTGGGGACAGGAAGAAGATCAACGCAGTCGGGAGGGAGGAAGCAGGTGTTGGAGAGCGGGGGATGGACGAGGAGGAAAAAGATGGGGACCCGTCGCGATAGGCGAGACTCGGCGGGTCCGCACTCATATTCTCTCGGCCACTATCCCTACCCCCAGTAAAAGGAAAGAGCTGATGAGACCAGGTAAATGTGTATATAAATCCGTAAACACCACTCCGAAATGTATAAACGACTGTCATACCCTAATCCCTTCCACCTGTAACAACCAACCCAAATCTAACGTGTATGTCGAAGGAATTGAACTAACGGCCCTGTGGGACACTGGAGCGACCTGTTCGTATATAAGTCCCAAGGCAGCCAGGAAGATTAGGAAGGAGAAGAGGAAATACCCCGTGAGTGTACCAGTTCACATGTTCGATGGCTCGGTTAGTGTGGCTGGACCCATTACGGAGTTTGTCAAAGTGAGTCTGGGTGTCAAGAAGTTAGGCGAGGTTCGCCCAATTAAGCTGGATGTTACCACCCTTTGCGACGCGGATGTCGTGATAGGATGGGAATGGATGAGGGGAGAGGGAGTAATCCTGAATGGGGGAGCGAATATGATATCCTTCCCTACTCCCCAGACGAACAATGAGGAAAGTGCAGTGTCCTTTCCCCTACCCTTGCCGAGTAAAAGAGAAGAGTTATCCTCTCTCTTTCCACAGACGAAAGGTATCGCGAGCCTGGCAGCCATAGGGCTCAGGACCCGAACCGATGAGACAGACCTCCGCGGCGAAGATGAGCTCGAAGAGCTGAGTCCGGAGGAACAAGACGAGTTGTTCCAGGTAGTTCCTGAGCAATACCACCAGTACATTGACGTGTTTAATCCGAAGAAGGGAGGAGAGACCCTCCCCCCGACGAGATCCTACGATTTGAAGTTTGAGCTTAAGGAGGGGGCGAGCCTGAAGGTCGCCTCCCTCTATGCTCAAGGAGAAGATCAGAGACGTGCGCTGAGAGACATACTAGATCGCGAAATCGCCGCGGGCCGGATTCGAGCAAGTAACTCGCCCTACGGCTCACCGATGTTTATGATACCGAAGAAAGCCGAAGGACAATGGCGAATGGTCATCGACTATCGAAAGCTGAACGAAGCGACCGTACCAGATGCCTACCCTCTCCCATTAATCGGTCAGATTACCGAAGAACTTGGGAAAGCAAGATACTTCAGCAAACTGAACCTAATTGGGGCGTACCAGTTATTGAGGGTGACGGAAGGACATGAACACCTGACTGCGTTCAGGACTCAGTATGGTATGTTCGGATCTCTTGTCGTTCGTGACGGGCTGCGAAACGCCCCGGCTGTCTTCCAGCACTTCCTGAATGAGGTGTTTAGAGAACTACTAGGGAATGGAGTCGTGGTCTACATTGACGATATCCTCATTTATGGGAATACATTGGAGGAATTATGAGGAACTACGGCGAAGGTCTTTGAAGTGCTGCGGAAGGCGAGCTTGTACGTGAAAGCTAGTAAGTGCGAGTTTGAAAGAGATTCTGTGGTATTTCTGGGTTTTGTGGTCTCCTCTCGAGGTGTATCGGTTAATCCAGAGTACATTGACGCCATCACATCCTTCCCACGTCCAAAGAATCTACGAGAGTCGAGGGGTTTCATTGGGGTTGTGAGCTATTACAGGCGTTTCGTCCCCAACTTCTCGAAGATTGCTAGACCTATCAATGATTTGACAAGGAAGGAGGTACCGTTCGTGTGGGGAGCAGAACAGGAGTCAGCCTTTAAGGAATTGAAGGCTAGGATGTGTACTGCGCCGGTGTTAGCTCACTTTGACCCTACATTGAAGACCATATTACAGACAGACGCCTCGTTCTTCGGCTGGGGTTTCATAATTTCGCAGATTAATACAGCTGGTCAAGAGCACCCAGTCGCCATCGAGTCAGGCGCGTTCAACACGGCCCAGCTAAATTACACGGTAGGAGAAAAGGAGTTCCTCGCCGTAGTTGAGGGTTTCAGAAGAAGAAGACACTTACTACTGCAGGTAGAAACCACGGTCCTTACCGACCATTTAGATCTCACTTACTGGATGGAGCCAAAGCAACTCAGCCCACGTCAAGGTAGGTGGGTAGAAGAGTTAGCTAACTTCAGATTTAAAATGGTTTATCGACCAGGAACTCAAGCAAGCCTTCCAGACGGGTTGTCTAGACGGGCGGATTATCACTCGGGAAAAGGAAGTACCATGATGCAAGAGAGTAACCTTATTCGAGGTCTGCCGAAGTTCGACGAAGTTGACGCCACCACGTCGGAGTTACGCCACCTCCTTCGAGCCTTGCAAGGGACAAGGGAAGTGAAGGAAAATGATCTTGTCGACCCTAGGGATCTGATACTTGGAGTTCAGGAGGACGAAGACGTAGAGGAGGTTAGAGAGGAGTTATTAGGAGTTATCTGCGCTGAGTGTTCTCATCCGATGTGTTGTGATGATGTACAGGAACCAGGATCGATCACCGAACTACGCCGCAGTTCGCGATCCCCCTTAATAATTTGTGGTGGATGGATCTCAAGGGGTTTCCTCACGTTTGACGATCGCACTTATGTGCCGAACTACGCCGACGCTCGACTAAAGATCATGAAGATGCGACATGACTCGGCTTTGGCTGGTCACCCAGGTTCAGCGAAGACCCTTGAACTAATCCTAAGGGATTATGTTTGGGTTGGAGTAAGGAAGGATGTAGAAGACTATGTCGCTGGTTGTGCGGTATGTCAGAGAGCTAAGACTAACAGACAGAAGCCTCATGGAGAACTTAAACCCCTACAAGTAGCGACAAAACCTTGGTCAAGTATCTCGATGGATTTCATCGAAGAACTCCCAAATTCCCATGGATATAACTCTATCTTAGTGGTCGTGGATCGACTGACAAAATGGGCCTTGTTTATCCCAACCACGACGAAGTTAACCGCAGCTGGACTATCAGAGCTGATAATGGACTATGTGGTGGCCCAGCATGGATTACCAGAGAGTATAGTATCAGACAGAGGATCGAAGTTTACTTCGAAGTTCTGGAAGAACTTGACCGATAGTCTCGGGATAAGACTACATCTTTCTACCGCGTATCATCCACAGACTGATGGACAGACCAAACGAATGAACCAGTCCCTGGAATTATACCTTCAAATCTTCACTTCCTACCAGCAGAACGACTGGTCGAAGCTGCTTGCTCGAGCTAGCTTTGCTTACAACAACACCCATCATTCTGCGATAAACAAGACCCCATTCTATGCAAACTATGGGTACCACCCTCGGTGGGCTGAAGAGATTAAGGCCAGTGAAGTCGAGGTACCTGCTTGTTATGACACTGCATACAAGGAGGTATGATTGGTATTGTAGAGCATGACAAGGAACATGATGTGGAATAAGAGAATGAAGCTTATCAGAGTTAGATAGAGATCAGGACATTCAGAGACTCGGTGAGGATTGGTCAATGCTTATTCAGCAAGGGATTGGTCATTGCTGATTCAGCATGGGGATTAGTAGTGCTTACTCAGCTGCTTGATCAGCAATGACATCATTGCTTGATAAGCTGCTTACTCAGATGCTTATCAATCATGACGTCATTGATGATTCAGCAAGGTGGAGGTAGCCGGTTTAGTTTGTAGTTCGGTAGAAACAGAGGTCTATATAAGAGCGCTGAATTCACTCTTTTCCCTCTGTCGATGAATTCTTATAAGTTACTCCCATAAAACTTTGCCACTCACTCTACTCATCCCTTGTTGTCTTAGTGACTTACACCATAACGTGTTCACCACTAAGGTGCTTGTCATCATCGTCCAATCCACTCTACGCTATCACTGTGTCTTCCGTCGCTGTCGTCCACTGAAGTTGGGTCTGGTCACTGCCTAGCTCTCAGTCGTAACACTGCTGCTACAGTAGTGGTAAAAGACCTAACCGAAATACATAAAGAATGTATTGAGGGGATTGAGAGAACTAACGAGAAGTATGCCGAAGGATACAATAGGAGACACCGAACTACGCCGAACTTCGTGGAAGGTGACCTAGTTATGCTGTTGTTAGAGAATATCAAGACTAAGAGGCCAATGAAGAAGCTGGATGTTAAGCAAAGTGGGCCGTACAAGGTAGTACGGCAGGTAGGTTCTCATGCTTGTAAATTGGAATTACCAGGAACGATGGCAGGTATCCATGATGTATTCCATGTCTCCTTGCTCCGTCCCTACCATCCTCCAGTTTTCCCTGGTCAGCTCGCTGAACCACCTGGTCCAGTAGAAGTAGATAACGTAGGAGAGTCGTGGGAGGTAAAAGATATTGTGGACTCTAGAATTAATAAGAGGTCAGGGAAGTTAGAGTATCTGGTGGAATGGTTAGGTTACGAAGGCTCGGATGACGCAGTATCGTGGGAACCAGTAGAAAATGTGGACGGAGCTAATGAAATATTGGCAAAGTTCCACGAACTTCACCCGGATAAACCGAAGAAAGGACAAGTGGTGAGACCACGAACGAGGAAGTAATCCATACAACGGGTACAACATTAGCTAAGTACAACTCACTGCTGCGAACTTCCTCCCTGTTCCCCGTCCCCTGGGGCAGGGCCACCTCCACTACTACTCACGGTAACCTTTGGTGGCACCACCCGTCGAAGGGACCGAGTCTCTCTCCACGCTGTATTGAAGGCCAGGATGTGGGAGGTATGGAGAGCAGAGTCACAAGCGAGGTTCAGACTAGGCAGCTTCGATAACTGTCGAAGTGTTCTAAGACAGTCCGGGGGAAGAGCCAGGATATCGAGAAAGGCAGCATCCTGAGAACTGAGTTGAGCCGGGTTGGGTGGCTTTAACCAGTCGAGTGTGGGGGGGAGGGCGTACTCAATGGGATTCAGGAGGAAGGGAGAATCAAAAAGATTGTGGTAGAAATCGTTCATGTCCGTCATGAGCTCTCGGGAGACTCTAGCTAACTCAGTCCGCACTAATGGGCCTATATCAGAGGAGTTTACAAGAGTTGCCATTGTCCGGGAGAGAGTGTTCATACCAGAGACCAGCTTCATGCAATATTCGAGAAGTTTCGCCGTATCTCGTCTATTGGCGTGTAATTGCGTGGTCAAACCAATGATGAGAGAACGGAAGGTAGCCAGTTGTTTCTCCTCCTCTGGGATTCAAGGGTCGTCGGAAATGTAGGGGTGGTCAAGGGGAGGAGGGACTTCCTCTGGTAGCTGAGTACTTTCATTTTCTACCACTGCAGGTTCGAATTGGACGGCCTTCTTCTTCTTGCCTTTCCCTTTTGGAGATTTCGAAGGAGGAGTTTGGACAGGAAGAGCAGGGGTTGAGAGCCCAGTGGCAGGGGGGACAGATGGTTGACGACTTCGGGTCCCAAGGGCAGGAGGAAGAGTGGGGGGAGAGCCCTCTTGTGTTGAGACAGGAGTAGGACGGCTTCTGGTAGGGCGGGACGAAGCGGCCGAAGGGGTGGTCGGGAGACGAGATGGGCCAGCCACAGGAGTAGAAGGCCGAAGAACAGCGGGAGAAGCACGACGAGGGGTGTGACAAGACGGACCTGCCGAAGGAGTAGCAGGAAGACGCGACGGTCCGGCTACAGGAGAGCTAGGCGGACGACGGACGGCGGGAGACGGCGAAGTGGGGCCGGGAGAGGAGAAATTCGCCAAAGGAGAGGGCGAAGAGAATTCCTTGTCTTGGGCCGTGGGGACACGGCGGCGAACGACGGTGGACGGAGTGTAAGGAGGCGCGTAGGGGACGAAGGGAGCTGCTAGTACGTCCCGCACTGTTGGAGGAGGGGCAGAGGTCCTAGGAGGGATGTCCCGAGCGGTATTGGGGGGGCAGAACGAGCATGGCCCGGAAGTACAAGAAGCACAACGGGATCCGCGATTATGAGGTTTGACCGGTCGTAAACACGGCCACTTTTTCCTCCCATATGTGATAATTTCGCGGCTATTTGATCAGCAGGTGTATAAACTTTTATGGAAGAGACCTACCGACATCTATCACACGACTCCTCTACACTGGCGACCTCCTAACGTTCCCTTTCGTCCTCGAACAACTTCCATAATCTTTCCTGCTCCCGCAACGACGCTTTACGAGCACTCCCTGGCTCCTTGGCGGGAGGGGGAGACTCTTCCTCCAGGTCAGGCGAAGGCGAACTACGAGTACCTGTGGTCCGCTTCGCCGAAGGGAGGGGAGTTTTGTCCTGAGCGGGGGACAAACGGCGACGTTTTTCGGCCTTGATCCGTTCCAAGTGATGGGCGTACTCAACGCGCTTGTTACCATCGGAATATTGACTGGTGATACGAAGTTCTGGAGAACCCCTTGTAATACGGATGGCTAGATACGTCAACACTAACGCGCAGGTGATTACAACAGCTGACTTACGACTCAAGGCCTTCAGCGCCGCCACCCTTGCAGCTCTATCATCCGCCTCCTCAACATCATCAACATCACCCATCTCCTCGTCATCACCTGCACCACCTGTTGTCTCATCATTAACAACATCATCCATCTCAGCATCACTATTGACAACATCCATCTCCTCATCATCATCAATCTCCACCACAGTAGCAGAATGACCCAAAGCTTGCGAAGGGCCAACAGGAGCGGGTCTGACCTCCTGTTGGCCGGAGGAGAGAGGGGTCGGAGCCACGACGGGGGACTCGGCGGAAGAAGGAGCCGCAGCGGAAGCTCCGGCGTCAGGAGGGGCCGCGACGAAGGGCGAGCCATCGGTGATAGTAAGGGCCCCAAGACCCATAGACGATACTTGGCGGGGGAAAGTCCCCTGCTGAGAGACTGAGATAATCAGCGGAGATCTAACTTATGACTAGCACGAGTGGACTTACGGGCAGAGGTGAAGCGCTCTACGAAGACTCGATAGGCGTTGAGTTCTGGTTGAGAAGTCATATTGTTAAGAAATTTATCAAATTGATATGTTCGGTAAGGTAAAGGCTGGAAATCGATGGACGATGATAGTACGATTTAGGAATAGTACTGGGGAAGAAGAAGAAGTGGGCCGAAGTACTGAGTATTTAGTATAACTAACACGACTACTCGTTGTCAGGGCGCTGGTAACTTCGCACAACAAGGTGTCTCAGCAACAACAAACGCCATGACGACGATCAAAATTCCCACGTGTCAAGGATACTGCCCACCCTGGGACAGAGGACAAAGGACAAGGGGACAAAGACTAGGAGTGACAAGGAATATACTTAAGATAACAAGACTGAGTCCAACAAGGAATGGGACTGTGACCCAAGGAATGTCTCTGGCTTGTCTTACAAGGTTAGAGGGAACTGGACTGGACTGGACTCCAAAAGGGTGGCAATGGAAATGACTTTTGATCAAGAACTAAAGAAGACTACAAAGTACAAGATAGGGTTTATATAGACAAATCAGCCTTTTCCAAGAGGCTCGTGCAGACCTGCGGAATGCGAGCGCTCTGAACCGTTCTGCACTGTCCTGCATGCATTGCCTTGCATCCCACCGATAACCACTGATATCCTATGATGCCATATCTGCGTTTACCTACGTCCTACTATGACATCCTACGGGATGCGCCGGAAGTCGCTTGACTTTGTCGAAGGTGGTCGATGAGTAACTATGGGGAACTATGCAGAACATAGAAGTGCTGCGAGAACAAGAGACTGAGAGATTATGCCTTAGCAGGCATTAGAACAGAGGAACTAGAGAATAGAGAATTACTGGGGACTTATGCCTTGCAGGCATGGGAGCTAAGCACCGACATACTAAAATGATACTTGGAGTTTATGCCTGACAGGCATGAGAGCAGAGGTGAAATGTTAGAACACGAAAGTGGAGGTTGAACTTGTTTTGCGCAACAAGGAACACGTGATGGTGTGATTCATGACAGGAGCTCCCCCTCTAAGGGCGAAGTCCTCTGAGCCGGGATGACCTACGCTGAGGTCTTTTCAAAATTGTGGAAGTGTTTTGTTGTGTCGGTTGTTTAGTACTAGAGTTTAATTTTGTTGACCTCATGGATGGGAAGTGGTGTTGAGGATCTTGGAGATGTTGACGACGGAATGCCCTGAAGGCTGTAGTGTTGTGGAGTTCTTCCCAAGGTTCCCATGAGTCATGAGCACTGGAGTAATCTCTCCAATGTACTAGATAATCATATCCTCCATCATTACTGATGCGAGAATCCAGAATTCTATCAATGATGTATTCTTGTTCTCCTTCAACTTCAATCCTAGGTGGTGGATCTTGAGGTTGATTTGGGAGTCCTGAGCGCACTGGCTCTAAGAGGTTGACATGAAAGACAGGGTGAATGTTCATACTAGGAGGGAGATCAAGTTTGAAAGCCAAAGGTGAAGGTGTGGCTTCAATAATCTTAAATGGCCCAAGCATGCGTTGATCAAGCTTGATTGATGGCCTTGAGGTTTTGATATTTTTTCGATTAAGGAATACCATATCTCCAACCTTGAAGATAGGTTTACCTTCTTGAGTGATTTCTTTGATCTTACGATCATAGGACTTGGAATGAGATAACTGCACCTTTTTGATATTGGTGATAAGTTCCTTGTGAAGATTACGGAGTTTATTGATGTGATCTGAGGCTGCAGGGACAGAGGTACTAGGAAGTGGTGGTGGACTAGAAGGATCAAGGGGATGGTAACCATAGGTTGCCTCAAAGGGAGAATGTTTTGTGGTTGCGTGAACTGAGTTGTTATAACTGAATTCTGCCAGATCTAGAAGTGAAGACCAGTTTGCTTGGTCATAATCACAGAATGTCCTAAGATAGTTCTCTAAGACTTGATTGACACGTTCAGTCTGACCATCTGACTGAAGATGGAAAGCTGTTGAGAAGTTGGGTTTGATGCCTAGTCCATTGACAAAGGCTCGCCAGAAATGAGAGTCAAAGATTCGTCCACGATCTGACACTATATCTTGAGGTATGCCATGAAGTCGCATGATTTGTTGTCGGAACATCACAGCTAATTGAGGAGCGTCAAAGCCATCTTCTTTATATGGAATAAAGTGGGCTTGTTTGGTAAGACGATCAACAAAGACCATGATTGAATCAAAGTTACTGGATAAAGGGAGTTTGACTATGGCATCCATACTAATAGATTGCCAAGGACGAGAAGGAACAGGGAGTGGTTGCAAGGGTCCATAGGGTTTATGTCGTGGGATTTTATTTCGTGCGCAAGTGTGACACCCATTGACATAGGTGTTGACAAATTGTCGCAAGCCAGGGAAGTAATAATGACGTGTCAGGAGATCATGTGTCTTTGCCTGACCAAGGTGACCAGAGGTACTAGAGTTGTGGACCTGCTGGAGAAGGTCTGTCTTGAGTTCGAAGTTGTCTGGGACATAGATTCTTTCTTTGAATCTTATGATGTTGTCGGAGTAGCTGAAACCTTCAAGCTTATGTTGAAGTTCAGAAGGACAAGGAGTATTGGGATTGTGTAGATAAGGCATGAGCTCTTGAAGGGTATTATCCTCAGGCTGTAGTTGCTCTATCCTTGCCAAGATGTCGGAGTGAAGTGAAGAAGTGGGGTCAAGAGAGGGTTGTTGAAGGGCACCTAGAATGAATTGACCAGGTTTGAAAAGTGTGCGTGGAGGTGCCTCAGCAGCTCTACTCCCCCCCTGAAGGTCTTGACGTCTCGTCAAGGCATCTGGTTTTCCCATGGCAGTTCCGGGTCTATGAATGACTTTATAATCATAGTTTGCCATGAGTTCTGCCCATCTAGCTTGACGTCTATTAAGTACTTTGGTTGTTGCAAAGTATTCTAAATTCTTGTGATCCGTATAAACTGTAATTTCTTGAGCTCCTTCAAGGTATGGTCGCCATTGTTTGAATGCTTCTACAATAGCAAGCATTTCCTTGTCGTAAATTTCATAGTTGAGTTCGGCTGGTTGAAGTTTTCTTGAGTAATACGCCACAGGGTGAAGTTGATTTTTGTCGTCTGGATGGGAGAGGATACCAGCAATTGCAAAGTCAGAAGCATCTGTCTCTATTACAATTGGCTTGGTGGGCTGGAAATGGTGGAGAATGGGAGCAGTGGTAAATGATTTCTTGAGAGAGTTGAATGATTCTTCCTCAGAGTCACCCCATTCAAACTTAACATCCTTGCGGAGCAGTCTGGTTAATGGTGCAGTGACTTTGGAGTAAGACTTGATGAATCGCCTGTAGAAGTTGGCGAAGCCAAGGAAGACTTGAATGTTGTGAACGGAGTGTGGTGTTGGCCAGTCGAGTACTGCGGAGACCTTTTTGGGATCCATACTGATACCTTTGTCTGAGACGATGTATCCTAGAAAGTCGACTTGATGTTGAAAGAAGGTACACTTCTCTGCTTTGGCCCAAAGATTATTTTTCTTAAGTCGCTCAAGCACGTGCTTGACGTGACTGATATGATCCTCTCTTGTTTTGCTGAAGATGAGGATGTCGTCCAAATAGACGATAACAAAGATGTCGAGATAATCCCTCAGCACATCATTGATGAGGTACTGGAAGGATGCTGGAGCGTTGGTGAGCCCAAAGGGCATTACAAGATATTCAAAGAGACCATAGCGGGTCCTAAAAGCTGTTTTCCACTCATCGCCATCCTTGATGCGGATGAGGTTATAAGCGGCACGGAGATCAATTTTTGTAAACCATGATGCCTCCTTGAGTCGGTCAAGGGATTCTTGAATAAGGGGCAGGGGATATCGATTTTTGCGAGTGATTTTGTTGAGTCCTCTGTAATCTACACAGAGTCGGAGGGTACCATCAGGCTTCTTGACAAAGAGTATTGGAGCGCCTGCTGGACTAGAACTGGGTCGGATAAAACCTTTCTTGAGATTGTCCTTAAGATATTCATCCAAAGCTTTAAGCTCAACTTCAGAGAGCGAGTAGATGGGCCCAAAAGGTGGTCGCGAGTCACCCTCAATAGGAATGGAATGATCATACTGGCTATGTTCTGGGAGCTGGTCGGAGTTGGATTTCTTGAAGACTTCTAGAAAGTCGTGGTACTCGGGAGGTATACTCTTGATTAGAGTGTCCATATCAGGATCAGGATCATCATCGTCCTCAGCCGGAAGAGGATCAATGAGCGAAGTGACTTGGGAAACGGAGGTGATGCCATAGACACAAGCTTTCTTTAGAGCATTGCGAAAGGCTGCTGCACTCACAAGGGTGACCTTGGGAGGAGCCAGAGTGTGGACAGGAACTGGAGACTGGAGTGACTTTTGTCGATTATGTTGTTGCTGGAGAGACCGCGGAGCACCATGCTGTCGTTCGATCTTACTGGAAGGAATCCTCTCAGAGGCACACTGGCCATCTTGAGTGGTCAAGGGGGAACCTGAGGCACACTGGTGCTCTAAGTTACTAGACTGGAGTGGGGTACCAAAATCTTTTCCCATCAACTTGTTAGGTTGACTGCACTGCATCCTACAGTACAGGGAAGAGAAAACAATGGTCTGACGGGACCAATTGATAACAGGATTGTGTCGAGAGAGCCATGGAAGGCCAAGAATGACTGGATAGTCGCCAAGGGAAGTAATGTCAAGGGAGATCATCTCCTCATGACGAGTTGAAGTGGTTTGAACAGAGAGGTTGATGGGGCCAGAGTGGTGTGTGATAGCACCAGAAGATATTTTTCTCCCATCAATAACATGAAGGTCCATAGGTTCATCCTTCTGGACTGCCGGGATAATAGTTTTGTCGAGGAAGGTCTTGTTCAGAAAGCTGTTGGTAGCTCCTGAATCAAGCATAGCATAAGTGTGGTAGTGTTTGTTACCAAAGGAGAGTGTGATTGGAATACACAAATGCTCCTGAGGATTGTCCGGATTAATTGATAGTGTTGAAGCCGTTGCCGTTTGACGTTTGAAATACCGTGATTGTTGCCCATGATTAGGCCCCAGAGCAGGGGACTGAATTAGGCCTGGGGCTGGGAGTTTTTTGCTTCCTGAGGTGCTTTGACAGCATTGACCATTGCAGGAGACTGTTGCTTGTTGGGTCTTGCCTTGCATTGATTGGCAGTATGACCGGGCTTTCCACAGTATAGGCAAAGCTTGTTCTTGAATCGATGCTCACGCTCTTGAGTTGTGAGAGGAGCAAAGCGAGGTCGGACAGCATCCACTTCCATAGGGACAGGAGTGAATGTGTTGGAAGGGGTAGATAAAGTACGAGTGGATTGGGTAGTGAAGGATCGAGAGTTGTTGAAAGAGGAGTTGTTGTTACGTGGAGGGGTAGACTTGATAGTGTTGACTGGAGCGACACCTCTCTTGCGGTTGAAGAGGAGGTTGTCCCAAATGATAGACTTGTTGATAAGATCCTTGAGCGTCTTGAAGTCATTTGGCGTAAGAATCTTATCCTTCACATCTTCCTTCAATCCGTCAAAATAGGCATGGCGGAGTGCCTCATCATTCCAATGAAGAAAGGCCGCATGCTTTTCAAAAAGTGCTGCATACTCTGATGCTGACTTATTTTGCTTGAGTGTCTTGAGTTTGTGACGTGATGTCTCAATGATGTCGGAATCACCAAATGTCTTTTCAAATTCCTTTTTGAAAGCTTCCCAGTTATCAACCCATTCAGGACGAGTTTCAGTATGGTTCATAGCATGAGGCATGTACCACTGATAAGCTTCATCCTTGAGGAGATTTGAGGTGAAGGCAATCTTGGATTGGTCAAGAGCATAGGTGCGGGGTTGGGTATTGAAGACTGTGTCACACTTCAAAAGAAATACCAGAGCTTCATCTTTACGGCCACTGAAGGGCGGTGGTGAAGTTATCTTTGGTTCCTTTGTGAAGGTGGGAGTGGAATGAGAGTGAGAGTGAGAGTTAACCTGTGCATTAAGTAGTTCTTGTTCAAGATGGATGATGCGTGCTTGCATCTCCTGGAGGATATCTTCAGCAGAAGGGATGGCTTGGGGTTGGATGTCAGGAGTGATGGGGATTGGGTCAGACATAATGAATTACTTAGCTGAAGTATTTATAATTCCCCAAAGTATTTCTGAAGACCAAGTATTATTCTTAATATCCCTTTCAAACTAAAGTCAAAGATGTATTATTTGCTTCCTGGAAGTTGAAGTTGTTAAACAATTTATTTTCTTGAAGATCAAAGTGTTCTTGAGTATTGTTGAAGTTGATAATTATTGTTGAAGTTGATAAATATTTCCTGGAGTTATGGAACAAGGGTATAACTAGACCTAAGATGTTAAAGACAAGCAAGGACAAAGAGGTGAGTTCTTGATACTGTCAAGGATACTGCCCACCCTGGGACAGAGGACAAAGGACAAGGGGACAAAGACTAGGAGTGACAAGGAATATACTTAAGATAACAAGACTGAGTCCAACAAGGAATGGGACTGTGACCCAAGGAATGTCTCTGGCTTGTCTTACAAGGTTAGAGGGAACTGGACTGGACTGGACTCCAAAAGGGTGGCAATGGAAATGACTTTTGATCAAGAACTAAAGAAGACTACAAAGTACAAGATAGGGTTTATATAGACAAATCAGCCTTTTCCAAGAGGCTCGTGCAGACCTGCGGAATGCGAGCGCTCTGAACCGTTCTGCACTGTCCTGCATGCATTGCCTTGCATCCCACCGATAACCACTGATATCCTATGATGCCATATCTGCGTTTACCTACGTCCTACTATGACATCCTACGGGATGCGCCGGAAGTCGCTTGACTTTGTCGAAGGTGGTCGATGAGTAACTATGGGGAACTATGCAGAACATAGAAGTGCTGCGAGAACAAGAGACTGAGAGATTATGCCTTAGCAGGCATTAGAACAGAGGAACTAGAGAATAGAGAATTACTGGGGACTTATGCCTTGCAGGCATGGGAGCTAAGCACCGACATACTAAAATGATACTTGGAGTTTATGCCTGACAGGCATGAGAGCAGAGGTGAAATGTTAAAACACGAAAGTGGAGGTTGAACTTGTTTTGCGCAACAAGGAACACGTGATGGTGTGATTCATGACACCACGCTACGTGTCTCACATTCATATAAGTTAAGGATACGCTGACGAACTTCGACGAGGTTTGATATGCCCAAAGTCCTCTGTCTCACATACAACGTAATTCTCACGGGTAACATCAACAACCACGATGAACTTCGACGAAGTAGTCCGTCTCATCATCAACACCCTACGGTGCCACCTACCAACAACTGGTGTTTTGACGATTGTTTTTCCTACAGCCCGCTGAGTGTCCTTTTTCTTCATTACATGCATACGAAGCTCACGAGGACGTTCGCACCTAAGGAAGGGGCGACTGTCACGAACCATGTCGTGACATCCCTGACAACTACCATCACCGACCCTCCTTTCACCATCACCGAACCACTATTAACCACCACCCCGAACCACTGAGACCAACTACGACGAAGTTACGAGAACCTAGGGATTATTTGTCACGACAACCCGCCTAACGGAGAACTACGGCGAAGTTAAGAGAAAGGAACCGAGGGAGAGTGGAGTAGGGGAAGTTAGGCGAAGTTAGTCGGAGTAGGATATCGGGGATATGGCGAGGTACGGCGAAGTTGAACGAAGGGGACTGAGCGCGAGGCTGTACAGGGGTTGAGGGACGTTCTATGAGAAGAGAGGGGAAGTATAGATAGTTTACAGACCGCTGAGCTTCTTCAGCGATCCTTGATTGTTGTCAGTAGCGAGAGATATATTCAGTAGCTACAACCTTCGAGTTAAGGAGAGCTACCACCGAGCAGTTCAACGTACTACGGCGAAGTTAGCCGCAGTTCATCGACGATCATCTTATCATTTACCACTCGACGTATCACTACGGCGAAGTTAGCCGTAGTTACTCAACGAGTACCCTGTCTTAGTGAGACATCGACGCCCCACTACGACGTAGTTAGCCGAGGTTTGTCGACCGTCGGTCAGTAGAGAAGAAGAAACGACGATTGTGACAGCCGCCTGTTAAACGTCCCAAGCTAAGTATTCATACCGGTGATCCTCTATCAACACGAACAAGCAATGAAAGCGTCCACAAAAAACGAGCAGCTCTGGCTGCCTCAAAGATCAGAACTGACGATTCCACCGCAAAGCCACCAGACATCTGTGTGAGTCTAGATCTCAAGTCACCATCAGAAGGGTGGGACACGTCTCACTGGCCTCAGAGAGGGGGGAGTCTAACGACACCCTTGACTCCATCTCATGATCCACAGTCTCAAGAAGAAACTTCAAATTCCTCGCCATGCGATTCTCGCCTGACCCCAAGGGAGGAGATCGTGGAGAACTCGACAGCGAGTCCACCCTACACACCTGGGAAGTTTTCGGAGCCCTTATCTACCCCTGTGGAATGGGCATGCAACACCTGAAGCATTGAAGCATAGGCAGTGACTCTCACCAGTGAACTCAAGCTGGATGACCCATGTTGATGGGTGAAGTTTTTCGCTTTACTTACATATGCTATGTATATATTGAGAAGGACCATATGATACACCCGTAACAATCTGTTATCTGTTCCAGCTGTCACATATCACACACGGCATTGCCTCAAGGTGCGGGACTTGCTTTGCATACTTTGGCCTTGATTCCGCCTAGTGAACGTGGCGCAGAAACATTCCCTTCTGACAGGAATTGAGGCAGAAACGGGTGACTCCCAAGCCAGAAACGACGTGTGAAATGTTCGGCCCGGATGTCGATGTCAGCTTTCACTCCTTCCTTCTTGAAGAAATTGATCCTACAATGACCAGAATAGCAGACCTTCTCAGTGTTGAACCGGCCGGCCACCTTGTGAAGACGGTCATTTGGGAGACATGTGCCACACTGCCACATTGCACGCTTGTGCTTCCTATGACCAGGTGACTCGTAAGTAGTCCCAGTAGACTGACTACATATACACAGGCGTGGCCGCTGAGGAATCCATTAGTGACAAAGACCTGATAGATGATATACATGTATTGAACACACTGATGACCTTGACTAATGCCATCTCCACATCCCCCACCCAAGTCCATCGTCACTCACAAACATCTCCTCGACTTGATCATGCCCCGCCGCAGCTACGGCTACGGCTAGAGGGAGGAGATGTTCCGGAGTAGGATGAGCCGATTTATAGAGCGGGTGACGGAAGAGGGTCAATGTGGTCTCGAGGGGTTTGGGGGAGGTGAGAGCGTGAGTGATAGCGTCTAAGAATGGGCGAGTGTACGCTGTCCCTCGACCCGAGACTGTATCTTAGCTATGATCCCTCGGTTATTTAGCCCGTTTCATACTTCCTGATCCTGGAGCTCTTTAACTGACGGGATGACTATGGATATCCACCAAGATGGGGTGGAGATTCACGACGAAAAAGCAGCGGTAGAAGAGTGGGACGGCTCCCGATTGAGGCGTGGATGAGTAGGGAAGAGCTGTTAGAGAGACTCACAGAAGTCACGGAGATTATGAACCGCTTGGCCTGAAGCAATGATAGCATAGCCCTGTTCCCTCAACGGCGCAAGAGCCTTCCCGAGCTTAGCAGCGGAGATCGCTTGTCCATCGCCGGGTAATGATACCTGTACTAAAGGTATCTGTGTCTCACCCGCAAAAGCGACTTTGAAAGGAACTCGTCTATCAGCAAAGATCAGGAGAACGATAGCCAAAACAGCTCACCCCATACTCCATGATCTATCCCCCTGTTGATCAAGTCATAGGGAAGAGCCGCCGATTTGAGAGCTTGTTTTATGACTTCCACCAACTTGGCGTCTCCGTGAGAAGTGAACTTCTGTTCGTAAAAATGAGGAGGAAAGTTGTAAAAGTCATAGATAAGTGGGTTCGTCGTATCGGTATTCACTAGTCGTCAGTCAAGAGTCATGAGCGTCTTCGACACCTTCTCCTCAAATGCCGAGAGCAGCCATCGAAAGAGATGAAATATTGCAAAGCAAGTGGCAAATCGGATAAATGTAACTTTACTTACCTCTTACTCCCTCTGATCCAGCTTCGTTCTCCCAGTGCGCAGATACCACCACCAGACCACGGGGGTTAGATGCTTGGATCTCTTTCCCAACCTTCTGCCAGGCTTCATATGGCTTGCTGTCTTTCTCGAACATAGACGAGGGGGCCTGACGGTGAGTGCCTCCTTCTATGAAGCATATCTTCATGAATGGAACTTACTCCGTGCGAGATGAAGTAGACATTCCCCCTTGGGATACTGGTAGGTAGTGTCATGTCTCTGATCCAAAGACCCCGTCTGCCCAATATCACAGCTATCGACACGATGACCAGACCAATCCAACAGTAAATCGGATGCTTCCTGAACACGGTGAATGAGTGCAATGAGACAATTTTCCTTGACTTTGCTTTTCAAATATGAAGATCTAGATTAGTGAAATAGATATAACATGCAGATTCGATGATGATATAGTGACCATACCCGTACGGCCAAACGGCCGTAGGAAGGACATGAATTGGAAACAGGTGAGAAGGATGAGGTAAGTTAAGGGTTCCTCCACTTCCGGCGGAATAAAGACCGAGGTAATGACCGACCCTTTGGCTTCGGAGCTTGTCGGTAATTAACACGTTGTGGCAGTCATTGGGGGCGAGTCACGTGACAGCGAACACAAAGTCTGCTTCAAATCCCAATGGCTCTCCTTCGTCCGTAATATCATGTCCTCGGTAGCATCTTCCTCACGCTCAGCATCACCCGAAAACAGTAAAGCATCACCATCATCCTCAGATAATGAGAACGTCCACTCTACTAGAAACTCACAAAGCCCCGGGCCGTCCAACGATGACTCCCCTAGGACCTTTGCCTCCCTAGGTATCATTCCAGAACTATGTCAATCATGTGCCACTCTGGCCTTCAAAGCTCCGACTCCCATACAAGTCGAGGCCATACCTTCCGCTTTGCAAGGAAGAGATGTGATAGGTCTGGCTCAAACGGGATCGGGAAAAACGGCTGCGTTCTCTTTACCAATATTGCAAAAGTTGTGGGAAAATCCTCAGCCTTTTTTCGCATTGATTTTGGCACCGACCAGGTGAGTCAATCCTTTCTATTCCCCAATCATTTATGACACTCAAATACGGAGATTGTCCTGCGTAATCAATGCATGAAGGCTCCACTTCGGGACAGAGACTGATAAGACAGAGAATTGGCTTATCAAATATCCCAACAGGTCACTTCCCTAGGATCCCCCCTTGGCGTACGGACGGCGGTCATAGTAGGAGGAATGGATATGATGTCACAATCCATTGCTCTTTCCAAAAGGCCGCATGTCATAGTCGCGACTCCGGGTAGATTGATGGATCATCTGGAGAATACCAAAGGGTTTTCATTAAAGAATGTCAAATTTCTCGTGAGTTCCCCCCATTGTCACTTGTCCGGGAAGAAATGGCTGACTCGTAGGTGATGGACGAAGCGGACAGACTTCTTGATATGGACTTTGGACCTATCATCGATAAAATCCTCAAGGTAATTCCAAAGGAACGGAATACGTACCTATTCTCCGCTACAATGACTACGAAGGTTGCCAAGTTGCAGCGGGCGAGTCTGAACAAACCTGTGAGAGTTGAAGTAGCCACAAAGTGAGTTTTCCAAAGTCTCATCGCTTGGGGACTTGGTCGAGATGTAGCATATATATACTGACTTGCAGATATTCGACCGTTTCTACCCTCCTCCAGCATTACCTCCTTCTTCCACTTAAAGCCAAAGATACACATTTGCTATACATCGTCACTGAACTTTCTTCTTGCAGCATGATCATCTTCACCCGTACTGTGGTTGATGCTCAACGTTTATCAATCATGCTGCGTCGCTTGGGATTTCCTGCTATACCCCTGCATGGCCAAATGTCACAGAGTTTGAGATTGGCAAGTTTGAACAAGTTCAAAAGTGGCGGAAGGAGCATTCTTGTAGCGACGGATGTGGCGAGCAGAGGCTTGGATATCCCCTTAGTGGACTTGGTTGTTGTGAGTGGTTCCGTGAAGTCCCAACCTCATCATTTGCTTCATCTTCAGCTATGGTCTTCGCGGAGATATGACATTGACCCACAGAATTATGACATGCCCATCAACTCGAAAGATTACGTCCACCGTGTCGGTCGTACAGCCAGAGCGGGACGGTCAGGCAAGTCGATCACCATGGTCACACAATATGACGTCGAGATCCTTCAGCGTATCGAAGCCCATATCGGTAAAAAAATGGAAAACTTCGCTGTCGATAAGGAAGCCGTGGCTGCGTTTTCGGAGACGGTGGCTCGTGCTAATCGAGAGGCGGCTCTTGAGATGCGTGAATCTGGTACGGGAGGTGGGGGCGGCAAGAGGGGTAGAGATAAAGGCAAGAGAAAGGGATGGGATGATGAAAGGGATAGAGATGATGATGTTGTGGAAGGAGGTATGCCGGCCAAGCGAAACAAGAACAAATTTACGGCTGGTAAAGGGAAGAAGGGTCGATAAGACTTGTGACGTGAGAGTGCTTCGTGGGTCGGATCTCATCATGCATGTCTCGGGTATCATCGAAGGCCATATCCGTTTATCGTGGTGTAATAAAGCCATAAAGGAGTTTGGCCCCATTTGGCTATGTCAATGGAGGTCCACCCGTCGTCAAGCTGATTTAACATGACCCACATTCGCTTGACTTTCTTGCTACCCTCCCACTGCTACACTAATCACTTTCTGTACGTTTTAAGCTAAAGATCAGACAATCAAGTAAGCAACATGGATAATCATAATGATCCAAGTCTCACACCGCCCCATAGCGACGACATGAACTTGCCGCCTCAAGAGGAGGATGAGGAAGAAGATTTCTACGAAAGAGACCCCAAGCTGCAAGTCGTACACATCAACGATGAGCCCGCCCCAAACGTGCCCCATTACGTTGAATTAGTGGACATCTCCCGTGACGCCCTCGAGTCTGACTCCTTGGTTTTCACGCCTCATGCTTGTCAGACCTATTTCGATTGTCCTTGGGACGAACATCTCTGTTTTCTGACGACCGATCAAACCAGACAAACCGGTGGTCACCTAAGATACACTATCATACCTGTCGAGTCCCAAAGAGGCACATTCACGGTGGTCCGACCAGATGCTAATTGTGACATCGAGTTTACTACGGTCACCACTTTCAATGAACATTCCGATAGCCCGAGTAGAGTCATTAGCGGGGCGTTCAGGTCTCTCGTTCCTAATACCGACCTTTGGCGCATAAATGATACTACTGATGATTCACGTGACCCAGATACAGTAGCTATCTTACATCCTCTTCAGGATTTCACTATCATTGACCCTGGTCTGGCAAACGCTTTGTCTCTCATGTTAAAAGGAAATGAAACCTTCGAAAAATGTACCATGGACAGTTGGATGGCTAGGCGGACTGCAGGGACAGTAGAATCACAGACGGAACATGGGAGACAATACACAGATTGTGAGGAACAACTGACGTTGACTCCGAGATGAAATGGTCACTCGGGGCGTCAAGCAAATGGTGTGATAACATTGACGGAGAAGGAGTTGTTATCACACTGATACTGTTTTATTGAAACGAGTTGAAATGAATGGAGTGATGTACTGAATGAATTGACATTTGCAGTCGTGCGGAGTTCTAATCCTTCTAGCCGAGAAACCTGATTGTCTTCTTCCGTCACCCACGTAGTACTTTCATGATAACCAAACACTTATCTCCGCTCGCTTGACTTTCAAATCGCTACAATCACATCCGTGACACTAAGGAGATGCTGACAGATGTCATATTGATCAATTCCTTTGTTACAACTTGTTGGACTGTTGGCGGATATAGATACCGCTTACTTCCTCTCCATTTTCCCTCATTCCCTCAAATTTTCATACATATCGAAGATCGCGAACATCTCTATACCGTCGCTTCGCTTGCTCTCATCGATACTTGGTGAGAAAAACATCCCGGCGGATCCCAAAGTGAAGACAAGTGATACGTAACAATTGGCTCTGTTGACGTGAAAAGGAACTTTCATACATCCCATTGACATGTCACATCAAAATCAAGTAGAGTACCAAAGCATACTGTCATGAACATGACTGCCACGTCGGTATTAGGACATCAGGGTCCACGGGGTTATGGTTGAGGAGTCCCTGAGCGTAGTCAGCAGATACATTATTCGAAGCTATCTGTTATCTCTTCGAAGAATGTATCTTCCTCTGTCTGAACTACAAGTATCGTCTAAGCACTAGTCAGTAGCAAGGCCTTGTCTCTCGAGAACCTAGAGCCGTCTTGACAGTAGATACATTCTTCCCGTACTTGTACCGACCAGTGCGTAGACGACACTTCCCGTTGCTGGAACCGGAAGTTAGGGTAACGTAATAGACGAACCCAATCCAATAGATATCAATTATAAATCAATAACATGCCACCAAAAAAGAAATACATTCGACCAACAAATTCGGAACCGCCCAATAACCAGGATGACGGCGCCTCGGTTGTTAGCGAGACCAGTACCATACGCCGTGCTGGTCGTCAATCCTGGAGGGGTCGGACGGGACTACGTAGGCCCGAGACGCCACCACACCTACCAACGATGGCGCAGTTGCCGACTGTACGACCCGCAGTCCTAGCCACCTCCCGCGAAGGCTTACTACTACAGCAGGCCGAGATCGTGAGGCGACTCGCGGCACTAGGGACGGACCCCGGGGTACACCAGGATCCTGATGACGCTTTGGGGGGGCGTCAAGGGACAGTCAGCGACCCCGGTGGTTTCCGCTCCCGAAGGCTCGACGAACTGAGCGAGATCGGTAGCCGTAGTCGGCAGGTTGACGAGGTGAGCGTGGCAAGGACACCCCGAATGGTCAGCGAAGCCATCAAGGCGATACCCAAACCCGATATGTTCCATGGGGAAAACGATTTGGACAAGCTCGAAGCCCACATTCGTCAGATCAAACGTTTCCTGACAGTAGCGGCGACAATCTACCCAACGGAGGAGGACAAGGTGCAGTTTGCATCTATGTACCTAAGGGGTAACGCCGAAATATGGTACGAGAGCTTGCGAGAAGACGGCAACGAACCCCACACACTCGACGGATACGTGGACACACTTCGCGAGATGTTTGGACCAATGGATCGAGAGCTGGAACTACACCAGCAAATCCGAGAGTGCACTCAGACAACTACAGTCATGGAGTTCTCCATTCGTTTCAGGTCTCTGACGTCAAGGTCTGACTACGACGAACACCAGAAATGTCTTGCTTTCTACGATGGACTACGTCCCGGGGTACGACGAGAGTTAATGCGGCTGCAGCACAGGCCAAGCTTCCACGACCTGGATAGGCTGGTGAAAACGGCTGTGCAACTGGACAATGCGAACCGCCAGGCGTTCGACCTTGGAGGGCGCCAGGGTCTAAACCGCGCGGGCGACCGCCAAGAAACTCCACAGAGTCGCCGAGTACCAGGACGTACTCAAACACCTGAAATTCCTCGTGTCACCTCACCGTCCTCGACAGCGGTCAACCGGCCTTCGTCGACTCCTCCCACGTACTCGCCGAGACCGGGCCAGTATGTATCACGCACTGGAGAGAAACCGGCAAATGTACGTCCCACGTCGGCGCCGCCTGGTACTGGGACGGTCAAGTGCTACAACTGTGGAGGCATTGGGCACATCAGTAGGGATTGTAGGCAACCTAGACGGGACACTCGCCAGCTACGAGTAGCGGAGTTGGAGGATATAGATGAGATAGACGGGGAGTGGGATTATGGGGGCGAACAGGAACTGGAATTACAGGAATTGGCAGGAGGGTACGAACAGGAGGCGGATCAGAAGGAGGAAGAAGGAGGGACGGATGTGCAGTTGAGGACTGTGGGATTAGTAGAAGGCAAGTGGGGAGAAGAGGGTTGGAATACACTGTATGATGAGTGGGGATCTACTGAGGAAAGGATGGAAGTGTTAGAGGATAACTACGGATCAGCAGATGGTGATGAAACAATAGAAGAAAACACAAAAACATTAGAAAACCCAGAAAACACAAAAAAAGGCTTGAGAAACGGATTGGTAGTCAGCGACTCGGATAAGAAAGAAAAAACAGAAAACACAAAAAAAGGCTTGAGAAACGGATTGGTAGTCAGCGACTCGGATAAGAAGGAAAAAACATCAAAAACATTGAGGAAGGTCGACGATGAAGGCGTAATTGGGGAGTCAGGAGGTGCAGACGGCGCGTATGAGGGGTCAGAGCGGTCAGGAGCGCGAGTGAAGTCGAAGAAAAAGGACGGCAATGTGGTGTATTTCGACGCCAGCCTCGTCAACCTTTTCACTATCCCTATCTGCATCGTCGAGAGGACTGAGACCTATCCCTCTGCCCTGTTGGACTCGGGTGCGACGTGTAACTTTGTCGATGACGCGTTTGTGGTTGACCAGGGGTTGGAGCAGGTGTTGCTCAAGAGGCCACAGACCTTGGTGTTGGCAGATGGCGCTCACGCACAGACCGGACGTATTACCCACCGAGTACGGATGACGTTGCTGCTGGGTGCGGGATTCGAACCCTACGAATCAGATTTCTTAGTCACCCCAGTACGGGTATCACAGATTGTCCTGGGTCTGCCGTTCTTCGACAAAGTCGACCCGGACGTGCGCTGGGCTGAGCGACAACTACGACCAAGGGGGGGGCAAGCGGTGCTGTACTCGTCGATCACGCAGGAACAGGTGCAGGTAAAGACAGTTGTACCAGCCAACTACCACGATTTTCTCGATGTCTTTGAAAAAGGCTCAGCTGACCGCCTACCCCAACACCGACCTTTCGACCATACCATACCATTAATGGACGGTAAGTCCCCTCATACTGGACCAATTTACCCATTGTCTGAGAGCGAACTCGCCGAGTTACGGAAGTATCTCGACGAGAACTTAGCAAAAGGGTTTATCGTACCTTCTCAATCTCCTGCGGCGTCGCCTATCCTTTTTGTCAAAAAGAAGGACGGTAGTCTGCGACTATGTGTCGACTATCGCCGGCTTAACAGTATTACTATTAAAAACAGGTACCCGCTACCGCTAATTGGCGATCTGTTAGACCGCCTTAAAGGCGCGAAGGTGTACAGTAAACTGGACTTGCGAGGGGCTTACAACCTCCTTCGTATTGCAGAGGGGGAGGAGTGGAAGACGGCGTTCCGTACGAGGTTTGGTCTTTTCGAATACAGAGTTATGCCTTTCGGCCTCACTAATGCACCAGCCTCCTTCCAATACCTGATGAACCATATATTCCACGACATACTTGACACGTACGTGGTAGTATATCTGGACGACATTTTAGTGTACTCGCCAGACACAACAACACACATTGCACATGTCAGGGAAGTACTTAGGAGGCTGAGGGAGAACCAGCTGTTTGCAAAGCATGACAAGTGCGAGTTTCACGTGCACCGAGTGGAGTTTTTGGGGTTTGTGGTGACACCACAAGGGGTAGAAATGGACATTACGAAGGTGGAGTCGGTGAGGGCTTGGCCGATTCCGCGGAACCTGAAGGAGGTACAGTCCTTCTTAGGGTTTGCTAATTTCTACCGCAGATTCATCAAGAGTTACGCCAAAGTCGCCGACCCCCTACACGCACTCGCCAAGAAGGACACACCTTTCAGATGGGGTCCCCGTGAACAGGATTCAATGGACCAGCTGAAGGATGCGATGACTACAGCACCTGTACTCCGCCACTACGAGCCCAATGATCCCATTCGTGTGGAGACAGATGCGTCGGACTATGCGCTAGGCGCCATATTATCACAGACAGACGGGGAGGGCGTGGAAAAACCTGTTGCCTTCGCATCCAGGAAGATGATACCTGTGGAGTTGAACTACCCTGTTCATGACAAGGAGTTCCTGGCGATATTCTTCGCGTTCAGTACTTGGCGGCAGTACTTGGAAGGGGCGCAGGTTACGGTCACCGTACTCAGCGACCACAAAAGTCTAGAGTATTTCCTCACAACAAAGCAGCTGACACGTAGACAGGCGAGATGGAGCGAATACATGTCTGATTTCAACTTTTACATCCAATACAGACCAGGGAGACAGGCAACCCTGCCCGACGCCCTGTCACGCAGAGCTGACTACCGTCCTACAGACACAGACAAGACAACTACGTCCCCTGAGCTCAACGACCACAACTTCCGTTCTTTGTTGCGACCAGACCAGTTCTTGGGAGTACGTGTGGTACCAGCGGCAACAGCGGGCGTGCTTCTGGACGTGGACACGGAGATGCCTAACGACCCCTCTTATGAAGGGTGGAAGGCCAAGGCTGAAGTTGGTGAGAAGTATACGGTAGACGGAGAAGGGAGACTAAGATACGGGGGATTGGTGATTGTGCCAGAGAAGGTGAGGAACACGGTATTACACGAGTGTCACGACAGCGTACGCGCCGGCCACCCAGGTGTAGCAAAGACGTACGAGAACGTCAGTAGGTTTTACTGGTGGCCAGGGGTGAGAGATGGAGTTAAACAATGGGTAGGGTGTTGTGACACTTGCCAGAGAACAAAACATAGTCGTCAAGTCCCAGCCGGACTGTTAATACCTATGCCAACAATCCAGCGACCCTGGGCGTCGGTAACAACCGACTTTATCACTGGGCTTCCCACCTCTTCAGGATACACGGCAATCAGTGTATGGGTATGTCAACTCACAAAAGCAGCTATCTTCTGCGAAACAGTAACTACCGTCGATGCGCCCATACTCGCCGACTTATTCCTCAAAAGGGTCTACCCACGAACAGGGCTTCCAGAGAGAATCGTGTCAGATCGAGGCACCCAATATGTGTCGTCTTTCTGGCGTACGGTCACGACACTGATGGGTACGGCGACGAAATACTCGACTGCGTACCATCCCCAGACCGATGGCCAAACCGAGATTGTAAACCAGTGGCTGGGCCACTATCTCCGCACGTTCGTCGATTACGACCAACGCAATTGGCAGTCCCTACTACCGCAGGCGGAGTTTGCGTACAATAGCTCGGTACATACCTCGATCAATCTGTCGCCTTTTGAGGCGTGGATGGGGTACCAACCAAGAGTCTCAATGCTAGAGCCAATCTCTGAGCCAGGAGGGAGTGGGGAAAGCGAACAGGGCAGACAGTTAGTACGGGACGTGACTGAGTTGTACGACTGGCTAAATCGCCGAGTACGGGAGGCGCAGGAGGCGTACAAGAAACAGTTTGACAAGAAGCACAGATGGGTAGTGTTGGAGATAGGAGACGAAGTCATGGTTTCCACAGCGAATATTAGGACACTGAGGGCTTCCCGGAAGTTGGAACACAAGTGGATTGGGCCGTTCAAGGTGACTGCGAAAGTTAATGATAACGCCTACAAGATTGAACTCCCCAACTCCTACCGTATTCACGACGTTTTCCACATTTCGGTGTTAAAACCATATAAGCGAATGGATACCCCAAGTACTGGGTCAGTTGATGCACAGGTAGAACCACCGGCGCCTGAAGTTCAAGATCACACTCAGCAGCCACCACCTGCGCACTTGGCAGAAGGAAATTCATGGGTCTACGAAGCCATTCTGGGAGTTGGGGATCGCAGGACTCAAGGTGGGGAGCTAATCAAGCATTACAGGATCAAGTGGTTGGGCTCACCACTGAGTGAGAGTACGTGGGAACCGGGAGAAGAGGTGGAAAACGATCCTCGTTTCAGGCAGCTATTCGAGGCGTACGAGGCACGTACGAAGGAGGGGAGAAGGCTCAGGGTGGAGCCATCCCACCGTCAGTAGTCGCCAAAGGCGACTACTGGGGAGGCCACTACCAACTACAATTCATTCCTTAGTGGCAGATAGTATCGTTCCTGGACATTTTTCACCTAAAACAGAACTCTTTAATCACGAAACCTCATTCATCTTATAATTCGACGGATTCACAGCTACAGATAGGGATCACGAAAACACAGTTGCTGACTACAGACTATATACACACCAACCCACACCGCCTACTCGTCACCGCCATTGTTACCTTGCCCAGATCCACCGGCATCATCCTCATCCCCCAGGCCATAGTCAGCCATCGACTTACGTTTCTTGGAGGGGGAACCAGCCTTGCTTTTGATGATTCCAAAATTGTCCAAATACTTGGGACTCATTAGCACGTACTCGCCAGTTACGGTCACATACCTGCTGTACTTCACCCAATTCCTCCAACGCTTTCTTCAACACAATCGGCGAAACCACTGCCTTCTCCCACATTTTCATACTAGCCCTCACACCTTTCAACTTCTCCACCATCTCAACGTGAGGCCCCTCCTTCACCTTTCCTACACGCCTCTTACCCAAACCGGAATCGAGAAGGAGGTCACACGCACAATTGGGGGTAGCGCGGCATCGTACACATCTACGTTCAGTGTACTTCCCGACTACGAACGACGTACTTACTTCGTACACACAAAATACTCATCCTTACCGTCGGGGAGAATTCGGCTCACTACACCGACCAAACAGTTCAACCCTTTGTCACGACAAGTACTACACGCTCCCACGTCAGTAACCGGCGACTATGGACACGTACTCACCATCCCCGCGCACAACCAAACCAAGTTCGCCTTCGAAGTTCTCCATGAAGGAGTACGCATCATACAGGCAATGACGGCGGGTAGTCTTGGAGGATTCCTTCACATACTCCTTCTTGATAAACGATTTGAGGAACTGTACTTAGCAACCACATCGCCGTAGTTGGCCTACCTTAACTACTTTGTCGATGTGTCCAGCATCAAAGTCGAAATCTACGATGCGAAGTTTGGTGGACTTCAATGAAGGATTACGCAGGGTTACCACCTTGGTGCTCTCGTCAGCCTCCAACACCTTGAATTGGGAAGGTTTCATCGTGAACTCGGGGAAGGTGGCGCCGGAGAAGACATTAACGGCAGAGGAGGACATCTTGTTGTAATGGGTATTTGGCGAGAACGATTGGGTACTAGGAGTAGGATTAATGAAGTTGAGAAAGATGAAGTACAATGTCAGAATTGAGATACAGGAGGTGCAAGTTAGTAGTCGGGGATGACGTGTTGCTTGGATACAGGGCGTGATGGATTACGAGAGGGCGCACAGGCGTAGGTGATCGGGTTTCAGATCTAGTTCGAGGACGAACTACGACCTTAGGAGGGGGCGACTGTCATGAACATGACTGCCACGTCGGTATTAGGACATCAGGGTCCACGGGGTTATGGTTGAGGAGTCCCTGAGCGTAGTCAGCAGATACATTATTCGAAGCTATCTGTTATCTCTTCGAAGAATGTATCTTCCTCTGTCTGAACTACAAGTATCGTCTAAGCACTAGTCAGTAGCAAGGCCTTGTCTCTCGAGAACCTAGAGCCGTCTTGACACATACCAAAGACAGAACTCATCCGTTTCGAGGACGATCCATCTTCTCCTGTTACCCCTGATGTAAAATTGACCGTGATACCCCGATCCGCTGTAGAACCTGGGACTCTAGTAGTCACTGCTCAATCTTGCCATACCGATTTCAGATGTCACTGGGTAAAACATCGATGTTTCTTGACAAGTGATGATGACGGTAGAGTACGTGGTCGAAAACGTTATGCCATCATTGATGATGATCCTGAAAGTTCAAACATTTTCCAAGTAATTCAAACTGATTATGATGGTGATACTCAACCCACCTTTGTTACTTTTACACCTAAAGATTCACAAGGACAGAGACACATAATCAGTGAAGCTTTCAACACTATAATTCCCGATCCTACATTTTGGACTTTGAACAATGATGAGAACCTTAACAGGACTAGAGGAAATGTAGCTTCTTTGACAGGACCACGAGAATTTTCTCAATTGTCAAGGAATTTGGAAGACGCCGTGTCTTATCTTACAAATCGAGAAGACCTCTTCAGTGAGATCGCACTGGACAGATGGACAGCTTCACGGACTGAGCAGACTGAGGCGCAGGAGACTGAGATCGGAACCAAGGATGTTGACTGTTCAGAGCAATTGATTTTGACTTGGAAAAGTAGAGATATCATGTGAATGTTCATAGCATATGGAGATTGATTCGAAGAGCCGAAATATGAGAACATTGATCAAACATGAGAAGCTCCTTGATCACTGATACATTTATCATTTCTTCCGGCCCACACCAGCCAAACAGCCATTGCCCACCATTTCAACACGCGGGGACCTCTGCTCCGCGCATAAGAAGGCCACGGAAATCGGCCCCGAGCGGATGAAACGTTAACACGCATCTACATAAATATCACTGTGGACAATGCATTCTACTTCCTAATCAAAGGTCAGGACATGTTGAGATACTTAGAACAGGCCTGCTCTTCCAGGGCTCTATTGATCTATCTTCCACACTGCCTACATGTATTACACTTTTACGGGTCACATGAGTCAAGACTCACTTTCTCTAAAGCTCAAATCAGATGACATCATCCCTTCAAACGTGATCATGAAACATCTCGGACCTTCGTAAGTGTGACTTCACTCCTTTGACTGTGTATGTCGTCATCGAGTGTAGCCAACAGGCTAAAAAGCACACATTTCCCCTTCTCCCCATCTTTTCTAGATCTTCGCCCTATCCTTGTGCCCAAATCACTCTCCTCTCGACATTGCTATAGCATATCAAGAACCTAACGGAATCTGAACCTGACACAACATGACAGACTCTTGGCTGGTCACGACGCCCTTCTGTACGCTCGATACGCAAAATTATGAATATTGCCCCCACCTCTTGCGTTTGTATCCCGATACTCGCTCCGTGCCTCCAGGATATACAGGTTACACAGCAAATGGAAGCTACATAGTAGCATTGACTCCGCAAGATCTCGAAGATCCAAATTCAGGAAGCGTCTTAACTACACAAGCTTGTCAAACACATCTTAAATGTCCACCTAACGAACACAAATGTTTCATGTCGACTGATACAATGGACGTCACAGGCTACCGCTTGCGTTTCACCGTCGTCCCAGCTCCAAAAGCTTCAAATGCTACCTTCCACATCTTTACTTCAAGTGGTGAGAATTTCATACAGCCTATCATGATTAACATGAGCCCTTCAGATGACAAATGGAGACTCACGGGAAGCTTTCTGGACCAACTCATCTCGGATGATCATAATCCTTCTTTCTTGCCTCAGTCGGACTATGTGGATATCCTCAGCGAAGGACGTATCATCTTGAAGGATAGGAAACTCGTTATGACGGGGGATAGGAGTTTGGAGCAAGCACTCTCATTGTTGACTGGAAGAAAACTTGCGCCGATGTCGGAAATCACTCTGCTCGAACGGGGTTCCGTGCCGACGAGAGAGAGTAAGCCTTATAATACACCGGATGGTGCACGGGAATGGAGTCATTGTATAAGTTGGTTGACGATTGAGGTCGAATGACCCCTCGTTTTCCCTAGGATCTGCTACCCTAGGGAAGCTCCAATGTAGACTTCTCTCTAGTGTGATGTGATTGATCTCGATGGTTTTTCCTGGCATCAGGCTGCTTCAGTCATCCCAGCCAGTAGCTGCGAGGCCGATCTGCGGTTTGTCCACCTCCAAGTCTTCCGTTGATCTACCCCTTCCACGTCCATGTTCTCTTACGTGTGACAGCCTCTCACATGTGGCAATGCCTTCTGTCTCCCTCCGCCTATCATCTGTACTCCAAACTCCGAAATTCCTCTCCATTTTGTAATGACGTCACTGCCGTAACTCCTAGAGATGGCGCAAGGGCACGACATCGTCTTCTTGAGGACAGTATTAGATCAAGACAAAGATGATCTCTTTCTCTTCTGCCCATTCTCCCATAGAACCTATCAAAGCTCGTCATTTATATCAGCCCACACTTTTGTGCTTAAATCATGACTTACCCACACCAGTTCATTCCTCCTGATGATTTTCTTGAGGTAAGGAAGAGAGGAAATTTCACCTTTTTGTCAGACTCTGACATTATATACGTTCCTTGGATCCGCGCAATTGTTCTCGTGTCATCAACTGTCAAGCTATCAACGATCTGGCTGGATGCCCGCCCGACGACCATGTGTGTCTACTTAGTCAAAAAGATTACAATTATTTCTTTTGATTGAGCTTGAAGCATTCAACACATTTTCCCATTGAGGAAAACGACCCATACACTTATTATACTTTAGAATATCTCAGCCAAGATGGTTCTACCGCTTTCAGTATGGTCAAGCTTGTACCTGACGACAGCCAAAACCAAGTGTCATACAAAGTCGCAATTAGTGCATTCGACACCCTTCGTCCATTCGGACCAGATCCTCCGATTTGTGTCAACAGAAGTGAGTTCAACCTCCAGGATCTGTCTGAAGGGGAAGTAGTATTACGCCATATCCCATCAGAGTCACACAAGTTCATGCAGGGAACTGATGATCAAGTCACAGAGGCCATTGCCTATCTGACTGGTGAGACTACTGTTTGCTAATAATTAGATGGTAATACAGAGGGGAAAAAGAGCATGCATCAATTCTACATGTCTCTATACTTATCACATTCCACTCACACGCATAAAACCAGAGACGATCGAATAAAGTTCAGAGGATAAGTTGAACGGAGAAATATTCGACGGAAGGGGTAATTATCTAATGGCGGTTCGGCCGTCCTGGCCCGATTCTATCGGCTAACACTCCCCCACGGGACAATGCACGACTCTGCAGTAGTCCCGGACAATTTATCGATGGCGACGGCGAGGTTTGTGATGATGTAGAAGGTAGTAATGATGAATTATTGAGTGTTATGTGTGTGGTAGTAGTGGTAGGTGAAATCGTGAAATGAATTTCTGTGGGGCCCCCCGCGGGGCTCCGCTCTGACACGTGGCTACCACTCACCGCTACCGACGACTGACTCTTCTCTATCTTTCCTTTTACTTCATCACTTTTACCTCCAATTATCGGTATGTCCACCTTTTGCCTTTCTCCACTTCTATCTCTCATTTCTAACTCTCTGAACTTCCCTTTATCCTGTCTGCTTCTTAAAACTTCAGGTTTGCTAGTAGAATCCCGAGAATCGATGAAATTCCTTCGAGTACCTGACTGACAATATCTATCATTAGTAGCAAACACATCATGTCCCAAGTTCCTGCCTCCGTTTTCGCGACTGTTGCTACTCCCTCGGTTCCTGGACCGTCTGATCGTCCCACTCTTAGGTTGCTCCCCAGCAATCCTCCCGACTCTAAGTCTGTTACTGTCTGTCATAATGTGAACTTTATTGAGTTTGAGATCTTTCTCAGAAGGTACAATTTGAACTGGGGATTTTGAAATCGAACCTCGATAAACATTTCCTTTTGCTAGGAAACGCTCTTTTGGAAGGTGGTGGTACCCATGCGAGGGTACAGGAGATCGTTGATACTGTCGATTCTCTCCACGAAAAGATCGAAGCTGTCCTGGGTGGTTATAAAGTTGCTGGCTACCAGCCAAAGTTCCCGGTATTTGTGGATTTGACGATGGAGGTTGAGTAGGGCCTCCTCTATGTATCATCTTATCCCTTCTCTTACTCTTCTCTTTCATTTCTCTAATGACTCTAGGTTCTACCGGTGGTTTCTGACCTATCTTCGAATTACTCACATTCTTAGGTACACCTGAAAATTTTACATTTTGGCTCACGAGAACTTTTCCTTCGGTGGGTTTCTCTGAAGTTCCTTCCACCCACACTTCTCTTTCTGATACTACTTCTCTGTCTGGTACTACTTCTCTTTCTGGTACCACTTCGTTCTCTGATACCACCTGATAGATCTCCTAGGTCCTCAAAATCAGAATAATCGTAATCGATGATTTCATCATCATCTAATGTCACGTATACTGAACCAGTGTTTTTCTTCTTCGGTGGTTCTACCCGTATCGCTGACATATTCACTGAATGTACTGGTCCACCTAAAGCTTTCGTAAGTACATCTGCTCTCTGATAGACAGTGCTGACGTATTCTAGTTCAATAACTTTATTACTGACTAGATCTCGAAGAGCATGATGTCGAATATCGATATGTTTTGTCCTCTGGTGATGTAACGGTACTGGAAACACGACGACTAGGTCGCAGGTTGGGTCGAACTCGATGGATGTCTCGTGGAAATCTAGGGGCTCTGGTGCTAATGGACCGTGTCTCCTCTGCAATCGATGTAGCCAAAGAATGATATTGAAGAATCAGCAAAGTTGGTACTTTGCTGATTGTACTATATACTGTCTACGGCTATCCTTGTCCTCGTCTCCTTCCTGCTGCAAGCGTCTACGTACATACTCGGACAGGTGAAAAACCGCTTTGAGCAAACCCAGTTGTCACGAGACCAACTAACCAGCATTGGGACGATATAACAGTGCCCTTCAGAGGCAGCGGTCTAAACCACTGTGCTAAAAGGCCTATTAACCGGCGGTTACTGCATACCGCCGGTCGCTGGTAATATACCCAACCCATCCTATCACTATCACTATCAAACTGTCTTGTCACTTCGTGACATTATGCCTTCCCTTTCAGCCCCATCTGGGGCCCCAACAGGGAAGGGTACGATAGGCCGAAAACTTTCTCCGAGAGGGAGGTTTTCCAAGTAGGGACTGAATTTGACCCAGCCCACCCTGGGAGTCGAACCCAGGATCCTACCCGTAACCGCCGGTTAATCTGTCACGAGACCAACTAACCAGCATTGGGACGATATAACAGTGCCCTTCAGAGGCAGCGGTCTAAACCACTGTGCTAAAAGGCCTATTAACCGGCGGTTACTGCATACCGCCGGTCGCTGGTTAAATACCCAACCCATCCTATCACTATCACTATCAAACTGTCTTGTCACTTCGTGACACCAGTGGGGAAATCTCGAAAGGGGAAAACCCGTCCCTACCTACTGCAGCACTGCCTCCAACTCCCGCTTTCCTCTGTCCTAATCCGTCGAACTCGATAGAGTCCTCTCGATTCGTTGTTACTCCGTAACAGGTGAGTACCAGGTTTTCTCGCTAGTGATATCGATCCTTGGTTATCGCAGTTTAATATAGTAGGATTTAGCTGATCGTAGCCTATCTCCCTCAGTAATCCTCTCAACCACTGAGCTTCCTTCGCTGCTTCAGCCATTGCGATGTACTCTGCTTCAACTGTCGACGACGATATCGTAGCTTGTCTTTTTGAACTCCAGGTTATCGGTGAGTTGTTCATCATGAATATCCAGCCTGTAGTTGATCGTCGTGTGTCTTTACAACCTGCCCAATTGGCATCAACCCATCCTGCTAGATCGCTGGCCTCCCCACCGAGACGAATACCATGTAAACGAGTGGACCGAAGGTAGGTAATTACCATTATCCCTTCCTCCCATACTTTCTTCGTCGGTTTGGTGAGGTACCTAGCAAGGTATGAAGCTGCATATGATATGTCGGGTCGAGTACATGTGGCTAACCACTGTAGACATCCTATTAATTCTTGAAATGGTCGAATTTCACTTTCCACTTCCGACATCAAAGGATTTTTCGCAGTAAGAGGTAACGGTGTTTTTCGATCTCAATGTAAGTCGTTTTCTGGAAACTTCTGAACTATCTTATCGATGTACGCTGGTTGGTTCAACCATATTGTCTTTTCTTCTCTGTTCCTTGTTACTTTCATACCTAAGATAGTACTTATCTCCCCCAGGTCAGTTATTATCCACCTTTTTCCTAGCCCATCGAAAATTTCCTTTGCTTCTTCCTTCGATTTCGTGGCTAATACTAGATCATCAACATAGGCTAGCAGTATTGCTGCTCCCTTTCCTTCGATTTTCCCTTCTGGTCTGTAGTAAAGACCCCAATCTGATTCCGATTCTTGAAAAACGTAGGTGAGATAATCCTTTGCCGAGTTCTATCCACCATGTCCTACCAGATTGTTTTAAACCGTAAAGAGACTTTATTAACTTCACGGTATTACATCCAGGTTTCGGTTTTATCCCCTTGGGATACTTCATGTAAATTTCTACATCGAGTTTACCGTTTAAATACACCCCTTCGACATCGGCCTGACGAATTTCGAGATCTTCGGTGGCCGCTATAGTCAAGAGTATTTGTAATGACCCCGATCTACCGACAGGTGCGAATGTCTCTTCGTAATCGACACCTGGTACCTGTGAGGATCCTTGAGCTACTAGTCTGGATTTATACTTTAGTAAGTTTCCTTCTGAATCTGTCTTCACTTTGAATACCCATTTACATCCAATGGCTTTACGACCCGGTGGAAGTACCGTTTCCACCCATGTTTCTTTAGATTCGATGTTAGATATCTCTTTCTCCATGGATTCTAGCCACTTCTCACCATCTGGGCCGTTTACTGCTTCTTCAGGAGAGACAGGATCAATGAGAGAAGTGTCACTTTCAATACCTGCGATAGAGGCGAGTGCGACTAACCTATTAGGCTCGCGACCGAACTCCAGAAACAAGTCTGTTAGGCCTGCAAAACGATGGGGGGGTCAAATAATTCTTCCGTGACGTGTGGTCAGGATCCCCTCATCCCCATCATTTCTTCCTTCATCATTTCTCTCATTTTCAACGATATCGTTCTCATAGATCCAATTTCCTCCCCAAATGCCCTGTCCTCGTCGTCTTTCGGTGGGTTGTGGACCTGTATTAGGTGAGTTGTCTCTGTTGACATCATTTCCTTGTTCATTATCGATATTTTCCTGTTCGCCACTTTCTGGGCGGTCGTCAGGGAAAATTTCTTCGTTGATGACGGGGTCTAGGTCCACTTCGATGGTGTCAAGAGGAGTTTGGATGACATCTGGCGACTCTCTAGTAGCCACCATTCGTCCTGTCGAGCGACGAACGTCTCGTGAGTGTTCGATTCGTCCCGATCCGTCCATTCTAACGATCCAACCGCTCACACCCTCATCCTGACCTAGTATAATGGCTGACGAACCCCTAGGTATTGTGAAGTTCGACTTCAGCCTTATCTCCCTTGGTATCTGAACAAAACATCGTTCACCAAATCTCCACACGCTATCTAAGTTCGTGTCTCTTCCTGTGAGTGATGTCCAGCCTGATTTACCACTGACACCAATCGAGGTTTTCATAATTATAATGGCGGCGTATCTGACAGCATAGGACCAATATTCGTTCGGTAGTCCTGAGTCGAATAACATCGTTGATACCATCCCCTTCAAGGTACGTATCATTCTTTCCGCCACTCCATTTAATTCCGGTGTGTATCTTGGTGTGATGTAGTGGTTGATCCCTGCTGACAGGTAGAATTCCCTCATATCCAGACTATCGAATTCACCTCCCCCATCAGACCTAATCACCCTCACCCTTTCACCAAGTTGTTTCTCCAATTTTGAGATACACTGTCTAACGATATCAGACAATTCGTTCTTCGTTGTTATCGGTATGGCGAACACAATTCGACTCGCCCTTTCTACACCAACGAAGAAATATCGTTCTCCCTTTATCGCCGGGCCAAACGGACCAGCAATATCGACATCCATTCCTACTCCTTCACCATCTCCTTTTAACATTGGTGCTTCTTTATTCTTCGGTAGACGTGTTATCTTGGCCTGCATACAGGCGGGACATTTATCAGTCGTAAAGGGATCGTTTTTGTAAGTGTCCCAGTCCTTCTTCAATAGTCCCTGTCTACCTAGATTCTTTAGTTTATCTATACCTATATGTCCGAGTCGCTGATGCTCAGATTCAAGTGGTGAAGTCGCCTTCGGTGTCAATATCACGATCATCGCGGCAGACATTGCTCTGCCGAATCGTACCGACCACAGTGAGTCATGTTTCCTCAAACCTAGTTTCTCTTTACCTTTACCTATCCATCCACCACCGCTGCTTAGATTCGCCTTCCATCCCCATGAGAGTAACTTCGAAAGGGAGAGGAGACTTATCTTTGCTGTGGGGACGTGATGTACATCTTTCAGTACCATTTTCTGTGCTGAATCTAGTTCGAGGTTAATATCACCTGTTTCCCAAGCCGTCATTGACTTGCCAGATGCTAGTCCGAACACTCTCGGTTCCACTAGTCTTTTAATATTCGTCATTATCAACCTGTGAGGAGTTATGTGGTGAGTAGCACCACTGTCCACTACCCAGGTGGGGATTACACGAGTGTGGCTTACATCATTAGACTCTGTAGCTAATCCCACCCACTCATTATCCTCAACCCATGGGTTTTCAATTTCTTCCGGCCACACGATGTTACTCGTGTACCCTGCGTCATCATCGAACCATGATTCTGTCAACATGGCCATCCCGGCCCACGCCTCATGTTCACCATCCAATGACAAATACATCAAGGAGGTTTTGGAGTTATCCTTGGACTGGTTCTCATCCTTCGAGACCGTATGTCCTTTCTTATTATTCTTATTATTATTATTCCTCCATTTCTTTTTACCTCCACCCTTTACATCTGCGTTTTCTTTCCTGTTCGTATCCTCTCTTTTAGGTTTACGACAGTACTTTGCTAGATGTCTGTCACAATCGTCGTTTCTTCTTCTCTACTGACCGACGGTCGACAAACCTCGGCTAACTACGTCGTAGTGGGGCGTCGATGTCTCACTAAGACAGGGTACTCGTCGAGGAACTACGGCTAACTTCGCCGTAGTAATACGTCGAGTGGTGAATGATAAGATGATCGTCGATGAACTACGGCTAACTTCGCCGTAGTACGTTGAACTGCTCGGTGGTAGCTCTCCTTAACTCGAAGGTTGTAGCTACTGAATATATCTCTCGCTACTGACAACAATCAAGGATCGCTGAAGAAGTTCAGCGATCTGTAAACTATCTATACTACTCCTCTCTTCTCATAGAACGTCCCTCAACTCCTGCACTGCCTCGCGCTCAGTCCTCTTCGTTCAACTTCGCCGTACCTCGCCATATCCCCGATATCCTACTCCGCTCACTTTGACTAACTTCGCCTAACTTCCCCTGTTCTGCTCTCCCTCGGTTCCCTTCCCCTAACTTCGCCGTAGTTCTCCGCTAGGCGGGGTTATCGTGACAAATCCCCTCTTGGTTCTCGTAACTTCGCCGTAGTTGGTCTCAGTGGTTCGAGTGGAGGTTGGTGGTGGTGAAAGGAAGGTCGGTGATGGTGAAAGGAGGGTCGGTGATGGTGGTTGTCAGGGATGTTACGACGTAGTTCGTGACAATGTCCTACAGTGTCACAGTTATAACACTTTCTGGTTTCTTTCCTGGGCTGACCATCAGAGATATTATCTCGGTTCACCCTCATTCCTTTATTTCCTTCAACGAACATCGCGAATCCCTTTCTATTGGTCCTACCAACAGGGCGCACTTTACGTCTCGCCGTTTCTTTATTAAAGATCGATAAGACCTTTTCCCAAGTTCTCTCCTCTACTATGAGGGATGTTACTTCGATCTGGATGATCCTGTAGGATGGTGCTAGAATGGTATTGAGGAATAACCCAGCTCGTTCCTGTGAATCAAACTTTAACCCTACCAATCTCGCTTCGGACATCGTCTTCGAGAAATCCTCTACATGCTTAGCCATTTCTTCGGCCGTCGCATCGTCCCTTAAGTCATAGCTAAACAACGCTTGACGGACATTCCTTTGATTCTCCATCGTCGCTGTCACATGCAGGGCTACGCAGTAATCCCACATTTCTTTAGCTGACATCTTCTCAGATATATCAAGCATCACAGCATCCGACACTGTTCCCTTGATCATCCCCTGCGCTTTATTCTCCCTTGCTTGCCACTTTTCCCATTCCTTCCACTCTTCTCCAGTAATCCTTCTACCAACCACTTGCCCTTCGACGGGCGTGGTAGGAGGTACTGATCCCACCCTCTCAGCTGTCGACCTAACCCCTACGCGACCAGGTTCGGTATCATTACCTGTGACGATATTCCACACGTCACCTATCTGTAGATACACCTCGATCGACTTCCTCCACGGAGCATACGATGCTGGATCGTGGGATAACTTTGGGTGGCTCTCAAGAGAGATCTTAGACGACACAGAGGTCATTATGAGGAGAGTAGAGATGGGAACTTGCCTTAGTTATACACAGAGGTATGTGGACTTCCGACTGTTAATCTGTTTGCTAATAATTAGATGGTAATACAGAGGGGAAAAAGAGCATGCATCAATTCCACATGTCTCTATACTTATCACATTCCACTCACACGCATAAAACCAGAGACGATCGAATAAAGTTCAGAGGATAAGTTGAACGGAGAAATATTCGACGGAAGGGGTAATTATCTAACGGCGGTTCGGCCGTCCTGGCCCGATTCTATCGGCTAACAACTACCAAGTTCGATTATGCAGTAGCCGAATGGACGGTTCGGTGTGGACCTGGGTCGGAAGTTGTGAATACCGCAAGCACCAGGGGCTGGACAAACTGTTTGGAGAGGATGACGATTCGTGCCATACCACGGGATGATGATGATGACTTCGAGGAAGAAGATGATGAGGACTACGAGGATGGAGAGTATAACATGGAGGTCGACACCAGGGTGAGCTCTATCGAGAGGGTGAGATAAATCTACGATTAGGGCGACTCGATATGCGACGTTTTGCCAAGGCCGAGAGTCCTGGTGGGCTGAGATAGATGAGGACAGGGTAGACTACCTGAGAGCAGTACAATGCATGAGGTCATACTTGTTGTCCCTAGGACGATCAGTCTGCCCTTCCAGATTCGGAGTGAACTTCTTCTCCTCGAGCCGTCCAAACAAAACTGGGAAGACGAGGGAGTTCCTTTACCACAACGTCCCCGTGATTCTTTCTTTCCCTTTACTTCGGTCGTTCAGTATTGAGCACGCACGATGGTGTTTGTCCTCATCACAGAAGACATAAAGGCTTGAACAATAGTTTCTCTTCCTCTTTGCCTTCATCCTCTTCACCCCTATAAGCCTTACTCCCTCTGGAAGCCATACATATCATACATTTCACACACGTGATGGGAAAAAAACAGATATTTGTTACTCCTGATGATTTTGACTCAATGAGAGGTACGTTTACTTTCTTGGATTACTCAGATTTCCAAGACGCGGCTGCCTCAGGTATGACTTTCCGCAGATCTCGTGTCCTTGACTGTGAAGCCATTCAAGACCTGACCACATGTCCGACCACAGTCCATGCATGTGTTCTTGCTATGGACGATGACACGACTGGTTGGCTTCGTTACAGTGTTCAACCCTTGCCAGAAGACAGCAACAATACAGAAGGATGTCCGAGCGCATACTACGTGATCCAACCTCTGGCCGATGATGGAACACATTTGACCTCCACGGTCCACTTGAAACAAGAGGATAAAGATGGAACGACTATGACGACGGTGAAAGGTGGTGCATTTACCCTAAACTCATTTGGTCCAGAGTTCGAAGCGATCGATCCCACTTCGATCAGAGATGGCTCTGGTCTCGGAGAGAATATTCTATTTCAATATCGTCCCTCTTCTTTCATCGACTTCTACGATGACAATAATGTAATTGCTGATGCGGTCGCCTGTTTGCAGGATATACCCATGCCAAGCAGTTTTAGCCTTGGGGTAGTGGATTGGACGGTCTGCAGTACCCCTGCAACCACACTTGGCAATCAAGGTCAATGGCTTCGTTGCACTGAAAGTATGACAGTGTGTGCAATCACCCCGGAGGTAGGAGGTGGGGGTGAAAGAGGACAGGAGAGCCTTGTGGGTGCTGTGGAGGTAATGGAGATTTGAGAAGATGTTGATCAAGTCATCCTTGCTCTTTATTTAAACAAGACCACAAAAGATGACATTGGTAATGGAGTACTCCACACAAGCTAAAATCCCACGTAAGGGGATAGGTACTGCAAGAGAGTCTGAGATGGATGAACTATGCAGTGATGCAACAAACGTCCCTTTAAGATCCGTACATGTACCATGATCCGGCTTGATTGCTTACTTAGTATGACGATTGCATGAAAGCACGTCTTTAATGACGTCAAGCCAGAAGAAAGCTTCAAATATACTCATCACACTATGCTATGGGCCATCATCTTGACAGAATGCTTGAGCTTTCCGAACTGAAGTTCTCGTCTCTCACATGTCAGTTTGCTGGCGCCCCGGGTGCATGTCAAATGCTCAATGAGTACAGTACTTGTATCTGAGCTCTGGGGAAAGCGGAGCCTATAAGCGGTGGGGTGTGAGAGATTGTAATATTCAACATGTCAAACACCAACCGACGCACGTCATTGAACGTCATAATTGATTGTCTGTCAAAATGTTACATATTCTGTCCTGGGCATGTACTCTTGACAAACTCTTTGTTACTTAACTTTGGTTCATGTTCTGGGTCAGATCAATCCCTTGTAGCTAGACTTCTCTGATTGTTGACCTCCTTTCACCCTTCTGCTCACACTTGCTCAGCGTACATGTCACATGTCCTCTCCTAAAACGTTTGAATTTGTCATAACGGAGAGAAGCATACGAGTGCAGCGCATCTTGTCGTTGATGTTTATCCCCTCTTCTTCACAACTTTACGAGATATACCATATCATTACTTGCTACATAAACAACGCTTCCCAACGCCACAACTGCACATACCCTATGAACCAGGTAACACGATTCCTCACTTATGATGATGAGATCCTGGGCAGGGGGGATTACTTCGTCCTGACCCCGTCCGACCTAAAAGCATCCACTATTGGTAATAATCCATCACGAGTGCTCAATTGTGATGACAAGTCCCTTAGGGAAGAAGCAATACTTTGTCCACCCCAACCTCATTCGTGTATCCTTGCAAGGAACGACGCAAATGGGAGGTGGGGGTGGTCAAGGCTCAGCCTTCAACCCTCAACCCCGCCACAGACCGCCAACCCTGACCCCTATCAATACTACAGTCTTGAACCCCTCACTCGGGAGGGATACCCGGCAGTCTCTACTGTGGCCTTTGAAAATCAGGAGAGACCAAACCATGTTGAGCTGACAGTAAGACGGAGCACTTTCATGCGATACTTGTTCAAACCAAAGGGGACGTGGACCGTCAACAGCTCTGAGATCAACACCTCTCCATCAGAGGGACTTCCAATAGTTAATCATCCCCCAAACACCCGCCTGGAATTTGGCGAGCAAGATGACCAGCTCACGGATGGAGCCAATGCTCTAGGAGGGGATGGAGGATCTAGTTTCTACGCATTCGAGGTGGCGGAATGGACCGTGAGGTCCACCCCTACCACGGAGTATTTCGAGACTCCTGAAATCCGGGGATGGACCGGTTGTGAAGAAAGCATGATTCTGCGTGCAATACCACTTGATGATGAGGGAAGAGAGATTGAGGTTGATCCAAATCTGAGACCCTAGAAGGACACGGAAACACCCGTACAGTACTCGTACTCGGATCATGGAGAGGACGAAGCCGATGAGGAGGTTATGGGGGTTTATCATATCGGGCCTTATTATCGATGTCTACCCTACATCTCGATTTGTGACACATGCATACAGATCGATGGCAAAGGAAAATGCTCGGACGCTAGGTACTCGGCTTGAACGATTAGATGAGAGAATTTGTCCTCATCCACTCACCCTGTCCATGCAGGTGAAAGCTCGGAGCAACATTATCATCTCCCTCAATCCTAGTGGACGGACTGAGTTCAAAAGTGCGAAAGCTACGCTAAAGATACCCGCAAGAAGTTCTGTCACCTTCCATCAAAACTCACGGGCCTTGATCGTCGTCGACGGGTCAGTGCCTAAGTGATGGAAAGGACCCCTTTGGGAGGTGATGACCGCCACACTGCCACACTGCCACTTTGGGATTTGCGGTCTTCGCTTCTGAAAGTCTCTCACGCAGAAATCGTCGCTTCTTCCCTGTGACTTTCAATTCACCGTCGATTTACACCCTTTCCTTTCACGACACTGCCTCTGCTTGAATTCTTCTCAAAAGACCCTTACTGGCTCCTCATATGATACACTTCCCTCAGACATGTAACTTCTGTATTAAATCAATCTCTAACTTCCTGACGTGGAACAGGTCATAACAAGACGACTGAAGCTCAATCATTATGCAACCTCTCTTTGAAATTTCCGATGGTGACGAAGGGTCTAAAGTGCTAATCTGTGCTGGAAACATGCGCCCTCGTATCCTTCACGGGAGGATAGCAGGCTCGAGTAGACTGCTGGATTGCAGCCAGGGACTTCTCCAGTGTCCATCGGACCCCCATACCTGTTTCATAGCGCCCACCGCTCTGAACGCTAAACGTCTCATGCTAAAATTTTTGAACACAGATGGGGATAGTTTTATGTTGTGCGAACTCACAAATCTGGGAGTGTCTGCACCTACCACTGTCAGTATCAACTCCCAACGGCAAATTTGTGGCAGTACTTTTCTCCGTTTGGCTGAGCTTGCCAATGTTATAAAGAGTATCACTCCTCATCCTGTGCGATGTGACCCTCAGATGCATGCGGAGCAAGGAGTGCTATTCTGGACACCGGAGGTTACGATAGTGAACCCCAGGAGTACTCTCGACCCAACTCTCCAAGACGTCATCAGCTCCCTGAATCCAACACTACTGGCTGCAACAGAAGTACTACTGCATGTGCAATATGTTGCCAAGTGGAATGACAATACATTTTGGGAGGAGTCACAGGGACAAGAACACTGGTATAACTGCTGTGAAGGCCTCATGCTGAGGTTCAGTCCCGTGAGTATAGGATCCGTCTCGGAAATTGGTGTACATGAGTCTTTGCAACCAGACAGTGCAGTGGGTGTCAGGATCGATTCACAGGTAGAAGACCTGCAAAAGATGTTTGCAAGCATGGAATCTCCATCTGGCGCCACCTACATGAGCAGTCAGCATGTGTGACCCCTGACACAGCAATCACATGCATGCTCCCAGACTAAGTGAGGTTGCCATCATCATCGAGACGTGCATATGCCGGCTGCAAAGTCAGTACATATGATGTGCATGCAGAGAGAGTGTAACTGACCGGAGGTGCGGGTTTATTATCGAGGATTGTCTCGATCTTGTGCATGACTTCGGGGGTAAGCTTGGGATACAAATCGAGAGCCTTGACATTCTCCTTGATCTGCTCGGGCTTGGTTGCGCCAAGCTATATGTTGTCAGTGTCATACGGGATCGGAAGGGGGGGAGGGATGGCTCACGATACAGGTGGAGACATTCTTGTGCTTGAGCGTCCAAGCCAGCGCAAGACTCGCCATGCTACCGCCCAACTCCTCGGCGAGAACAGTGAGCTTCTTGACTTTCTCAATCTTGGCTTTCCCTTCAGGCGTCTCGAGTGCCTTGACCGAAGCGCTCATCATACCCGGATTAGTGTGGTATCGAGAACCATGAGGGATCCCATGGTTGTATTTCCCGGTAAGAAGTCCGGAGTCGAGAGGAGACCAGATGGTGGATCCGAAGTTTTCGTACCTCCACAGGGACTCGTATTCACTTTCGAAACGTTCACGGTGGAACATGGAATAGTGAGGCTGCTCGCAGCATGGACCGACCATGTTGAGACGTTTGGCGATTTCGATAGCTTGAGCGATCTGCGATGAAGTCCATTCGCTTGTTCCCCAGTAGAAAGCGAGACCATTATCGATGAGGTAGTTGAAAGCTCGGACGGTTTCCTCAAGCGGGGTGGTCACATCAGGTCTGAAGGTCAGATTATTTGGAAACTCTCTATATTCTCTTCGTTCCGATCACTGAGGGGATCGGCACAGATGGGACGATAAGGGGGATGATGGAGGATTAACCAAGGGACTGGGGGGGGGGGGGGACGGAGGGAGACCCGAAGACATCAGTGACATACCGATGAGCAAAGATAACATCCACGTAGTCGAGTTGAAGTCTCTTGAGCGACTCTTTACATCCTTCGATGATGTGTTTCCTGCTCAATCCGCGAGTGTTCTGCGTTTCCTTGTGACCTGTTCCAAAGAAGATCTTCGTAGTGATGATGTAATCCTGACGATCCTACGAGATCAGCTTTCCTTACTGACACCGTATGAGATAGGTGACTCACCCAACCGAGTTCCTTGATGGCATTTCCCATTTGCGTCTCGGACTCGCCGGTGGCATAAGCTTCAGCATTCTAAAGCATAAGCTGCCGTCTACTGACAAGTTGAAGAACTCACATCAAACATGTTGATACCACATTCCCAAGCCGTGCGCATGAGTTCGGTGACAGGATTGCCTTTGATATCGTGGGACCCGACACTAATCATCAGCAACTGAAGACGAGAGCTTAGGATAAAGACTCACGTCAACCATCCTCCGTAAGAAAAGACAGGGACACGCTGTCTGAGTCAGTAGTCACTCTAAATACAACACAAGATATGTGTCAGATGATGGCAAAAAGACGTACGAGACCCGTGTTACCCAAATTGCGAAACTACCATCAGCGTCTGAAGCTCAATCGAAGTCGTCGTGAAAGATAAACCTACAAACATGTTCTTTTTGTCAAATTCGACTTTGGGCATATTGTCAAAGTATCAAGAGGTTCAAGAAAGAGTCGGGGTCTGAAAGGACTTGTTTTATGAGACGGAAGGATCCGGATATATTTTGGCGGTGGGTGGAACGATGACCAAGAATAGGACAGCCGAGCAATCCCAAGGCAGGTGATGATCAAGTGCGAGAAAGAAGTGGGACCGGAAAAGTAGCCCTCCACACACATATATATATATGTCGTTCCCTCCCTTGAATGACTCCCCTGCCCCCTACGGCATCAAGCCACTAACCTCCACCCGTGCCTCAATCTCTCCGGTGGAGGCGGAAAGTGACGTGGCTTTCAGTATTCTGGGTTGCGGGGAAATTTGTGGGGAAGGACGTCACCTTTGACCACGAACGACACCACACTTGAACATGTTGTCATTCTCCCTTTGACGACGGACCACTTTACCTCTGGGCCATGATCACTCACATCGTACCACTTGTTTTGAAAGAAGAGCGGGAGAATCTTCGGGCTGCTCTCGATTTGCCCTTCGCCCCCGATCTGTCACAGTGGAAAACCCTGTCTTTGGTCCGGGTCAAGTGGGTTCACTGACAAGATGAATCTGCTGACGCACAGACCCACCTGGGTTCAAGCTGATTTATATCCTTCACTACGGGATCATCCTGAGCTGGCGTCCTCCTTACTGCTACTCAAGTCACCCGAATGGGACAGAACTCTGGCCATTTATCCTCTAGGTACTCTGGGAGTCAATTGCAATCTCATCGTGGATCATGGAAGGCCTACTGCTAACGTTCGAAGGATCACTTCCCAAGGTGAACACAAGGCATACGTAGTCTGTGTGCTAGCTGATGGTCGATGGGAGGAGAGAAGGGTCGTGAAAGTTGCGGTAGAAGAAGCAAGAAGACTGGTTGGAGGGCAAGACAAAACAGCTCATACCAGAGACTTGTGGGATGAACTGGGTGTATGCACATGGGAGAGTTTCGGTGGCAGCAGTATGTGTCAGCTTCTCATACCTTTCCTTTGTCACCTCGTACAGCCCGGTACTCAGTCACGGTTATACTTACAGTGCTCACCGTACAGGTAGAACACCGGATCGACCTACGAAACAGATGTTGCTCGACCTCGTCCCGACTCACCCGGTCAAGACCTTTCTCATAGACGACGGCTGGCAAGATACACGCAAGATCGTCCTGCCTTCCGGTTCGGTCAAGTCCACCTTGTATTCCTTTGGCCCTTGGGAAGGTATGGGTGCCCCGATGGTAGATGTCATATCTTCGCTCAGAGCCAAAGGTATAAGAGAAGTTGGTGTTTGGATTACTCTCCAAGGGTATTGGTATGGCATTGATCGCGATAGCCCACTGAGATTGAAATACGACTGCCGGCCTTTTCGAACTTACGACAAGTCTCAAAAACGAGGCGGCATACATATCCCCTTGGCGCCTGGAGAGGGCACACAATGGGTGCCTAGTCCGGAGAAGGCTGGACAGTTCTGGGAAGATTGGTTCCGGCAAATAAAAGCTTGGGGTGTCGGATTCCTCAAGGTACGTCCCCCCATTGGCCTTCTGACAATACTACATAGAATCCGTGTTGATAGTAGGTGGACAACCAGGCGGATTACGACCAAATTACGGGTCCTGGGTCATCAGAGACTCAGCAAGCCATGTGGTCTGGCATGCTTTCCGCTGTGGATAAGGTATGGGGAGGGATGGACAGGGTCATCATGTGCATGGCGCATAACGACCGGTTGTTAAATGGTCCGGGAGGATTGGACTTTGCTCGTCCACCTGGCAATTTGGTATTCCGGTGGGTGTTCGGCTTCACACATCCATCTATCCATTACGTCGCACAGCTCCTCATGAACATGGCTCCTGATGATCAGCAATTCAGACGATTTCAATCTTCAATATGAGTACGCTCACCCCGACTTCGTTCACTGGAACATCCACAATACAATCCTTACATCTCACTTGTCTCTGATCCCCGACTTTGACATGTTTGCCTCGAATCCGCCCTCAACTTGGCCACTATACCATGCTCTGCTCCGGTGTCTTAGTCCAGGACCTATGCTACTGTCAGATACGCCAGACACACAGACCAACATGAGTCTTATCTCCCGGATGATGGCTGAGGATGTAAGCGGGACCAGAAAAATCGTCAAAGCGCCGATGGCGGCGCAGGCTTTAGCTGGCAGATGGCATTGGGATAATCTCAGAGGTGATCATGACGGACCTGCGCTCATGGCCGGAACATCTTTCCCAGACGCATGTGGGGCAATGATTGGAGCGTGGAACGGTCGTAATCCTTCTTCAGGTGCATGGGCAAAGGATCAGTTGTCAAGACAGGATGTGGGGGATGCCTTAGACCTCGAAGGGGATATCGAGGGTGAATATGCCTTGTGGAGCATGGGTTTTTCGAAAGAGAACATCTGGAAAGTCGCTTTGGTGTCTTCGGATGAGTGCAGGGGCCTGCCGCTTCTATTGGATCTTAGGCCCGGGGAATGTGAGGCCGTTGTCATTGCCCGGACTTGGGAGGTTGGCGGGGAGAAAGTAGCCGTGGTGGGTATGCTCGATAAATTGATTCCCTTGGCTGGTATTCGTGTGACTATTCAGGAAGGTAAGTCTTGCCGTCTCACACTTGAATCGTTTTACAGTACTGTATGAGATCCTCACTGATTGACTTCATGATCGGAGATGGTGCTGACGATCAGACTTTTTGACGGTGGAATGTCAATTCGCGTCAGAGCCTCTATCCGTCCTCGTGTTTGAAGAGGCGCCCAACTGGTCTCGTCTTTATTCCAAGTTGCACTTCGACCTTCCTCGCTCGACCTTTGCTACAGAATTGACTCGCTTGCGAGACGACTTATGGCTGGTGACAGTCACCTCGTGAGTCAAGTGGAGCAATGTTCCCGAATTCCGGATCTTGGAAAAACTTGAAATAGACCGGTTGACTTCGGTCCGATCGAACCGGCCGTTCAACCTTAATCTCATTCTCGTGTGGTCGGGGCCCTGAAAGGGTTCGCCGGCATCATGGGGCTCCAAATCGCCTGTGGTAATCGGGTTTAGGCCGTCATCAACTTTCTTCAGACGGTGTGATCCCGATTCTGCGAAAGAAGCGACAACCTCAATGGGAAAAGCTCTCCCATTTTCCCTTTTTCCAAGGTCCCCATTACCCATTCTGTGCCCGTCAACCTTCCCGTTCGTGCGCCTGACCTCTATTCTCCTTCCCCTCAGGCCCCCGCCCCCCCCCCCCACTGGGGTCTAAAGAAAGACGCTGGTCGATGCAGTGCCAAGCCATATAAAGGGCTCCCCTTCCCCACAGTGGACAAATTCAATCATCTTCTTAATCAAAACATCGTGACATCGAAAGAGATGGAAGACAACAAGATGGAACTCGCCCATGATGATGAGGTCGTTCAGAAAATGCAAATGGAACATAACGTCGCTGATGAAGGTGCGGCCGCTCTCCAAGGGTATGTCACGTCTTTCTCTGCCCGTCCACCAGCGGTCCACTAACATTCCTCTACTTCATTTTAACCCATTCAACTACCCAACTGGTGATGATGAGGGAGCTGACTCTTGAACAGCCAGTCCTTGAGTTACGACGTCGAAGAAGAACGTCGCCTTGTCCGTAGACTCGACTTCATATTGTTACCCATGATGGCGTGCGGGACTGGTCTTCAGTTGGTCGACAAGAGTGCTCTTGGAAGCGCGGCAACTTTGACCATTCAGAAGGACCTCGGATTGCATGGGACGCAGTACTCCTGGGCTGTCAGTATCTACTGTGAGTTTTGGGATTCTTCAGGTCATGATAGACGCTGATCGATGCAGACTTCGGGTTGTTGTTGGGCACTTGTGAGCAAGAGGCTTTTGTGTCCGTGGATTAGCTGATTAAGCATAGACCCCGCCAATCTGCTGCTGCAGAGGTATCACGTGGGAAAGGTCGTCGCTATCGCTTTCGTTTGCTGGGGTGCTGTCATGCTTGGTCATGCTGTGAGTCTCCACACCGCTCCCTATCATCAAGTTTATCCACATGGCTGAGATCATCGAGCTGTCTTGTTATGACTCGCTGTCTTTCTCTCATGTCCTCACTCCCGCTTTCTTGAGACGTTGTCTACTGAATGGGCTAATTAACAGGGCGTTCACAGCTTCGGTGCTCTTGCAGCAGTCCGTTTCCTTCTAGGCTTCTTTGAATCAGCTATGGCTCCTGGCTTCACGGCTACGACCGCTCGATTTTACAATCAAACCGAACAACCCCTCCGCTACTCTCTTTGGACATTGGCCAATACCCTTTTCCCCATTCCCGTTAGTCTTTTTCTCCACCCTTTTCACAGCGACTGACAATCAGTTCCTTCTCATCTTCTTTGGCATTGGGAAAGCATCCGATGTACCGCTGCAACCTTGGCGTTGGATATTTATCATGCTAGGTATCCTCACTGTCTTCCTGGGCGTCGGAATATGGTTCTTCTTCCCAGACAAGCCCAGTACGACATGGTGGCTCACCGAACGACAAAGGGCGGTGTGTGTGGAGCGTGTCGCAAAGACGCAAGTCGGGATTAAGAACACTAAATTCAAGAAGAGACAGATGCTCGAGGCTCTTACCGATCTCAAAGTCTGGCTCATTTGTTTCTTACTGGTGTTCCAACAGGCTGGTGTCTCCCTCCAAACCAATTTCAGTGGAATCATCATCAAAGGTTCGTCAATTCTCTCCCTCTCTTTGGGATGAGACTGAAGTGCAGGATTCGGATTTTCAGGGCTCAAGAGTCTATTACTCCAGATTCCAGGATGGGCTGCTGCTAGTATCACTGTCATTGCCACCGGATTCTTCGTTACGCATAATAAGTTCATGCAACGGGCAAAGACAGTATGTTTTCTTCCCTCCCTCCTTTGAACCTCATGTGCCACTCCTGTTCTCAAATTGCCAATTCTAGTGTATAGACATGAGCCTTGCAGGGGCAGCAAACTGACGAATAGCTCGTCTTAGCAGCAGTTGCCGTCCTCACCGTTACATGTGGTGCTATCCTCTACACCCACCCTCCCAGTTCAACGGGAAGGAACAAAGCTTTATCCCTTGTCATGTTAACTTTGATCAACACCAATGCGGTTGGATGTGAGTGATCCCTTCATTTCTTTCCACTCCCCTTGATCCATTCGACTCGTTGGCCTGTGAATGATTGTTGACAAAATAGACCCTATTATCCTTTCCCTTGCCGGTCAGAACTTTGCTGGTTCTTCAAAGAAACAAACCGTTCTCACTATGTTGTTCGTCATGTGTAAGTTCTCATCTCTTATTCTTCCTTGCTAGAAGAGGTCAGGAACTGATTGTCAGACTGTGTTTCTAACATTTGTGTCCCTCAATCTTTCGTCGCCAAACAATCTCCCGCATACTCTGACGGTATTCTCACTGTCATGGCATTCCAGGCTGCGCACATTGTGACCAACATATGGCTTTTCTTCTTGGCTCGATTCGAGAATGCCCGCAGGGATAAGGTGGCCCCGCTTCAAACCGGGAATGCGGAGGACGATCAAGATGCTATTTGGGCAGGATTGGAGGATGAGACTGATAAACGCAACATGCGTTTCAGGTACCATGTGTAATCATCGTTTGGTCTTGTGGTATTTGGGTCGTCAGTGAATGTCAAGAGATGTTTAGGATGTTCATATCTACTTGGGTTTTTGCTGAATGCATCCTATGGTGATTTATCGGGGCCAGATACTGTACTGCATTGAGACTTCACACCTGACTGAGATGAGATTACTTGACAGCCAAGAATGTTGTGAAACGGTCATGAGCAGGACACGTACAGTATGACAACATCTTTTGGGGACAAACTCCATATCTGATGGTCAGTATTGTTTTCGAGTCAGCTTGATTCCAAGTTTAAGCTTGTGTTAGGACCATCATGATACAAATCACATAGTGGAGTAGCATTGTGAATATTCGAAATATGCATAGAATTCTTTTGACTTCAATCACAAAGCTACCACGACTACTAAAGACCGAGTAGGGAGTGGCATCGATCAGATGATCGCCTGAGCGTTGGGAGGACTAGCTATACCAGCGTTAACATACAAAGGCATACTGGTGAATAAAAAACTCCAACGACCGAGTCTTTCGCAGGTCGCGGCCAACTCGCGTAAGTCGAATAGTTCGCCTATGGGCATACCCCAACCAGCTAAGAAGACTTGGTGGAGTTGTAGACCTTTAGGGGAGACGGTTTCGTATGCCGGGCTGAGAATCAGTGTTCTTCATCCATATGAATTTGCATTCTTATGATCTCTCCATGAATCTTCTATCCCCTCAACCCACACCCGACCACCGCCACCACTAACACTTCGTCTGACGACTCGCTTAGATGATCGGGGAACAGGTAACAGATGTGAAAGAGTGAAAAGCAACCGAGAACTTAAAAGTATGAAAGCTTACTTGTCAGAAACCACAGCAGCGATCCCATTCTCCCAATGCCATCTCAACACATCTTCTCCTTGATCCAACCCACATGTTTCCCTCAAAGATCTTTTGGCGAGCTCTTCCCTATCCTCCGCCGTGAGTTTCTCAGCGTTCTCCGTGTGACCGGTTCTTAGAACGAGGATATCTCCAGGAAGGAATTCGACTCCTTCTTCTTTGGCACAAGCGTCCAAATCGGAGACGGGAATAGGAGTCGTAGATGCGAAACTCTCTAACGGGGGTCGATTGTGGAGTTTAAGATAACGAGCAATGTCTAATAGATGTGCACGAGAGGTGATGGGATGTTTCACAAAATCTAAAGAAGTTAATATTCGATACACAAGTATGGGTAGGGACATTTGAGAAACAAAAATCAACTTACTCTGTATACCATTACGGTGAACATTGGGATCTTTGGCTTCTTCTGAAGTTTGTCCATTGTAATATCTATTCATTAGCGATCATCTCTGTCACGAGTGAACCGATGTGGAAGTTGCGTTTTGAGGGAATGAGATACTTACACATATTGTCCTTTCTCAGGATAGTTTTGATACGGATAATGTCTAAAACCATCCCATTGGGTAGAAGTTTGGGTATTCAAATTGACAAAATCGTCGTTACAATTATTACGATGATTACTATAGGTCAGATCTCTCCTCTTAACCCCTCTCGTGAAACAGATAACTTACATGGTATGTTTCAACTCCGGTCGGGCAGGGTGTAAAGTCGTCAAAGATAATGGCATGCTATATATCAGCACCTCACATTTGTGAAAGTTCTAAAGGTAGTGGAAAGTGAAGGGATTGTGACTACTCACTTGAGATTGATGACGATACCTTCTTTAATCTCATCACGACCTCTTTTGACAGACTCAGGAGTGATCAAATTGAGTCTACCCAATTCATCATCGTCTCCAAAAAGTCCCCAGGCGTTGTAAGGTGGACCGGGACGCTTCAAGGGTAAATCATCAAAACTTGGTAGGGTCATTGTTGATCTTGTAGTATGAAGTTTAGTTACTAGCTTTTGGTTGAATGTTGTTTGTTCGTAGATCAAAATGTTATATCGTTTATGAGAAATTCGTTTGACTTAACTTTGTATCTTTATCTTTATGCATGAAGAATCTTACCCATGACGGCAAGTCTAGGAAGTGGAAGAAGGGGGGTTGTAAGGTGTGTGCACGGAGAAGACCAAGATCTAGGAACGAAGCCCACACGGTATTCGTCCGACCGGTCCGGATAGCACAAGCGGGGGTTCCGATGAAGCAATCCGTTACCTATGGCGAAAGGCGGATGTACTACCCCTTGGTATGTGCTACATATCATGATACATATAAGCACATCTTCTCACGGGAAAGCTCACGCTACTACCAAGTTCTTGTCATCTTCTTACTATTGACGTCGATCGAAATCATGTCACCAGCAGCCGTTCCTCATAAACCGCGCGTATTCTCGCTTTACCCTCTCGAACCAAGTGTCATTGAATATGGATCTCAATTCTTCGACTTGACCGTTCCAGGTGATCCTGATTGGAAGAATTGGAGAGAAGAAGCAGAAGCTGTAATGGTTCGTTCAAATGTGATCGATGCGGATGATGTTGCCAAGTTTGGTCCAGGACTCAAGTTTGTTGGTAAACATGGAGTTGGGATTGATCAGCTCGCAGCTAAAGAGATCAGATCGAAGGGAGTTATCATCATGAATACTGCAGGTGTGAATGTGAGTAATCCATAAAATCTCTCTCCTCTTCATATTTCTCTAATCATCAATGATAGTCCGATTGAGTGATGTATCCTCTAAAATACCTTTGATCGTGATCAAGACAGATTTGTCATTTCTCTCGGAAGAATTGCAGATTGAGATGTACCAAGAAATAGGAAAAAGTATGGAAATACTGATTCTCAGGCTACCGCAGTGGCTGAACTCGCTCTGGCTCTCACTATGACACTCGCCCGTAACATCCCCGCTATCGACCGTAGGATTCGTTCTGGTGCTACCGTCGACAAGAACGCCGAAGGTGCCGTTGGTATCCAACTCACAGGTCGTACTTTCGGTATCGTCGGTGGAGGTAACATCGGTTATACTCTCGGAAAAATGCTTTATGGTGCTTTCGGTGCTCAAATTTATCTATACGATCCCGTACTTTCACCTACCATGGCTCAAAAATGGGCAGACTTACTTCCTTCTTCTAAACTCATCAGAGTTGATAATGTGGATGATATGATGCCTCACATCGACGTACTTTCCCTTCATGTCCCACTCATTGAAAGTACTAGAGGGATCATTGGGGAGAAACAACTTAAAGCTATGAAACCAACTGCTATTGTCGTTAACACTGCTAGGGGTGGTGTGGTGGATGAAGCTGCTTTGCTTAAGGCATTGAAGGAGAAATGGATTTCAGCTGCTGGGATTGACGCTTATGCTATCGAACCTCCTCATGTGGATAATTATTCAGAGTTGATCGCACAAGAACGTGTTGTTTCTCTGTGAGTCCAACGTGCCATCACTTCTCCTGTCTTGTAAGGGAAGGTCAAAGACTGATTGAATAGTCCTCACATCGGTGCTGCTTCCCTCGACGTTATTCGTATCACCGCCATCGCCGTGTTGGATCATCTCAAAGACGCTTTTGCAGGTAATCCTCGTGATATCGTGACTGTTTAGACTCCCAAGTTGTATGCATACACTGATTACCCTATTGTTATAATATTGAACCACAAACCCAATTGTTGACTAGATCAAACCTCATCATTACAGATCACAACAAGATCGTAATAGTCCCCTACCTCGTCGACTTTTCACAATTCTACGCGTTCCACCATTGCCGTGTCCACTATGCTAAGCATTCCACCATTGGGGTGTCCACTCAGGTGGCCATTCGGGATACGAAGAATAAGAGTTACCACCAGTGGGTGGTATCGCCATCATACCCTGTAACAGATCCATCCGATTGTCCGTGATATCCGGAACTCTCACAGGCTGGCGGTCATCAGGGAAGACAGCTGAGAAATCGAAAGAATCGGAAGCTGAGGATAACGAGATTGTCGAGGGCCAATCAGCAACCGACGCTGATATCGTGTCAGGCTGATCCATCAGAAGGTGTTTACTTTCCGTGGACGTTACTTCCGCTGTGGGAGGTAACATTGGTCGACGACCACGTTCGGTAGGTTCGTTAGTAGCAGCACGTTTCTCCGGTCGATTGAAAGGCGTTCTGAGACGTTGCTTGATGATTTCAATTGACTGTATATCAGCAAGAGGTGAAGTATTGCGATAGAGAGATATGACTAACCCTCTTAGTTCCAGGACTTTGCAGACTTCCACGTTCAAGAACGTGCAGTGAAAGACCGAGTCGAGGACTAGCAGCGGTGGATACGAGAGGATTTGGCGATTGGAAGTCGATGGCGTTGATGGTAGCTGCGGAGTACTGAGAGTCAGCTGAGTTTGATAAATCTGAGAAGGGTCAAACTGACCATGGACCAAAGAAGCATATAGTTCATATTTCTCAATTTGAATGTCTTGGAATGAAGTTGGAAAAGTTGGTGTAACTCCTCTGCCATCTGAGTACATGCACTTGAAGCTTCTTCATAGATGGCAGTTTGTGATTGCATCCGAATGACGATGGAATTGGGGAGGAACAATCGATATAGCAAGATCCAAGCAGCACGGTACAGGGCACTGATCCGTCAGCGAGACCATCACCTTTATTGTTCCTGGATCCACATATGACGAGACGACTCACTTGATGGTGAAGATATGTGGCGGCGGGCAGACCTCAGGTAAATGATCTACTTCGAGTTTGATAGCAAGGGGAAGACCTTCAAACCACGTCAAAAGTCGTTCTCGCATACGCAAGACGAAAGGTGCATTTCGCATCCTTTGTGGTCTACCATCGTAGAGACGCATTACTATCTTACACATGATCTCGCATAACTGTATCGATTAGCTATATCTAGCTCTTATTATTGATGAACTGACCTTGGCAAAGTGCCTAGAAGTGAGGGTCATGTGCGATTTCTGCGCAGGGTAGGGAAGCATGCCATTGGGAATATGGTCGTTCATAAAGTACGGCTGCCACAGGTCGTCATCTTCGGTATCATCGACTGTATCGTTAGAAAACGTAACGCAGGGCTTTGAACGGTATACTCACCAATAGGTCCAGGAGAGACGTTTTGCCATGCATTGAAAGTGGGTGTTCTGCCCAATGCTAATGACACAATCTGGGTGAATCAGCATATTGCATGAAAAATGACGGGGAAATGTCACCTTATCCCAGGTGTATGTCGACCAGAATAATCGTCGACGAATCTCTCTATCTTCGGCGGTGAGAGTTCCGAAACCAAAGATGGGCAGTCGATTACAATCGAGGTGAATTCCCAAATCCCTGAGAGGAGTCAGTTCATGATTTTAGGAGTGGTTGTCAAGCGTACCTCATCATTGAGTGAACCATTCTTGTTTGTCAGCTACGATCACAACATTGAACCAAAACTCACCCAGTGTAAAGCCAACCTTGAGCAAGATTCCCAAATGCGCATTCTCTCACGGCCAACAAAAGTAATCCCTGGATGGTGGGAACCTTGGAGGGCTTTAAGTCAGCATCGTGACTATTGCCAAATGAAAACACTTACTCCGTCCATTTCTGACGCCAGCAAAAGTTTGGCCTTGGCAAGGAAATCTTGACTGGCAGTGGTAGGGGTGAAAGATCCGTCGCTGGAGGACGCATGCCCTGCTGCTGTATCTGAGAAACCAGCGGCCTACAGTCAGCGAATGTCAATCAGGGGAGCACTCACCAATGCGCAGATAGCGTTGAGTAAGAAGGGACTGAAGTAAGGTCCTCCAAGAGCCATATCACCTGCCATCAGTATTGACGCTTGAAGACAAGGTTAGTACCTACGAATGAACACCGGGCGATAGACAACGCAATGTGGTCCATACACTGTCGAATGAGCTCAAGTCACACTGAAAGCAGACATACGTACGCCAGCAGAAATACACTTTGAGTAAATGCACAATCATTTGAGCCGTTGCAGGGTCTGAATCAAGTTCCAATTTGGTATAGGCCACTATTGATTAGCGACCACATCAAACACGAGTAACATGTTACTCACGACTCTCCCACCCATTCAGTAAAGACGCGTTCGCCTTCAAAATATCCGCATCCTCATCGATGGCCATACCATTCTCATCTGTTGCCCAAACTTCCCAAGTGTTCCTATCACGTTCTCTCCATAAAGCTTTAATCTCCTCATTGAGTGGTGTCCGGGAAGTCCGATTGTTTGTTTCTGACAATCGTCTTTGCATACGTTCCAAAACATTGGCACTGGGTGGCCTCCAGAATAAAGACGTCATACCGAAATGACCATTCTTTCATTGATGAGCTTCCTGAGAGATCTAAAAGAACAAATGATGAACTTACCTCACCATCATCAGCGAGTGACATGTGCATGAGTAATTCATCAACCTCTGAATGACTCTCATCTTCCATCACCTCCCCACTGTCCGTCGTAGGTAAAGGATTCGTAGGTGATCGAGCAGAGTCAGGTCCTGAGGGTTGGATGAAGCTAGGAAGAGGATTTGCTTCTATGTAATTTCTGATCCTAGCTCGTGTGACTGATGCTGGTTCATCATGTGTCTCCGCTGCGATGTCTCGAAGAAATTGATATGTTTTCGTAACCAGTGGAACGAGTAAAGATGAAGGTTGATTTCGTGTATTACTTCCTGGGTTAGATAATCTATTACTTATATGTCAGATAAAAACATACCTCTCATAAACACAATCTTCCTTGAGCTTGAGGCACCTGGAACAAGAAGGCATTTGAGCGTCACACTTCTGCTTTCGCCTCCTACATCCCACACAGGAAGTTCCATACCTCGATGGTCTCGACGGAGATAAAGACATCTCACTCTCTGCTTTGCAATTGATAGAAGACGACATGGGTGGTAATGGACCAGGATCTTGAGTTGTCATGTTCTGACGAAGACGATTAAATGGTTTTGAAGGGACGAAATGCGAACGGGGGAGGCGACGGCCGTGAGACACAAGCGGTCCAGTGTAGCCGGAAGAAAGCATACCTTTGCTCTCGTCTTTCTTGTTCTGGCGCGATACCCCAGACGGCCAAACTCTGCGCGACCTTTGCGATCTTGGGAGGAAGGGAGGGGTTTCAGGGCGGGAGAAGAAGGGGACCCCTGGGGTCGAAAACCCAAAGCAATCTCGGTCCGTGGTCCGTTCTCGTAACGGTCCAGAGCCTGATTGGTCAAAATTCCCCGGCAATTTGTGGGGATAGATATTTGTCCTCTGTTCTCTGCTCTTTGATTTTTCTCAAGAAGAAGCATGTAAAGTCATTGCATGGAAGATAGAGGCAGACGACCCAAGATGCATCTTGCATTACACGAAAACCCTAAGCAGAGAGACGAGCAGTCATAGCTTGTGTGTTCTTCGCACCCGCTCTCATAGCAGCGAGCATCATAGCGTTATCAGCACCGGACATAGCATAACGTCCATTAGCATGTGCGGTCGCTAGCTTCTCGATGAGATCGGGGCGACCACTAGACTGTTAGGCCCTTGTCTCCGAATGAGAGCATGCAGGGGACTCACTTGAGACCACCGATACCCATAGAAACGAGTCTACCATTGACGGAAGCTTTGGCACACGCGGCGGAAACCTTGGCGTAGGCATCGGCTAGTCTTGGGCTGTCATAATCGCCAGCAATACCCATACTAGAGGTGTCAGCTGATTTACTGGGAATGTTTCTTCCGGAAGACATACTCTGAAGTTAAATCGGAAGAACCAATCAGGAGAACATCTACACCGGGTACAGCAGCGATAGATCTATTTGCCGTCAGCCTCAATCATGGATGCTTGGAATTCGGATTACTCACTCAACATCCTCTACAGCACGTTCCGTCTCAATCATACAAATGACCAAAGTTTCTTCGTTGGCAGCTACATTGGCGTATTTGGCAGGGATGGAAGCGTATCGAAGACAAGCCATACCACTGGTAGCTGAACGTTCACCTTCCGGAGCGAATCTAGCGTATTTGACGACGTTGGCAGCTTCGGCAGCAGAGTTGACATGAGGAACGATGATAGCCTGAGCGCCTCCATCAAGCGCACGGGAGATCCAATCTGACGTATTGGCAGGAACCCTAACGATGGGCGTGATCCTTTCCATCAGATTGATTTCCATGTTCAGAGTAATTGATGACGTACCCAGCACTGAGAGCAGAAACAGAAAGTTGATTACAAGTTTCAAGACCAAAACTTGAATGTTCCAAATCGATCAAGACAGCTTCATAACCTGCCGCAGCGGCATAATAAACGATATCGACGTTGGCTATAAGTTTGATAGAGAAAGAATGAGCCAAACGACCTTCTTGAAGGAAACGTTTGACAAGATTAGGAACGACGGACTTTCGAGCCAAAGTCAAACCATCCACGGTACCGTTACTTGACATGTTGAAGTAGTACAAGTATGAACAATATGACGACGATAAAACTTGGTAGTGAAAGAATTAGCTTGTAGCTTTAGAACGCGCGCTGTGCGGTTTAATTTGAAACTTGAATTCGATATCATGCTTTCCAATCTCCGAGTTTGTATACGGGTGTAGAAGGGGAAGGAATAGTAAAGTCGGGAAGATACCGTGTTGTATGGAAGATGGATTGGATTCGTGGCGTGTGGCACCGGGTTTGATCGCCGCTTAACCGGAATAGACCGCCCATTGAAAAAACTTCGAACTTTCTCCGTGGGTCCCCATTCGACATGTTCGAAATTGGCATGTGCCTCCAACTGCGACAGTTCTTGGCGGTTCGGGGACCACCCGGTATGCATGTATCTTGAAATGGATAAAAGGATGAGAGTAGGTTGAGGGGAAATTATAATTATCCCCTGATCCTTCATTCGAAATGACTGAAGCTATCGCACCTGTCGTCCCTTCCCTCGATGAAAAGCTCCCGGAGTTGTTTGTTGAGGATGCTACCAAGGATCCCGCCCTTATGGGACCTCCTAGTTATACTCCTAAGGAAGAGAGTAAAGTCAGACTCAAAATGGATTTGATCCTTTTGCCTGTGTTATGTCTGATGAATTTATGCTCGTTTTTGGACAAGGTTCGTCTTTTCTTCTTCTTCTGTGTTTTACGCTGACGTCTCACAGGCTAATATCGGAAATGTCGGTAAACCCTTTGTCGACCGTGGAATGTCACTGATGAACAGGCAAACACGTGAATCGATTCAAGGTCATAGATGAGTGTTTGCTAACAAATTTAGTGCGGGTTTGTCCAAGTCACTCCACCTCACCACGGCTCAATACAAGTAAGTTTTATCTTCTACTCATACGATCTAAGTTTGACGAATTAGCTTACTATTGACTATCTTCTACGTCGTATACACCATCATGCAATGGGAATTCATGCTTCTCAAGTGAGTGTTCAAAAGATCGTTTACGCACGGACCACTTTTCTTTCATTCCTCCACATTCGTCCTCGTCGTCAAGACGACCAATATGGTTATCTAGCGTACTCGGGTCTTGCTTAAAACGGCTCGAACATGTGATTGATACTTATTCAGATACTTCCCTCCCAAATACTTCTTAACTTTCATCGTCACCTTCTGGGGTTTGACTTCATGTCTTCAAGGTATCACCACTTCTTACGGTGGTTTAATGGCATGTGTAAGTTTTCTGCTTCCCTCTTCGAGCTATCTCTGACTTATTAAGCGTGTGGTTATTGCAGCTTTGGAAGCTGGTGGTGGTCCGGCTATTGCCGTGAGTTTTCTTCCATATCATCCATCTTCCACACGATCTAATTAGTCTAGTTTTACTTTACGATGATTTACCCTCGGAAAGATTTCGGTTTCCGTTGGGCTGTTTTCCAAGCGACTTCATGTATCGCCAATGCTTTCGCAGGGTAAGTCCCACATTTTCACTCGCTCACCTCATCACAAACATCATTTCTTCTGTTTGATGACATACTTATGATATAGAGCAATGGCATATGGTCTGGTACAAGCTAAAACCTCTCTCGAACCTTGGAAACTAGTCTACATCGTAGAATCTGCCGTGAGTTTATTTCCCAACATTGACCAGGAACATATGGATTGACGTATAGCCAACTTTCCTTTCAGCTATTCTACTATTCATCTTTTTACCTTCCGCACCTGATAAATGTATTTTCCTCAACAAAAGAGAGAATGAAATTGCCAGAGAACGTATAGAGAGGGATATCAGGATCGACGAACATAAAGGTTTTCGTTGGCCTCATTTTAAAAAAGCAGTTGTGGATCCTTGGGTTTGGTGGATCGCCCTTATACATTTCTTCGGTGGAGCAGCTTTCAATTCGTGAGTTATGCCTTTTATCTCTACATGCTCATAAAATCTCCATTTCATTACCTTTATGTGTGACGTTCGTTGATACCTATACCAATCACGTCCTCTTCCTCTCTCATCTTGTCATTAGAGGGAAAGAGAGAATGCCCATTCTTGAGCAAAATGGATGAAATCGATGTCAGCTATAGATCAGATGTTTTATTCCCGATGTCACACATAGGAAAAGGGAAGGAAAGTGATAAAGAACAATTGACTAACAATCAGACTAGGAGTCTTCCTCACTGCCATCATTAAAGAAATGGGTTATACATCTATCAACGCTCAAGGTCTTTCAGCTCCACCTTATATCCTCGCTTTCATCTTAGCAGTAACAACAGCATATTATTCTGATAAACTTTCCATTAGAGGTTATTTCATAGCTATCGCCAATTTGATAGGTGCGGTAGGATACATTGTGATAGCTTTCGCTGGACCTACCGGAGCGAGATATTTCGCTACTTACATTACTGTTATTGGTGTTTATGTTGGACAACCTTTGATGTGAGTTATCAACTCTTATCTCATCATCATCATTATCGTACCTCCTCATTATCCCTCACCTTATTCTTAAGGTTTTTCAATTCGAATGGGGATACCATTCCGGAGAGAGTGAATGGGTAGTTCGGGACATAGTGTGTTCAATTGACTCGACAGGTTTTCATGGTGCGCAGCAAACGCTTCTTCCGATTCTAAACGTGCAGTCTCTTTAGTCATCTTCCTCATGTAAGTCAACGTATTACAACTCTTCTTTCTTTTCTTTCCAACCGCATTATTTCCCCCTTCCCCTTCCCCCTTGACTCAAGCGGGTGCTATCTCGCAAAGGAAACCAATCGAAGCAAGTATCAAAGTCAAGCCCTTCATATCTCCTCCCAACACGATCTCTTCTCTTTTTCCTGAAAAACCCTACCCTGATGGGAAATGAAAAGAGGTAGAGTAAGAGAAAGACAGCGCGTTGAGAGGGATGAAAAGTAGTCAAGAGCAGGAATTGACAAAATAGGACAGGTCAATGCGGTTCAATCTTAGGTTCGAACGTATACAACGATCCACCACGTTATCATAAAGGTAATGGAGTTTGTGCAGGTGGTTTATTCGCAGATTGTGTACTCTGTATAACAGGTGTGATTTATTTAAAATGGAGGAATCATAAAAAAGATTTAAAATATGGTAAACCTGATCCGGACGCTCAAATCATTCCTACGGAAGATGGGACTGATCATCCTGCTTTCCGATATGTTCTTTAGAATGGATATGTCACTGGGGGAAAGATTATCTAGTTCTGTCTTTGGTTTTGTTGGATGAGATGATTAGAAGGTTTTGATCATTAGCTTGGACTGGACATCATTCGTCTTTAGTACAGACTAATGATAAGGAAAGATTGAAAGAGGATGAGGACTTGGGTGATGTAAGAGTACTTTTTGGTTTATATCATGCATTCATGTACACGAACCAAAAAATAAAATATCTTCTTCGACTGTCAGATGTCGACGATGAATTTGATTCTGAATCTTGAATATTGAAGTGAACTCGACTCATAGCGTGACAAATCATACATTAAACATAAAAGACAAAATTACAATAATATTCCAAAAATGAGTTCGTAACCATCTAATCAATACCTGACTTGATTCCCATTTGGTGGATTTGAAAGAGTCGACGTTTGTGCAAAATGGCTTGGACATGACAAGAACTTTCAAACTGGACTCATGAGAACGGAAAAGAGAAAAGAGAAAATGGATTATATTCGTATACTTGTTGACATGTGAGAGAATTTTTGAAAACTTGTGGAATTCAAGTACGGATTCGGTTGTTTTACTGTTTGACATGTTCGAGAGGGATGTGAAAAGCAGAGGATTTGGAGAATAACAGACGAAGGGAAAGTGGGGTGTGATCGATCAGTTACGATGACGATGAGGAAGGAGGGAAGGAGGCAAGGGAGGTGAAAACGTTGAAATGAAATCCCAACTCATACCGTCCCCATATTCTTATGCCATTCCCATCCATTCATCTCCGCCACTTCATTTATCATAGTCCTTCCCACCACCACAACCTCAGCCATTTGGTTCCTAGTGTATATCCCAGGCCAAGCAACAGGAATAGAATCATCATCAATGTCCATCTCCGTAAAATCGGCTTGTCGATTCGCATGAACAATCTTCTCAAACGTTTGTGGAAAGATCTGGTTGATAAAGGGAAGAGTAAAGTATTCCATTTGTTCGTCGTAATTATCACTTTCGAACGAGTTTCCCAAAGAGACCACACGTTGGAGAAGACGTTGAAGTCCGGCTCGACTGGGGTTGGAACGATGAGTATCGGAAGAGGAAGAGGGAGATGGTCCCGTGTTGGTGGGCGGGGAATCCGAAGTGGACGCGGGTGAAGGATTTATAGTCGCCGCCAATGGATCAGGCAGGTAATTTTCGAAGAGAGAAGCACTGGAAGCAAGCATTTTGGTCTTGTATATGTGATCGATGGTATGTCTGATTGTCAGTTTGACATCGGATGGGTGACAAAGACACATTTTCAGTTGACGGACCGAAGATGTAGAAGAAGCTTCGACACGAAGATATAGTAGTGAAGAAGGGAGAGATGCAGTGGAGACGACAAGGACAAGATAACGTACAGTAATCCAAGCATCCCTTCAGCCACCTCAGCAATGTCTCCTTCCCTATTATCTCTGGCTTCCTTCTCCCATGCAACTTTCACTATTTCTCGAAGGGGTGCGGTTTCAATGTGACCAGAGAAGGTTCCACGTTGTTCTGTACACCAAAAAGAGTACACATAGAGTAATACGGCCTCGGTTTGGAAGAGGATACCTTTGAGACGATCCGATGATGTTTCTGAAGATCGGAGAGTGGTACCCATACGTTTGATGTGAGTGGCACGTTGGAAGAATCTGAGAGTTAGATTTACCTCTGACAGAGGTATGCAGACAGATGGATGGTCTGTGGTGGGCCTGGATCTACATGAGGAGACGCAGACGGCATGTGGTACGACAGACATGTGGTGTGGACAGAGGATGTAGAATGATGCAACTCACTCGGCAGCTAACATTTTCCACCTTTCTTTTTCATCTCTATGCCCGTTCATCTCATGTCTCGATCCATTGGTCGTGACCGACCTCCCAAGCTGAGGTGTAGTCGTACCGATTGTGTCAAGCGGGGTTGAACTTCGTCCGTTCATTGTGCCCGTGCTGGCTGATTTACTGAGTGCTACGGCTGCTGGTGTTCTAAGCCCTGGTGAGATGACCGTGGTACGTTTCTTCCGTTCCGGTTCGGTAAGCTCAAGGCCTAGACCGGCCAGAGAGGCGGGACGTTTCTTACTGTTGGCAGCAGTTGTCGACTGAGGTGGTATGGGAAGTTTGGATTGCGAGTACTCAAGAAAGTTGGTGAAGGAGGGCTTTTGTGCCGGAGGAGAAACGGGAGGGGTTTCAAGGTATTTCTTCGGCAAAGAGGGAGGTAATGGAGGAGGTAGTTGCTTTAATATCTGTTGAAGTCAGCGATCGGAGATGCACTCGTCATTGGCTCCTCAGATCACTGGCCCACTGGGAATGCACAGGGAGTGACGTGGGTGGAGACGAGCAATCGGCTAGTAACTACGAGAGCTGCAGCCGTCATAATTTATCGAACGGGAGGTGCGATCAGAGTAGAGAGTGAACGAAGTGAAGAAGAAGGTGCTTACCTTCATGACCTCATCTTTGATCTCATCACCTTCCTTCTCATCCTTCGCTTTCGAAGCTTCATTTCGAACCTCATTCCTAAGTCCACTGGTGAGTCGGACCTCGGATGGTCCATTGAGTCTTGGAGAAGCCACACCATTCCTACCTTGCGGTCTTGGCAACGACGCCGATCGAGGAACGTATGAAGACGATGTGGGTCTTGGAGGTAAACCTATCGGTCTAGGTGGAAGAGTAGCAGCGCCATGAACGATGGGATGAGAAGAGGAACGTGGGACGAAGGATGGTGAGAATGTAGGACCAGCGGTCCGGTAAGGTGATATAGTCATTGGAATGATATGGATGATTCTGATTGGATTGTCAAGTGGAGGAGAGGAGGAAGTATGAAGATTCAAAGAAGTAATGAGAGGCAAAGCAGGAAGATGGCAAGAAGATATAGTTGTGGCCACTGGGAGATGAAAGAATGATCAGTCACGATGTTTGAGACAGTGGTTTCCCAGTAGAGTAAATCGAATAGTGGTCGATGGATGAAAGGTAATCCGAATGTCACGGCTATACGGTGTAAGGGGCCAAGGGGGGAGAGTGACAGGAAAGCGGGAAGCGAAGACGGGAGGGATAGAACGGCAGACCACGAGGCCAAATCAGAGATCAGAGACTAAGTGAGGTATGTCGTATGTCCGTTTGTGTAAGATTCCCGATATGGCTGGATGATGAATGATTTGACGTCAAGTAGTAGGGACGCTTTCGGTGGGTACAGATCGAATGACGAGCGAGACACTAGTTTTTACCCGAAGAGCCGAAGGGCGGTAGAAGCCAGATGGCGATGGGAGATGGCCAGATGGAAACGAAGGATGGATCCGTCTTCTTCTGTGTCGTGACGGAAGTCGGCTTGTCTCGCTTGGTGGGGCTGTTTGTAGGATCGTCGGAGTGTTGAAGATACGATGGTGATGAGGGCTGACAGAAGGTGGGGTAGGTGAGAAGCAGCTCGTAACGCTACAAGGTAGCGCTTAGGGGTCAAGAGAGAAACAAGCTGGACGGAGTTTGTATGGGTGATGATAGAATGGTTGAAACCTCCTTTATCCGGCTGATCCTGAACTGTCTCTCTCGTACAGCAGTATACAGTACAGTACTCGTACAGTACACCTCGATCGACATGCAAGTATCACGATCCTTTGTGAGGTATTACGTTATATCGGATACCTGCAGTGTAGCGCCGTATGGGGTAGGCAGTGGTAGTTTGTATGTATGCAGGTGGTGGGTGGTGCATCGTTGGTCAGGGTATCATGACTTTTCACGGAGCAAATTCAAGGTCCGAGGGGGTCAAACCTTACTTATCGGACCCGCCTGTACAACACGACAGCTGGAATGCATCGGGTATCATTCATGCATATATCCTCACGACTAACAGCTGTTGTTGATCCGCCTGTGTGGCCGATTGTCTGCAACATGCAACCTAGAGTAGTAGTACCTATAGGATACAGCGTGACCGTGACAAGTCCGGGGTACGGGGTGATGGGTGGCGACATGCTTGGTTTCCGTCGGAAGTCGGAAGTCACACTTACTTACCACCATCTACCCGCCATAGGTCACGCTTCTCCGCTTAACACCTTCTCTCACTATATTAATCCTCCTAATCACCCTTCTTGCCTCTCTATCTTTCATTTACAACTCCTCCACTATCCTACTCCCTCTTGGCGATAGCATTATTCACCATCATCGTACAACTTCACTTCCGACTCCAGACATCGACCCCGTACTCTCCCTTCACTACTCTCTTGTTACTCCCCACATCTCCTACTCATCCTTGTAAACCCCTACCTTTCCCTCCTATTCGTATCCTACCTCTCTCCTTGTAATCCTTTCCTCATTATCATACCACATCATGTCCTCCATAGCTCCAATATCCACATATCCTCCTCCCTCTGCTGACGACACTCCCATTAACCCTCTCAAACGTCCGACCTCTTCCGACCAGACCCCTCCTGAACCTCCGAAGAAGAAGAAGAAATTCGAACCTCTCCCTGCATTCCCTTCCAACACCCCTTATATAAGTTTTATCCTGAACGACCATTTTGCTATCCTCCGCGAACGTCAGAAAAACCCCAATGGCCCACATATCCCTCTGCCAGCGGTCACGGTGGTTTCATCCTCCTGGGACTGGAGCATAAGACCTCCTGCCATCCTCTTGGAGACTCCGGAGGGTCAAGCTTGGCTGGCTCGTCAGAATAAACCAACCCCCTCGACTACACCACCAGTCAAGACTACGTCTCCTACGACAAAGGACAAACGTCATTCCTCCGAGGGTAAGCATAAACATCGATCGACCTCGGCTCACTCTTCCTCCTCGAACAAGCATCATCGTCGTCATAAGACTAGTAAATCGGAAGGGTCAAAGAGATCTTCTTCTTCTACTATCACACCTTCTGGAACCAACGTCGTTACATCCAACCTTCGCACATCGGTTAACGAAGTCCCAGCTATTCGTCCGATTCACCCTCTCAACAGGAAACCCTCTAGCTTTGACTTACCGTCCATCCCACACATTAGTACTTCTCTTGCTAATGTGAACAACCACGCCGTCAAAGTTTCCTCTCCTCTGAAAATGGTGACTGGACCGGAAGATATTGAACTCCGTTCACAGACAATCCCTCTCAAGACCAAGGAAGTCGAAATCGGGAGTGTAAAACGTCTTCGCACAGCCTCTAGCCCACTAAAGGTCTCGACGGTGCTAGGCGAAGAGTCTCAGAGGTTGGGAGGGGTTGATGTTCCATCTGTGGCCGCAGAACCTCGACGAGGTCCCTCAAGAAGGGCGAAGACAATCTCACCTTCTCAACTCATCCGTCCACTTCCCGACGTCGACACCACTCCGCTCGACGTTGATGTCCGTGATGTCTCGAGAAGTAGTATCGAGACTCAGTCTCCCAAGAAAAGGGTTCAGAGCAAGACTATCTCTCCTCCTCAACCGCTCCATCTACTTCCAGAAGTCTCTGGTAAGACCGAATCTCCCATCAAACGGGGAACCAGAAAAATGTCTGAGGTAATGGCGGAAGCGGCGGGAATCAGACAGGTGGTGAAGAGTGAAGCGGCGGTGCCTACAGCTACTTTTGGGAGGGCAAAGAGGGAGAAGACTTTACCCGCTCGATTAAGGGATTATACAATCACTGCTGAAATTATATGGTGAGTCATCTGGCCTTGGTAGATGACTGAGCTGATGACCAGATCGTCGAGGTTCATTCAATGATTCGAATATGAAAGAATCCAAACTATATCAATTGTTTATCACACAATCACATTCACCTCGACATCATCGGCATCATCCTCATTTCTTCCATGACCTCAACAACCAGATCGGGACGGCATAGACATATATATATACAATAGACTTTGACGACCTGTCCGACTTACTCGTGAATCTTGGCATTACCACCTTGTCGTTGTCCCGTCTCATTCTCGCCGATCTTGGAAGTGTCGGTCAATCAATAATTCCATTCTCATCCCTTTCCTAATCATATTTTCTCGCAACGAGTTAAACACTTTCCATTGATTGTCCTGAATCCAATAATAACGAAATCTCATGAACTGTTCTCTTTCACCTTGTTGTAGTCTTCGAATGCATACCCTTTGTCTATTACTCTCACTACTAACTCATAGTCCGCTCGTGCCTTCTGGAGCCCCGGAGTCTCCGTCAACACTGACGGCTCAGATGTGGCACTGCCACCTTTCATCTTCTCACCACACCACGCTGCCTCACATCATCCCAAACAACGCGACTGCTTTTCCTCCATCCTCCTCAAACTTTTCACTCATCTTCACTAAATCTCCCTTCTGACACTATCCAACTCCCTCAAATCCTCATCAGAATGTCTCTTCAAACTCCCGCCAGACCAAACTCTCCTCCTTCTCAAACACCCATCACAGATTTTTCACTAATCGAATCTCAAAAAGAAAACATACGACCTCTCCCAACAGGTAGAAGCGCTTCTACATTAAATACAATCTTCACTCCTGGTAATTCTTCAACTCAACAACAAGAAGAAAAAGAAAGATATTTCCGTGATCTAATAGAGTCCGCAGAATTATCAGATCGTCAAGGTGAAGAAAGAAATGAAGATATATTAGAAATATATCTGAAATACATTTTATTCTTACAACAATATCATCCTTCTTCTACTTCATACACATTACCAATAATAGAATCTATAACTAGAAGATTTTTGAATGATGGTCGATTTAAACAAGATGTTAGGTATTTGAAATTATGGATAATGTATATAAGGTTAGTAGAGAGGAGAGAAGAAATTTGGAGTTTTTTAAATTCTAAAGAAATTGGAACTAATCATTCTGTTTTTTATGAAGAATGGGCTGGAGCTTGTGAATCTTTAGGAAGGTAAGTGAGCTTTTCTTCATCTCGACTTTATATCATTCATCCGTACATTCTTCTCGAGAAAAAGATATCATTTCTGCTGTTGTGTTAATTCTTTGACTCGACGCGACCGGTGACTTTTTAAACCTGGGGTGTCTTGCATATCTCCATTCCTGTTCTCTCTCTCGAGGTGCCTGTTTCGCTGTCTGATAATCCTCCCTTGATCAAAATATAGTCTCCTCCAAGTAGTGGAAGAGGTCAACGCTGACACTCAGGAAAAAAGCCGCAGATGACATATATCGATTAGGTATCGCTCGTCGAGCTTCCCCTCTTGAACGTCTTAAATCTCGTCATGCAGCTTTCTTGGAACGTATCTCTATCCAACCTCATGATGTTGTACCTGATGATGACCCTCCTCCTCGTGTTGCTCGAGCGGTATTAGGTCAAGTGACAAGTACATCTGGGACAACACAATTGGCCCCTTCTCTTCGTCAAAGACCGAATGGGACTAAAATGGAAGTTTTCACAGATACTGGGAGGGTTGATGATGGGGAGGCACCTGAATGGGCTGAAATAGGTACCAGGGAAGGAAGAAGGAAAGAGAATACCATAGAGGCTGGACCTTGGAAAGGAGAGACTTTGATACAGGGCATAGGGAGGAGAGGACCGAGGACTCCAAAGGTTGAAGTTTTCAAAGATTCCGTGGGTGGCATTTCTTCAATCTCCCCAATCTCCCTGACTGCTCCCTAACCATTTCTCTTGCTCAGACCTTTCATTTTTGCAATATTCCCAGGGCGAGGATGTGATTCATTCAAACTTTGATGTCACTATTGTTACTAATCATCAAAACTCAGCTTTTCCCACTTATGGGCATGAAAGCCGTAAGAAATCAGATTTGATGGATGGAAGAAGAAACGAAGAATTAGGACTTACGAGTAGCAGGACAATAACGACGCTCTAGTAGCTACCGAAGATATCTTCTCACGAACTAAACCTTCTCTTACCGAAGCGGAACTTCTTCGTTCTGATCCACTCAAAAATTTCGATACTACCGGTTTATCCTCTTCATCCGCCATCCCAATTCTACCCCCTCCCCAATCCGCTAGGAAACCACCGAGACCGAAACATTTCGTAAAGTCGCCTTGGGAATGTCCGACCGGTGGGGGAGAAGTGAAGGATGCTAAAGGGAAGATGGAGAGACGTATGTTTGATTGGGATTCTGTATTTAAGAATGGAGAGGAATGGAGTTTTGAAGAGGTCAGAGCGAGGGAGAAAGGGTTGTTGGGTAGAGAGACTGGGGAGGTTAGAGATTGGGAGAAGGTTTGGCATTTGCCTGGAGGTGAGTGATATGAGCTGCTCATCGATGTCTCCCTGCCTCATTCTCTCTCGTTTTCCCTCCTCAACTCCCTCTCTCCTCTCGTCCAGCCCTCACCCTTTCTTTCCTTCCGTCCCATTCACGATCCTGCTCGTTTGGGTTCAACCGGGGAAAGTCCCACGTCATCAATCACGGACGCAAAGATCGACTGTTGGCTTTCACCCTGATGGTTTTCTTTTGATTTCTCGTATCCAAATTAAGGATGTCGGAGGAAGCCAAGCAGCACTGGTAGAGCTTCACAAGTACTGGGCTACTGTAAACTTCGGAGCAAGACTGACCTCAGCAACCTCACCAAAAGAAGAAAAGAAAAAACCTCTCCCTTCACCAACAGTCAACACCAAACTTGCCGAATTAGAAGTAATGAGGATGTTTGATCAAACTATCCATGCTGGCAAGCTTCGAAATGCAGACTCTGACTCTGATTCGGATTCGGATTCCGACGACGAAGATCCGGTAGATTCAGCTCCTACTCCTCTTCCTACCAGAGGAGCGATGGGTATGTTGGTCCCTCTCAATGGGTTAGTTCCACCGACACCTACACCGGCTCAGGGCCATGTGACGCAAAGTCGAGGTTTTGCAGAAATGAATGATGAAAATGCAGGGAGGAATGTGTTACTGAACAGGGCCGCCACAGAAATGAACGATGAGAATACCGGGAAGAATGTCAAGAACATTTTCATGGAAGACGGTCCTAACAAAATTCCCGTTCTTTCCGACGTTCCTAAACCTCATGTTCTCTCAGAGACCGTAAAGCCTTCAATCTTTTCAGATATTCTCAAACCTCAAGTATACTCGGACGATGACAAGCCATCTGTTTTCTCAGACAATCAATCTAGACCACCTCATCAAACTCCCAAAACTAACATATTCGCCGAACCAATTTTCAACGATGAGAACGCCGTCCCTTCCACAAGCAAAAAACTCAACATCTTTTCCAACCCCATTCCCGATGTGCAGACTCAAACGTCTCGTCCGTTCCAAACGCCTAAATCATTCGGAGTGTTCTCAGACCTTCCTACCGAGACTACTAGACCATCAAATATCTTCTCTACCCCCGCTCCTGCTCTCGGATCTAGACCCGTCCGACGACCATTAGCCAACGCCATCGTCGAAGCCGACGAGGAAGATGAAGAGGAAGATGGGCAAGATGCGGAACAAGCCATTCAGTCTGAAGACGAAGAAACGGCACCAAGAGGATTGAAAAGGTTTGAGTATAGAAGTGTCATGACTCCTATATATGAACGTACGGCAGAATTCACATTGAGGTCTTCTCAAATCGCTTCCTCAGGATTGGGCGAGTCTGTCCTTCGATCGTCGCAAAATGGGACTTCGGTGATGGGTCAGATGAATGAGGCGTTCGTGGCTTCTACTAGTGATCCGAACTGGGGTGTTGGTGGGTCAGATGAGGTTGTTGATCAGAGGGTAGGGATCGATCCTACTGGCCGGAAGATTGACCGACAGAAAGATGGTCTGCCGGTGCAGGAAGACTTTGTGCATGGAGAACACAGTGAGGAAGAAGGATACGAAGATGGTCTTATCCCTCTGGAGGATTTGTCAAAGGATGAGGAGGATGAACAATCGTCAATATCGAGAGGATTAGTAGGGAAAATGAGTAGCACACAATTCTTTGATCAAGATTCTATCGGAGGAAGTGATGAAGATACGAAGCTCGGTCTTCCGGAAGGTTTTACTATCCAAATGGCGGATGAAATACATACGTTGGCAATTGTGGACAGGTCTGCTTCGGAGACGCAGTTGGAAGAACCTATCGAGTCGACTCGAATGGTACATGCTCCTGTGGAGACCACTCCTCCCCAGGAACTGCCATCGGATGAGGTAGGGGAAGCTGTACAAACAGCAGATGTGGTCCGCAGTGAAGCTATACATGGGTCAAGGTCCCTGAATCCAAACGTCGAAGAAGCCGCTCTCGATACTCCTACCATGATCATACCAAATCCATGCGATCCTACTTCGGACCAAATCATTTCTATCTTACTCGACCGTCTCGACACTCCTCCATCTTCTTTTCCCGGTTTCCATGACCACCGACCTACCTGCATAAACAAACTTGATGTTCTCCGTAAACATGCCAAATCCAAACTTCGTCGAGCCAGTACTTCATCTCGTCATTCCATCTCGGACGAAGGTATCCCCCTAATCCTCAGTGGAAAATCATACGAAGTCATTGATAAAATCGGTGAAGGTGGATTCGGGTCTGTATTCTTATCCATCGACCTTGCTATCCGACAAGCGATCGATGATATTTCCGATACTTCTTCAAATTGTTCAAACGAAGAAGAAGAAGCAGATTATTTCGTTGCTATTAAAATTGAAAAACCTTCTTCTTTATGGGAATTTATAATCTTGAATCGTATCCGTCAAAGATTATCTTCCACCTCATTAAATTCTTTAATCTTACCACGTTCATTACATTTATATTCAGACGAATCTTATTTAATACTCGATTATTCTTCTCAAGGTACATTATTAGATATAGTGAATCGTTCTTCTCAACTCGGTATTTCACCCATATCTGTTTCACAAGGAATAGATGAATTATTAGTAGTCTTCTTCACCATTTCTTTGTTGAGGATAATGGAAGATTTACATAAAGCTGGAATCATACATTGTGATATTAAAATCGATAATTGTTTAATCAGTTTGAAAGAAATACCTAAATCTGAAGGCGGTCATTCAAATTGGTCAACACAATTCAATTCGGATGGAAAACAAGGTTGGAAATATAAAGGTTTGAAATTGATTGATTTTGGAAGAAGTATAGATACCACTTTATTCGAAAAAGATCAAAAATATCTATCTGGTTGGGATGTCGATGAGAAAGATTGTTTGGAAATGAGACAAGGAAAAAGTTGGAGTTTTGAACCTGATTATTTCGGGGTTTTAGGGATTGTTTATTGTTTGTTGTTTGGGAAATATATAACTGCGGAAGCGATAGGAGAGGAAGATGGGAGATGGAAATTGATGACACCTTTGAAAAGGGTAAGTTTGATTCAAATCTTTCATTTCAAATTTCATCTTTTCCCTCATGTCTCCTCCCACTCTTGCCTCATACGATAAATCCATCGTATTCGTAAAGTTGTTCAGAGTCTACTCTGTGACTTTCCAAACATGTTAATCTTTCTTTCTTCATCCTCTCCTGAACTCCCTCGACCTGAATGTAGCAGTGCTGCACGCCGACTACTTTCCCCCTCATAAATTTCTTTCCCAAGGAGAATGGTTTCAACTATATCATGATCCTCCCATCGGACCGAACCCCATCTCTCCAATAGTGATGGAACGGAAAGACTAACGATCAGTACTGGCAACAAACACTTTGGACATCACTCTTCGACTCTTTACTTAACCCTCATTCTTTCGGTAAACTCCCAATCACATCCCGTCTGACAGAAGTGAGAAAAGATATGGAATCATGGTTAGAGGAAAATTGTCAAAAAGGCGGAAAGAGTTTAAGGGGTATGTTGAAGAAGATAGAGTTGGAAGGTATGAAAGGCAAGAGAGTATAGCGAACAAAGGTGTAGAGTATTGCCGTTTTCGATGAAATCTGATCTTTCAAAATACGATGTAATACATATTTCTATGATAAGGGATATTATCATATTTATTGAAGATACTTTGCTCAACCCTTAACCTCCTTTTCCTCACGTAGGATTGAAGTCTACTTCATTCTTATCCTTCACTCCGCCTTCAGCCGTCGAATCAATCTTGACGCAGTTAGTCCAAAGATACATTTACCACAGAGCATAAGTAGCTTCATCATCATAACCATGAATATCATGCATGTTGAAGTGCAATAGGAAATTGTCCTAAGGGGCGCGCCTAACTTTTGCACAGTGGTTCCCAACAATGCATGTATTTGTCTCTCATGATATTGTGCATGAGATAGACGAACACGGAAGATTTGATCGGGCATGTTTAGTACAGGTCGGATTATCGTTATCTTATCTACTCGTACAACTCGGCATTCGGCGCTCGGCGATCGGCATTAGTAGTAGTAGACGGAGAAACCTCGGTTACCGAACTCTTCGGAAAGTGTATAAATAGTTAAATACCCCCTTACCACCGTCTCTCAGTGACTGAAGATACTTGATTTCTCAGAAGGAATACATAAAAGCTCTTTCCCCCCAACTCGGATTGTTCTTCAACGGTGGACTGATCATATCGAAACGTGAGTTACATGATTTCTTGCTACATGCTACGTTTCATTCCTTCTTTGTGATCGTGACCTTTCGTCGTCTTCTTCCTTCGTGGTTGTCCCCCTTCGCCCTCTTCTTCCTTCACTACTATCCTTTTTCCTCTTCTCGCTTCTCAAGCTTCGCTCTCAGTCATAGATGTTACATCAGACTGGCGAATGTGATTCGTCTCGTACATATAACACGAGAATTCCACGAATGTCTAATAGCTAACTTCTCTCAGACAACATCATCGTCACATCTTTCCATCTCTACATCTACATCGAACTTATTCAAACTCAAAACCCATCCCAACCATCATGTCCACTCTGAAACTCGGAATCATTTTCGGTACTCATCGTACTCATTCCAACACCCTAGGTATATTCAAATACATTCAACAAATCATTTCTACATACCCTACCATTCAACCTGATCCTATTTTTCTAGGTGAATCCCTTGGACATCCACTTCCACTTCTTATCGATCAAATGCCAGCTTCTATCCCACTAGCTTCATGTCCTGAAGCATACACTTTACCTGAAATCAGAGCTTGGTCAAACACAGTCTTAGGTTGGGACGGGATACTTATCGTTGCTCCACAATACAATAGAGGTCCACCTGCCGTATTGAAAAACGCTTTCGATCAATTATATTCCGAATGGGAAGGTGTTCCTATAGGTTTGGTATCTTGTGGTAGTAGAGGAGGAAATAGGATGCAGATTGTTTTAGAGGAAATGTTGGGAGATGGATTGAAAATGGATTTAGTAGGTATGGTAGGGGTTAAAATTCCGAAAGAATCGATTTTGGGGGATGAAAAAGTTAAAGGGGATGAAGATTGGGTTAAAGGTTATGAAGGGGATTTGAAAGGACTTTTGAATGAGTTAGAAGGGAAGATGAAGAAGAGATTTCAGAAGAAGAAGATTGATGAAGCGGAGAAAGGAGAAGAAGGGAAGGAGAAGGAAGTGAAGGAACATGTTGAAGAGAATGCTACTTAGCTGAGGGATCCCAGTACGAGTAGAGTACGAGTACTCGTCAGTGAATCACACGAAAATTACACAATGTTTATGCATTTCAAGTAAGGTAAATCTTGGTTACAATTTCTCCAATAGAGAATAACTTCGGGCCATACTTACTGGGACATGGGACACATGATGTTTACCTGATCTCTGTATGGGTTTAAGTTCACCTTGCCAACTCGTACCTTGACGACTTGGTTACCAACTTGCCGTTCAAGAGTTACCATCAAACCGGGTTCTCTTTCAACATCCTCATCACCTCTCTCCCTCTCTTGTGTACATCATCTTACATCTCTATCTCGCTAACAAACAAAACATGTCTCACGACCTCGAAACCATGTTACCTGATGCGGTTTCTGTCTGTCGAGGTGAGTGATCATTATCCCATCCTCATCTCCGCACCTTCTCACTTCCTCACCTTCTCAACCTTCCTATCCTCCTATTTGGTCTCTCAAACCCCTGCTGCATGCTCCATCTTTCTCAAAATATCTACTCATTCCAACCTATGATCCCTTCCCATCAGTATCCATCCACTCGTCACAATGTTTCTCTCTGCCCAAAATCTCAGCACTTCGTGAATATGCAAGTACTTAACACATGCTGATCCTAACTTTCCAGGTCATTCCACTATCCTCCTCAGTCATTATCCTCTCCCACCCATTGAAAAAAGTACTTCCTTAGAAACCCGTCCTACTTTTCGACAACTATATTCCCTGAGAAGACCACTACCACCTTCAACCCCTCCTCGTCTAGTTTGGTCAGGGTCACCAGAACCAGAAGATTCCCTTCCTTCTCCACCATTCTCAGACATTGGGTCAGGTGATCCTTCACATCATCATAACGATGACGATGATATATCGGAACAACCACATAGATCTGAATCACCATGGAGGTCAGGGAAACTCGATGTCCTTGCGGATCCGGTTGACTCTGGGGTCTCTGTGGAAGTACAAGCGGGTGGATTGGTGGGGTTTTGCTCTTTGAAAGTTGTTCATGCGGCAAGGTCGGGCAAAGTACCTGGGAAGATGCCTCATAATATATTGAAAGAAGCTTTGGTTTTGAGACAACTTGGACATCCGAATGTAAGCGTCTTCTTTGAACTTCTCAAGTAATCCTCTTTCTCCAGCACAGCTTTATCTGCGTGGGGATAAATTGAATATGTGGTGATTCCCAACTTCTATGTCAGTTATCATGCCGGAATACACTGAGCAGACACACCTCTCGCTCTTCCCCTATTCTTTAGGTACTAACCTCGTCTCAGATCTTTTCTCACAGACATCATACGACAATTCCACCTTATTATCGTAGGCACCAATATCATACATACCCTCAAAGTCTGTAGGATTCTATGATGTTAATGCCAGATTATCAAATTCCTCGACTATAAAAGCGTCCCATCATCATGTTGTACCACCCATATCCTCGTACTACCAACTTTAGCATTCTCACTCCGACACCTCTTGAATCATCTCTTACCACCTAACCAACGTCAAGTGATCTTTCATGCTACAGCCCGGTCACTCCTTTCTGCTCTTGCCTACCTACACCATTTGGGATTGACCCATAGGGATGTATGTCCGGGGAATATCATGTTTGGTTGGGATGGGATTGTCAGATTGATAGATTTTGGTGTTTGTTGGGATGAAAGGGAACCTGATGTGGGTGAAGAATGGAAAGAGACGGACACGAATCGATGTTATTCTATGGGTACCGGGTGGGTTTGAAAGTTCTACCATAGTCTTAACTCCTTTTCCCCTCACCTCTCTCTTCATCTGAAAAGACAAAGTTATCGGAAATATACTTTTTCTTCTTCTCCTCGACGTTTCTCCCTTCTGGTCACTCTCTAGACTACTTATCACATAACTACCGAAATAGAATCTCTCATCTCAAACACACTTGTCCCTCTCGAATGACGAAGGCGGATTACAAGAAAAGGTCGAACTGTTCTTACTTCGGCTGTATTCGGTTGGAAGACAGGAAGGCGACTGACATGACAGAGCATACAGAGCACCAGAACTTTTATTCGGAGATAAAACCTATGATCCACAAGCTATAGATATTTGGGCAGCCGGTTGCACCTTAGCTGAATTCTTCACCAAATTTACCACTCAAACAAATCCCGACAACACTCAATCACCAGATTCGAGTGGTCGGAGACTCAGTTATTTCGATGCTACGGAAGGTGATATGGTTTTGATAGGTGATATATTCAACGTTCTCGGTACTCCCAATAGTTATAATTGGCCAGTGAGTTTTCTCCTCTTATTCCCCTCATCTACATGTCTATTGTTCTTCCAGGCCACAAAATCCCCCGAGGTTCCCCTTTCCATCATCTTAGAATTCTGTTAACCTCACTCTTCAACTGACTCTCTCTTTCTTTTCCAACATCTATCACAATAACGTATATTTTGGTTCGGATGTCTTCCCAACTGTTTGATAATCGTCGCCGTGCTGATGTCTATGACAATGAGAGGTATAGCTTATCAAATAGGATTTCGATTCATTACCCGATGCTAAAAAACTTCATTTTCATCCCAAACAACCTAAAGAATTAATTACGAGATTACCAGATCTTGAATCCTTGACCACTCATAGAGAAATCCTTCAACTGTTCGAAAAAATGTTAAGACTCGACCCACATTTCCGAGCTCCGGCTTGGGTTTTGCATGATGAAATGCATGAATATGAATTTGAACAGGAGGAATTAAAAGTTATCTTGCAACCTTGGTATGATCAATCTCTTGGTATGTTGTCTAAAGCTGCTAGGAAGGATATAGAAAGATGACAGGTTGGAGGTTGGAATGGATTATCAAGAAGAATGAGTTTGGATATTGAGAATGAATGATAACGATCAAAATTGGTTATTGTGATTTGTACCGAGTAACATGTGATATGGGGGTTAAATAGCATTTGATGAGAATTATGCATTGAGCATTGGACATTATTCATTGATTTTCTTTCCTTTCATCCTTACGACAGCTGTCTATCAAAATCTATACTACTCGTTTTAGTCCAGAACATTTATACACATACAACGATATGCTGCGTGTGTAAGTGTTGCGGTGTTATGACAAAAGGGAATCAACATGTCCAAAGAACGAATGACAACGTTGGGATTACACCGGTTCAAGCTAAGATAATCACCCTATTCAATTCTTCCGGTGATAAATCTAATCCATGAACAGATCTAAGATGTCGACTTAAATCATAACTTCTCCAAAATCTTTGATGACATTCTTGTTCTAGATCAAATCCGAAAGTAGGGTGTGGACATATATAAGGTCGATTTTCTTCATTAGGACCAATGAATAAATTTAACAAATCTTGTTTTGACTGTGTCATATTCTTAACTTTTACTTTTCTGTCCATCTGTTTTACTCCAAATACTTTGATATTCTCATGACCATTTATATAATCTTTACTTTTCTTCTTTCTTGAGTTGATCAGATCCTCACGACCAGATACTTCATCTATGTCTTTGGTCAATTCGGAGTTTATACCCTCCTGACCACTTGTTTCTTCAATAAAACGTTCGTCTTGCCCATACAGTGAAGGTCGGTTTTGATGATTATTCATAGTGGGAGACGAAGGTTCCATTTTGACTATACCAGGGGAGATCTGGACTTTACCAGAGAAGTCAGGAGGTATCGATGTGGAATCTGATGACTTGAGAAGCCTGGACAAGTCGGGAGGAGTCGATGGATAGATTTGTGAACCAGAGATCGAGGGTTGGATAGGAGTAGTGGGTACGGTGGAAGATGTAGGATGTTCTGAGAGGATATGTCGAGTGAGGTTGGACATATGGGAATAACTTGTACCGCATTCGTTTGGACATATAAATCGTTTAGCTTGATGGACGGCTCGGTTATGTGTTTGCAAGGCGAATTTCTAGCGAGTGAGCGAAAGAACATACGCCAAGCTGAACTCGGAAGATTTCATGACCATCTTATACCTCCTGCTGAACGTGATGAACCTGAGGCAGGGACGGAAATGGAGTGAACAGTGGGACATGACGGACGGGGGACGCAGGGAATGATTTGTAGGTGAAGAGAGATGCAGTGAAAGAGAGAGAGAAGATTAGATAGATGTAACGTAGCAGCCCCTCAAAGTTGAGTCTCTCGGCAACCGGGCCGGAGGGGGGGAGTTAAGGAAGATGAGACACGTACGGTTTTGAACTTCTTGGTACATCCCTCCGCCTCACATTCCCATTCTTTTCCCTCTTGTCCACTTTCAATCCTCTTCAATTTCTTTCCCTTCCCTTCCTCATCTACCATATCATTCACTTCAACTTCTACACCCCTGTCTGTTCCTGATTCTCGCAAAAGCCTTTTTCTCTTCTGTCGTCTTGATTCCTTGACTACAGATGAGTCATCCACATGATCCGCTCTAGTTGATAAAGTCTGAGATGTAGGGATAGGGACCAAATTGCCCAAGTCTAGAGTTTGTTGTTCATGTACCTTCAAATGATCCCTTAGTCGTTGATGATTCTTGAATATCCGCCCGCCACATTGGTCGTATGGACAGGTCGGAGGATGAGCGGAATGAAGATGAGATTGAAGGGAAGACCAAGTGGGGAAAGAGGGGAAGATGACGTGAGAGGGATGAGAACATGTGTATCTCGTAGCTTGAAGAATTAGCTCCTCTTTCATGACACGCCATGCAGGGCCGATTTCGGTGTGGATGTAACATACTCCACCTGTTTCACGAAATTCAGGATGACTGGATGAGGGGAGTTTCGGTGAAAACTGTGGACGATGTGATAGGTAATAGAGTGAATCTTTGAACTCACCATCATGCGTTTTCTCATGAGCCTTTAGATGCGCTTTCATACTGAACGAAGCCCCGCATCCATTTTGAGTACATTGGAAAGGTTTCGTACCGGGTGGTAAATGACACAAGGAATGTTCTCTTAAATGATGAGCTTTGTTGAATGTCTGTGTACATTTGTCACACTTTTCGTCAGCCATTGACTACGTCTCACACGTTTCCCGTCCCTTCACATGGCCATACCTATCACAGAAAAATGGATCAAGCGTCTGGCAATGGAGGAGTTCTCAAACGAATTGTCACTCACTGTAAACGTTTGAACGGAATCATGTGCCTCCTCATGTCGTCTTAGATGAGTTCCTGTCCAGAACGTCTTCCCACATCCTTCTCTATCACATCTGAACGGTTTGGTCTCCGGATCCAGATGAGTGCGCATATGTGCGTGGAGATGTGAAGTACGGAGGTATGTCTGACCACACTCTGGGCATAAATGTGGTCGCTGGGATGATCAGCATCCCTCTCATAACTCTGCATCTGAATTCTTCCCCCCACCAATGCTCCGTACCCTCAGCGGACATTGGGGTAAATGACTGTGTGGAGGACATGGAATGCCGAAATAAACGCTCACCTCTCCCGTATGACTCAACTCATGTTCTGCAAGTCTAGAAGGCTTGAAGTACGCCTTCCCACAACCTTGATGTGAACAAACGAATCGACGTTCTGTCCTCGAAGGAGGTCGGGAGGAAGGAGACTTGGGTGATTTTGGAGTTTTCGGTGTGGTTGCTCTTGACCTGGAGCGAGAGGGACCAGCAATAGGCTCATACTGGGTATCTAGTTGATACAGCTTGTCAAACTCTCTCGAGGTATGTGATATGGATGTCATTTTGACTGTCGTGATCAATATCATGGCCATCATGGAGACCTTGGTCACTGTCAATTTCCCCGTTCCCAACTTTTTACTTGAATATTTCATTCAGATTTGTTTTTGTTTTATCCCGGTTCAATTGCCGCCGTTGTCCCGGATGTCTCCATTTGTCTTTCCTCCCAAAAATACCAAGAGCATCGTATAATGGTGAGAGACAGCTACTACTGACAAGAAATCAATCATCTGATAAGCAGTCTGCACCGAGAGTAATAGCGGAATTAGTAGTGACCGGTATCCGAGCCTTGGGGAAGGCCACCGCAGCTGCAGGCCAGCAGGCCATGAGAAGTGCGTCTATCTCTTCTCTATCTCACTCGTCGGAATGATGAAATATGCAGTACAATAGGATCGACTGTTGTACTCAATTGAACAAGGAACCGGCACTAATCTATCTGAAGGGGATCGCTTATTGACAGATTTCGCACATAAACCTGAGAATGTACCATCATCGGGACCAGCAGGATCTAGTTCCTCCAAGTCGGCAATCACCAACCAAATGCAGATGACGTTGGATGAGGCTCATTTGATATTAAATGTGAAGAAAGAAGATCCTACAGAAGTCATTATAAAAGTGAGCTCATCTGAACCCACCTGTGTCATCTCTTTCAAATCCCTCGTCTACTCCACACAGTCATTCTTCATAATATACTCCTCCCCAACATCCATTCTCGGCTACAAGCTGCCGACGCAAGGAACCCAGATTATGCAATTGTGTGATATATATCCTTATATGCCAGAACTACGAACGTATCTTCACAGCCAACAGTCCTGCTCCTGTACCCGAACCCTCACCTTCAACTTCCAAACAAATCCAGAAACCCAGAGGTCCGACTCATTCACATTACCTACAATCTAAAGTCTACCGAGCTCTCGAACGGATAAAAGCAGAACGAGGAGAAGAAGGTCCTCCCGGACCTTCAAGTGTGGGAGATGGGCCAGTGACGGAAGGGACAGGGAAAGGAGCTACATCATAATCTTGTATTGAGGTGCCGTTCCTGGGAGGAGAAGAGGGAAAACTGCGTGAAATTGTTTCGGATCGGTAGGCATACATTTTTACCACATCTTTGCATCGCATCACTTCTCTCCCACGTCGTGTATCTCACAAAGTAGTGGTTTTTATGACTCGCCTTTGTTCTCATACTGCATCGCCACTACACCCTCAATGCCATACTAACTGACCTGCTTACCAACCTTGGTGTAGATCCCTTCATATCCTTACTTACGACTCCAGTCCAGAGCCCGAAGATGGACTCTTGACACCCGATTCCTACCGTCATGCTCACACACTTTGGTCTCTCTGACTCACCCCGCCTTTTCGGCAAAGGCACCATGCTGACAGAGACTATCAACACTGTACGAATAGACGTGCCTTTTTCCCCGGATGAATCCCCACTTTCCCCTCTACATACAACACGAGCACTTCGAAAGGACTGTACCGCACAGGCGACAACTCTTGCTTCTACTTTCGTTGACATAGGGAGTCTGACGACGTGTGACGAAAGAGTCAATCGTAATCGCGAATCCTTGAGCGGATCCTCAACCTACCGGTCCTAAGAAGCTTGTCTTCGATCAAAGTTCATCTTAATCTCGCTCTGAACGGCCATCTGCAACGTTCCCCGGACGACGTTTCTTCCCATTGTCGCCTTTTCTAACGGCATCTTGATCCTTTTGTCCGTCAACCTTCTCGATAAAAATCAAAATGACCTCGGCATCTAATTCGAGTAACCTACATATCGACAGCCATGGAAATTTGCGGGGCCCGGACGGAAATATCCTGGGACATGCCGAGCAATTGGACCTGCTGCACAGTATTGCCAGTGGAGACTCCCGCTCTTCCTCAACTCTCCCCTCTGCGAAACGTCACGGGCCCCTGACTGAAGCGCTAAGAGAACGAGCAGCAGCTAATGACATCTACAGCTTCAATACACAAATTGAGCTAACTGACACAAATGTCAGGTTCTCTATCAAAGCTACATTTTTCCAACCCCCAAGACCGTCCACTCCTATCACTTGAACAGGGATTCCTGGTTGACCATGATGCTTACTGCTGTGACTTTGTGGCACAGTAACTATTCAGTAAAGACCTCAAGTCAAGAGAAAGACGACGCCCCTCATCTGTTCAATGACATCGGATAGGCCGTCCGAGATCACATTCTTGGTCCTCTTCCCCTGTCAGAACCAGAGAGAACTATACAACTGGCTTACGAATATAAAACGCTCACAGGACATGGCTTTTGCAACGCTATTTTTCACATCTTCACTAAGATTGTTCAATCTGATTGTATTGATGATATTTATGAGAAGGAAAGCACAAGTCAGTTAACACTTGAGGAGATACCATCAGTAGCTGAAACCCTCCTCAATCAACCGATACATCTAACTATACCATGAGCGCTGGAATATTCTATTCAAGGAGTAGGTATGTCATACTTTATGCCGGCCGATGAATGGGACATCTAATTGAGGATACTGATCATCTCCTCTCGATTTGAACAATGAACAATCTCAAACTTCCCTTGTGTACTGATCCTGAGAAAAAGATATGATGTTGATATGGAAAGGGAGAGAGTATATGACATGTGAGAACGATCGAAGGAGACTCGTAGTGAGGAATATAATTAACGTCCAATGTAGTTAACTCTAAAGTGGGTGATGTCACCCATGTCTGTGATGTGATGCGGTTGATACTGACATGTCATCGTCTTCCCCGGTTCTTCGGAACGATAGTAACAAACCTTGATCTCCATCCAAAGTCATGGATCCATACTGACAGATCCGTCTTGTGCCATATCGCAGCATGTATGACTTCTTACCTCGATTCCCGAATTCTTCAACGCTCGGTCCGAAAAAGGAACGTATGATAATAGGTTACCGACCGTTGATAGCACTCTCCATACGATCTCACGCCTACCAGTAGAGTACTCTTGGTACTACAATAACCGAACGGTTCAAGTCGTTAAAGTGAAAGTTAGAAATTCGTCACCTCGAACATGTTTCCGTCAAGCCGACTTCTAACGTCGATCCTCACGACCTCCCATCGAATCGCCAAACCAACGATGACCGATAAGTTCCAGACAACTTGATGGGGGTGATGTGAACTCCTTTTCCCATACTCTACTTCGAGGAATGTAGAGTACGTCAGCAACTCGAGAGTACACGTCACTAAGGTGGAAGATAAGGGATGAATAACCATGATTTACGACGTTTACGTCAACACACCACTCGGTCGATCGGGCTTGCGGGCGAGAAAGAAGACGTCTCCCTTTTCGTCTTCTCGTCCTATCCCTCTCCTCTTCTCTTCTTTCCCTCCCTACTCTCTTCTCCCCCTGTCATCTCTCCCTCTCTCTTCCACTCCTCTTCTCCCTTTCCTCCTTTCCACATTACGCCTTCCCTCTTTCCCCCTTCCCTTCCCTTCCCTTCTCTCCCCTTCCCTTCTCTCCCCTTCCCTCCCCCTCTTTCCGTTCATCCACTATACTCTCTTCACTGTCCCCCTTCCCTTCATCACGTCCAACTCCGCTCTATCCCTCGCCACTCATCCTACCCTCAAAATCAGTCAAATACCCACCGGTTGAGATCCTCCATCTTCCCAAGACCAATACGTTGACTTCCGTGCGACCTGCTCGCCATCCATTTCCCTTGAAACAAACAGATACCTAAACTCTCGGATCAACCACCTTCCCACACAAACCTCCTCCTTCCGGGCGGTCAGCTCGTCACTCTTATTGAACGCGACAGGAGTAATGGCCTCCATTAAGGTGGAATATGCAGAACCTGACCAACCGCTGATTGCAGCGTTCATTCAAGCGCCTTCTCCTGGAGGGGTTGGGCAGTCTCCTGGAGGGGTTGAGCAGGCGCCTGAAGGGGATGAAGATGTAGATATGGATGATGAGTTTGATCAGCTTGCAGGAGAAGAAGAGGTTCGGACTCCCCGCAAGTGGTCTCCTGTGCCTCAACAGATTGTATCAATTAACACTGGAGTCAGTGTTAAAGAAGAGCCGTATGAGAACGAAGCGTTGTTACTGAGAGGTCTCACACCAAAACCAGAGCCACAGGACTCTGGAAAGTCCAATGATCCATGGTCACTAAAAGTTGAGCAAGAGGAAACGAGAAATCTGTCACGCTCAGAAGTACCGGAAATCAACACGGAACGTATGTTCCCCGTGAAGAGCGAGCCGGATGCTGACGGAGTGCCTCCGTTGAAACTTGCCGGGGAACAAACTCTAGCAGAATTGGAAGCTCTTTCAGCTTGGAATTTACACAAATGGCAGTATGGCCGAAGACCAAAGGCTCTCAGAGCCAACAGGAGATTGAGCACCAATAACTCAGGGGATAACACAGGGGGAAACAGTCACCCTGCATTCAAAGGGCCGGAAGCGATCCACCAAAACTCACGGGTGTCTCAAAAGTCCTTGCCACCGTATCCAATGCCCTGGGACTCACCAGTTCCGACCTCAAGGTTACATTGGCCCAGAAAAGCAAGGACAATGGATTCACATCCTCCAAACTCAGGAGCTTCACAAGCTGGGACCTTCCGCCAACCCCCTCTATTGAGTAACTTTATAGGGGATGCCGATCCGCATTACTTGTCCGGGCAGTATAACACATCACCCAACATATCACCTGTAGCTCTCCCAGGACAGGTGCTGTGGACAGGGATAGATCCGTTTGGGAGCGCCACCTTGGCTCCTGCAGGAAATATAGGTGCTGCTGATGTATGGGGATCAAGACTTCCTCCAAAAACACCCCAGCTGGTGGCAGCCGACCTGAGGCCAGCTCCAGAGTTGGGGAGAACTGAAGCAATGCTTCCAAGTCCATATAGCTTCCAGCAAATGGCTGCATCTAGTAGCCACCTTGGGAGAAGCGAATTTGAAGAGATAGCCCATCTATCAAGTGGTTTCATAGGATTTGCTGATTCACACCACTTGTCCGGGCCGTACAATGCATCATCCGTCGCTCTCCCAGGACAGGCGCTGTGGCCAGGGATAGATCCGTTTGGGAGCACCGCCTTGGCTCTAGCAGGAAATGCAGGCGCTGATGATTTATGGGGATCAAGTATTTCTCCAATAACACCCCAGCTGGTAGCAGTTGATCTGGGGCCAGCTCTAGAGTTGCAGAGAAATGATGCAATGCTCCAGGATTCATATGGCTTCCCGGAAACGGCTGCATCTAGTAGCCATCTTGGGCCCCACGGATTTGGAGAGGCACACACTTTGCTTGGGAGCCTGAATTTAGACACTACCCAAGCTTTAGACTCTGATGCACCAAAGACGGAAATGACAGAATTATGGCACAAGCTCATGGGACCCACAATTGACATGATTGATGACAATCCTTCCAGATCAAGTTCCAGCTTGCCATATCCAGAGACATCTCCACTGCGCTTCCAAGCATCCGGGAACAAAAAGAAAAAAAAAGTGGACAAAGGGATGGGTGCTTTGACGAGCCCCTTCACGGGGGATCGTGTTTCAGCTTCCCCAGACGACTTTATTCTGATTGATCTCCTCAAATCTCGGGCAAGGGATCTAGATCCCTATGGGATGACAGTCACAAAGTTAGACGAACCCAACTCTTTCTCCAGTCTTGGGTTCTCTATACAAGCCACAACTCCACCGACCTCCAATGGGATCGAAACAATACCACCTTTGTCCAATGTTGCAAAACCAATTGAGATACGTAGGTATCCTCTCAAGTTGAGTCAATCATACGCAGATCTTTGTAAAAAACTCAGGATAGCCCATAACACAGGTTACGTTTTGACCAGTATTGCCTGGAATGTCCTCGGATGTCTCCAAAGCCTTGAATCAGTTTCCGGAAGATATAAAAAGGGAAAAGGACCAGCCCAGGTAGAGGCTATCATAGACTTTGTTCGAAGGCGTTCTCTACAATGCAGTGTTCTCAATGTACTAGGTCAAATGGGAAGCCTCTCCCCTGAGACAGTAGGGCTTAAGAGTGAACGGTACAAGAACAGTGTACCAACTTTGGTGGACGACCTGTTCAATACCCCCATGTTTGCTCCACATTCAGAGATACTGGAAACTGACCCAGAAACCAGAATGGCTTCCCAACCAGATTGGTTAGATGCCATTCCGTTGTTTATGTTAGGTCCAAGTACACTCCCTGAACAAAGTGAAGGTGCCAACTATTACACCAACATGCCAACCACAATGTTTGGTGTGTGACACTTCTGAAGTGGTTGTTGTGGGAGTGTTACGGGGTAACAACGAATCGAGAGGACTCTATCGAGTTCGACGGATTAGGACAGAGGAAAGCGGGAGTTGGAGGCAGTGCTGCAGTAGGTAGGGACGGGTTTTCCCTTTTCGAGATTTCCCCACTGGGTTTGCTCAAAAGCGGTTTTTCACCTGTCCGAGTATGTACATAGACGCTTGCAGTAGGAACTGAGAGGAGGACACGGATACCTGTAGACAGTATATAGTACAATCAGCAAAGTACCAACTTTGCTGATTCTTCAATATCATTCTTTGGCTACATCGATTGCAGAGGAGACACGATCCATTAGCACCAGAGCCCCTAGATTTCCACGAGACCTCCATCGAGTTCGACCCAACCTGCGACCTAGTCGTCGTGTTTCCAGTACCGTTACAGGGAGCCATGGTCAAAGGAGGTAAGGTGACAACTTTTCCGTGTGAACAGACTAAATTGACATCACACCCTACAATAACATCGAAGGACTAAAATGATATCACCACTTTCAGGAAACTTTGGTCACTGCACAATGACAGTTTCTAGTGTCCCTGTGGGGTTGAAAATATCTTGAAAGGATCAAGTCTCAAAATTCGTGGATAGGGATGAAGAAACATATGATTTGACTCCTGTCATTGTAGTCCTTTGATGTTATTCTAGTCCCTGGTATTATTTTAGTCTTTTCACCTGAAGAAAGTGTCATTCTAGTCCTTAACTACCTCTGGTCAAAGTACAAGCTTGTGTAGGACTGTATCCAGGCATCATGTATCCTGTATTTGTCTGTGAATCCAAGGAGACAGATCCATATTATCAGACCAACCAATCAGCATTGGCGCAGAATGACAGGATCCTTGTGATCAGTGCTTCAGATGACCATACTAGAAGACCCATTAGCCGGCGCTCGGTGATCATCACGGTTGCTCCCGAAATACCCTTCTGAGCTGTTGAATTCCAGGTGGTAGTGGTAGTCACGTGAAGTCCTGTGCCTCCTTGTTTCAAAACTTTTCTTCCTCTGGTAGTTCTTCATTGCTTGCTACATAGCTGAGAACTACCAGAACTACCAAATTCTACCGCTATAGCAATCATTGACAAGAAATTCCGTTCCCTTCCCTGGGTTTGTGTACGTTCTCTTTGAGTTGTTTGTAAACTTTACATCCGTCATATTTAATCGAAAAAGAGCCCTATGATAGTCCTCACAGTACCTGTACGTCCTGCAAGGAGAGATTGACCGTTTTGTATTGGAGTTTGTGGTTGTACTATGATCAAGGTGCTTTGATGACTCCTTCACCGAAGCCCCTGGCCTGGACGCGCACGGAGAGGTGACATCCGGTGTGGAGAGTGTTTGCTGATTGTGCCACACCTGTTAGATAGTGATAATCAGTACCTAAATTACACGTCACGTAAGAACCCCGAAACTCTTGTAGACGCCTCTCCATAGTAGATTAGTTAGATGCAACTCTCATCCCCAACAGATTAACAGTCGGAGTAGCATTCTCCTCTCACTCAGATATTGAGAGTTCACCCTGCCGATAATGTTAACTGATAATTAGATGATAATACAGAGGGGAAAAAGAGCATGCATCAATTCTACATGTCTCTATACTTATCACATTCCACTCACACGCATAAAACCAGAGACGATCGAATAAAGTTCAGAGGATAAGTTGAACGGAGAAATATTCGACGGAAGGGGTAATTCTAACGGCGGTTCGGCCGTCCTGGCCCGATTCTATCGGCCAACACTCCCCCACGGGACAATGCACGACTCTGCAGTAGTCCCGGACGATTTATCGATGGCGACGGCGAGGTTTGTGATGATGTAGAAGGTAGTAATGATGAAATATTGAGTGTTATGTGTGTGGTAGTAGTGGTAGGTGAAATCGTGAAATGAATTTCTGTGGGGCCCCCCGCGGGGCTCCGCTCTGACACGTGGCTACCACTCACCGCTACCAACGACTGACTCTTCTCTATCTTTCCTTTTACTTCATCACTTTTATCTCCAATTATCGGTATGTCCATCTTTCGTCTTTCTCCACTTCTATCTCTCATTTCTGACTCTCTGAACTTCCCTTTATCCTGTCTGCTTCTTAAAACTTCAGGTTTGCTAGTAGGATCCCGAGAATCGATGAATTTCCTTCGTGGTCCTGGCTGACGAGATATCACAGTTTCGCCACTCGTCGGAAATCTTTTATTTTTATAAGAATCATCATTATGTCTCGTCGTGGGTTTCTCCTGGTTGGTTTCTGGAGGGAATCGGAGAGAAAAGGTACGCTGTTTATTGATTCTGTCATTATCTAGACTGATTTCTCGAATTCTCTCCAATGATAATCTTTTATCTTCAGATGTTGCTGGCCACCTTGGCCTACGCTCGGTTTCTCTTGGCGGCGGCCTCTCGTGGTGGACAGGGGGCCTCATCCTCCTTATTCGACATGATTCACGAGATGGAGGCTTGGGAAGGGGAGGTAAGGGACGTCTTGGACGACGAAATGAGGGGTCGTGATGTTGAGATGGGGAATATTTAGTTTTCTCTCTCATCTCACCATGTAGCCGTCCTTCCCTTCTCTTCTGTTCCTTCTCTTTCATCTCTCTAACGATCCTAGGTTCTACCGGTGGTTTCTGACCTATCTTAGAATTACTCACATTCTTAGGTACACCTGAAAATTTTACATTTTGGCTCACGAGAACTTTTCCTTCGGTGGTACCTTCGGTGGGTTTCTCTGAAGTTCCTTCCACCCACACTTCTCCTTCTGATACTACTTCTCTCTCTGGTACCACTTCGTTCTCTGTACCACCTGACAGATCTCCTAGGTCCTCGAATTCAGAATAATCGTAATCGATGATTTCATCATCATCTAATGTCACGTATACTGAACCAATGTTTTTCTTCTTCGGTGGTTCTACACGTATCGCTGACATATTCACCGAATGTACTGGTCCACCTAAAGCTTTTGTAAGTACATCTGCTCTCTGATAGACAGTGCTGACGTATGCTAGTTCAATAACTTTATTACTGACTAGATCTCGAAGAGCATGATGTCGAATATCGATATGTTTTGTCCTCTGGTGAGTACCAGGTTTTCTCGCCAGTGATATCGATCCTTGGTTATCGCAGTTTAATGTAGTAGGATTTAGCTGATCGTAGCCTATCTCCCTCAGTAATTGTCACGAACTACGTCGTGACACCTCGATTACTCCACCAACAATGACCCTCCTTTGGCCATCAAAACCCCATCACGCCTTAACCTCTTTACTCTACACGTAACTCAGGACTTCTGACACCAAGTACGGCGAAGTTAGACGGAGTTAGGCTAAGTAGGGACAATGGGAGCAGAAGTGCGGCGATGTTAGGCGGAGTTAGTCGAAGGAGGAAGAGGATGGCCGAGGGCTCGGGGAAGTTGGACGAAGTGCGTTGAAGTACGTCAAAGCGCGAGAGGGTTGGATGAACGTCTAGGAGGAGTAGATAATATTAGCTGAGAAGATCGCTGAAGTTCTTCAGCGATCCTTGATTGTTGTCAGTAGTGAAAGACAGATAGAGATAGCTATAAATCAAGATACATCGCCATCAGTAGAACAAAACCCTAGTTAGAGTAACTACGCCGAAGTACGCCGTAGTTACACCCCTTTCGACGTCTGCGCCCTCCTGGTTGGGTGAGACATCGACTCAGAGCGTGAAGTTAGCCGAGGTTCGTCGACCGTCGGTCTATTAAGAAATAGTTGTTCGACGGCCGTGACAGTAATCCTCTCAACCACTGAGCCTCCTTCGCTGCTTCAGCCATCGCGATGTATTCTGCTTCGACTGTCGACGACGATACCGTAGCTTGTCTTTTTGAACTCCAGGTTATCGGTGAGTTGTTCATCATGAATATCCAACCTGTAGTTGATCGTCGTGTGTCTTTACAACCTGCCCAATCGGCATCAACCCATCCTGCTAGATCACTAGCCTCGCCACCAAGACGAATACCATGTAACCGAGTGGACCGAAGGTAGGTAATTACCATTATCCCTTCTTCCCATACTTTCTTCGTCGGTTTGGTGAGGTACCTAGCAAGGTATGAAGCTGCATATGATATGTCGGGTCGAGTACATGTGGCTAACCACTGTAGACATCCTATTAATTCTTGAAATGGTCGAATTTCACTTTCCACTTCCGACATCGAAGGATTTTTCACAGTAAGAGGTAACGGTGTTTTTCGATCTCGATGTAAGTCGTTTTCTGGAAACTTTTGAACTATCTTATCGATATATGCTGGTTGGTTTAACCATATTGTCTTTTCTTCTCTGTTCCTTGTTACCTTCATACCTAAGATAGTACTTATCTCCCCCAGGTCGGTTATTATCCACCTTTTTCCTAGCCCATCGAAAATTTCTTTTGCTTCTTCCTTCGATTTCGTGGCTAATACCAGATCATCGACATAGGCTAGCAGTATTGCTGCTCCCTTTCCTTCGATTTTCCCTTCTGGTCTGTAGTAAAGACCCCAATCTGACTCGATTCTTGAAAAGCCTAGGTGAGATAATCCTTCCCCGAGTTCAATCCACCATGTTCTACCAGATTGCTTTAACCCGTAAAGAGACTTGACTAACTTCAAGGTATTACATCCAGGTTTCGGTTTTATCCCTTTGGGATACTTCATGTAAATTTCGACATCGAGTTTACCATTTAAATACGCTCCTTCGACATCGGCCTGACGAATTTCGAGATCTTCGGTGGCCGCTATAGTCAAGAGTATTCGTAATGACCCCGATCTACCGACAGGTGCGAATGTCTCTTCGTAATCGACACCTGGTACCTGTGAGAATCCTTGAGCTACCAGTCTGGATTTATACTTTAGTAGGTTTCCTTCTGAATCTGTCTTCACTTTGAATACCCATTTACAGCCTATGGCTTTACGACCCTGTGGAAGTACTGTTTCCACCCACGTTTCTTTAGATTCGATGTTAGAGATCTCTTTCTCCATGGATTCCAGCCATTTTTCACCATCTGGGCCGTTTACTGCTTCTTCAGGAGAGACAGGATCAATGAGAGAAGTGTCACTTTCGATACCTGCGATAGAGGCGAGTGCGACTAACCTATTAGGCTCGCGACCGAACTCCAGAAACGAGTCTGTTAGGCCTGCAAAACGATGGGGGGGTCGAATAATTCGTCCGTGACGAGTCGTCAGGATCCCCTCGTCCCCATCATTTCTTCCTTCCTCATCATTTCTCTCATTTTCGACGATATCGTTCTCATAGATCCAATTTCCTCCCCAAATGCCCTGTCCACGTCGTCTTTCAGTGGGTTGTGGACCTGTATTAGGTGAGTTGTCTCTTTCGACATCATTTTCTTGTTCATTATCGATGTTTTCCTGTTCGCCACTTTCTGAGCGGTCGTCAGGAAAAATTTCTTCGTTGACGACGGGGTCTAGGTCCACTTCGATGGCGTCAAGAGGGGTTTGGATGACATCTGGCGACTCTCTAGTCGTCACCATTCGTCCTGTCGAGCGACGAATGTCTCGTGAGTGTTCGATTCGTCCCGATCCGTCCATTCTAACGATCCAACCGCTCACACCCTCATCTTGACCTAGTATAATGGCTGACGACCCCCTAGGTATCGTGAAGTTCGACTTCAGCCTTATCTCCCTTGGTATCTGAACGAAACATCGTTCACCGAACCTCCACACGCTCTCTAGATTGGTGTCTCTTCCTGTGAGTGATGTCCACCCTGATTTTCCAGTAACACCAATCGATGTTTTCATGATTATAATGGCGGCGTATCTGACAGCATAGGACCAATACTCGTTGGGTAGTCCTGAGTCGAATAACATCGTTGATACCATCCCCTTCAAGGTACGTATCATTCTCTCCGCCACTCCATTTAATTCCGGTGTGTATCTTGGTGTAATGTAGTGGTTGATCCCTGCTGACAGGTAGAATTCCCTCATATCGAGACTATCGAATTCACCTCCCCCATCAGACCTAATCACCCTCACCCTTTCACCAAGCTGTTTCTCTAATTTCGAGATACACTGTCGAACGATATCTGACGATTCGTTCTTCGTCGTTATCGGTATCGCGAATACAATTCGACTCGCCCTTTCCACACCAACGAAGAAATATCGTTCACCTTTTATCGCCGGACCGAACGGGCCAGCAATATCGACATCCATTCCTACTCCTTCACCATCTCCTTTCAACATTGGTGCTTCTTTATTCTTTGGTAGACGTGTTATTTTGGCCTGCATACAGGCGGGACATTTATCGGTTGTAAAGGGATCGTTTTTGTAAGTGTCCCAGTCCTTCTTCAATAGTCCCTGTCTACCTAGATTCTTTAGTTTATCTACACCTATATGTCCGAGTCGCTGATGCTCAGATTCAAGTGGTGAAGTCGCCTTCGGTGTCGATATCACGATCATCGCGGCAGACATTGCTCTGCCGAATCGTACCGACCACAGTGAGTCATGTTTCCTCAAGCCTAGTTTCTCTTTACCTTTACCTATCCATCCACCACCGCTGCTTAGATTCGCCTTCCATCCCCATGAGAGTAACTTCGAAAGGGAGAGAAGACTTATCTTCGCTGTAGGGACGTGATGTACATCTTTCAGTACCATTTTCTGTCCTGAATCTAGTTCGAGGTTGATGTCACCTGTTTCCCAAGCCGTCATTGACTTGCCAGATGCTAGTCCGAACACTCTCGGTTCCACTAGTCTTTTAATATTCGTCATTATCGACCTGTGAGGAGTTATATGGTGAGTAGCACCACTATCCACTACCCAGGTGGGGATTACACGAGTGTGGCTTACATCATTAGACTCTGTAGCTAATCCCACCCACTCATTATCCTTATCCTCAACCCACGGGTTTTCAATTTCTTCGGGCCACACAATGTTACTCGTGTACCCTTCGTCATCGTCGAACCATGATTCTGTCGACATGGCCATCCCGGCCCACGCCTCATGTTCACCATCCAATGACGAATACATCAAGGAGGTTTTGGAGTTATCCTTGGACTGGTTCTCATCCTTCGAGACCGTATGTCCTTTCTTATTATTCTTATTATTATTCCTCCATTTCTTTTTACCTCCATCCTTTCCATCTGCGTTCTCTTTCCTGTTCGTATCCTCTCTTTTAGGTTTACGACAGTACTTCGCTAGATGTCCTACAGTGTCACAGTTATAACACTTTCTGGTTTCTTTTCTGGGCTGACCATCAGAGATATTATCTCGGTTCACCCTCATTCCTTTATTTCCTTCGACGAACATCGCGAATCCCTTTCTATTGGTCCTACCAACAGGGCACGCTTTACGTCTCGCCGTTTCTTTATTGAAGATCGATAAGACCTTTTCCCAAGATCTCTCCTCTTCTATGAGGGATGTTACTTCGATCTGGATGATCCTGTAGGATGGTGCTAGAATGGTATTGAGGAATAACCCAGCTCGTTCCTGTGAGTCAAACTTCAACCCTACCAATCTCGCTTCGGACATCGTCTTCGAGAAATCCTCTACATGCTTAGCCATTTCTTCGGCCGTCGCATCGTCCCTTAAGTCATAGCTAAACAACGCTTGACGGACATTCCTTTGATTCTCGATCGTCGCTGTCACATGCAGGGCTACGCAGTAATCCCACATTTCTTTAGCTGACATCTTCTCAGATATATCAAGCATCACAGCGTCCGACACTGTTCCCTTGATCATCCCCTGCGCTTTATTCTCCCTCGCTTGCCACTTTTCCCATTCCTTCCACTCTTCTCCAGTAATCCTTCTACCAACCACTTGCCCTTCGACGGGCGTGGTAGGAGGTACTGATCCCGCCCTCTCAGCTGCCGACCTAACCCCTACGCGACCAGGTTCGGTATCATTACCTGTGACGATATTCCACACGTCACCTATCTGTAGATACACCTCGATCGACTTCCTCCACGGAGCATACGATGCTGGATCGTGGGATAACTTTGGGTGGCTCTCAAGAGAGATCTTAGACGACACGGAGGTCATTATGAGGAGAGTTAGAAATGGGAACTTGCCTTTGTTATATTATACACAGAAGGTATGTGACTTCC